ATGCTGTGATTTTCTGGTCACCTTTTTTGTTATTTCTACCTTATTTGCATTGTGATTGCTGAGTATGCTGTGATTTTGGTTCTGAAAAGTGTTTACTGCTGCCTTGATTACCAATTCGTATACATTTTTTAAATCTGTTCTAAAAGAATGTATATTGAATAGTTTGGGGCTATAGTGTTCTGTGTATATACATTTTGGTCATGTCTACAGATTTTTAAAGAGGATAAAACCAAACAAAATAAAAGAGAATAAGCCCAAACAAAACAAAATATTGCTGTGTGATCATAAGTAACCTTTATAGCAATACAGGACTTCAAAACAAGATAATAGGAAATCATCAATGGTTACCATAATAAATTTTTGTTATCTTTAAAATAGCTGTTCTTTTCATCAGACATAATAAAATCAAGCAAAATAAAACAAAACAATGAAAAGTATACAAGACTTCCATACAAGGTAACAGGAAATTAACGATGGCTACCATAATGCCTCTTATTATCTTCAGAATAGCTGTCCAGACCATTGGACACAGGCATGTAAAGTTAACCAAACAATACAAGAACTAAGTTGCTTCATGACTTCAGTCATCTGTTCAGAAATTCCAGCTGTGAGACTTCTGATGTCTTCCATGAACTTGTTCTGTGTGGGCTAGAGGTCTGAGATTCTATTTTGCTCATCTTGACATTTTCCTCTGTTCCCTGGAATCAGCTCATTGCTGCATCCTGGTTACTTCCTACACTGGCTGCCAATCCCTGAGTATAGGAGATTCGACGAGGCATCTGGGTTCCTCCCATCCAGGTTCCTGGAGCGGTGGAAAGGCCCTAGGCAGTGGGACTTGGGGTGTGGCTTCTTCTTGGTCAGTACTGGGTACACAAGATCTCTCTTGTGTATTTTGAAATATACAAATTATGTTGACATATTCAAAACTTTTTTTGGCTTATTTTATTTGTCATAGAGAAATGAATATTACCATTTCACAGCCTACCTGTGGATTCTTCTTGTTATTCTTTTACTGTTGTCATTATTTGCCTTTTTAGAAGTTTTACCTTATTTTTAATTGGCAAATAATTGTATATGTGGTTTTTTGGCATCTGTACATCTTGTGGAATGATCAAATCAGACTAATTAGCTGATTTGTCCCCTCAAATATTTATTTCTTTTTGGGGGGGATGGCTACCAGTGATCAGATTGTGACCTTGCACTTGCCAGGCAGGCACTTATGCCACTGAGCTAAGTCCTTGGCCCTCAAATACTTACTTCTTTGTGATGAGAACATTTAAAATCTAGTCTTCCAGCTATTTTGAAATATGTAATATATTATTTTTAATTTAATGTGTAGTAGAACCCCAAAATGAAGCTTACTACCTTGTGATTGTCTTTGTTTCCTAGTACTATCTGCTTTTATGAGTGTAACTTTTTGCGTCCATATATAAATGAGATCATAAGTATTTGTCTCGTTGTACGAGCCTCATCTATCTTACACACTTTGATTCAGTGTTTCTAGATGTGTATTTATTTGGTGTTGTACAATTTATATCTACTAATTATATCTCTACTACTGCTTTTGCTTCAAAGTCTGGTTTATCTGGTATTAACATAGCTGTATCAAGCTGGTAGTGGTAGCATTTGTTTTTTGTGGGTTGTTTTTTCTTTGGTTTGTGTTTGTGCAGTATATATGTTCTCAGCTTTTTCTTATTGGCTATAAAATCACATTGTAACATGTAGCCTTCATCTGTCGGTCTGCTGCTCAGTTTCGAGGGTAGTCAAGGCATGTGGAGTACTTTCATAGCCTCATTTGGTTCTCTCTTGACTTGCACTCTTATGTGATGCATTTGAGTTCTTCAGGCATTTTAGAGTTCAGTGAACATTGACATTGCTATTTCACACCATCATTGCCCATGCAGATTTACCCACGCATTTCCTATTCTCATTGGGCTCCTTCCTTCCTATCCTGTCTGAAGCCATTTTTTTATTTCGTCTCTTCTACCTGACCTCCTTCATTTTGAGCCTACTAGAGGACAGTTTTCTCTAGTTTCCCTGAAAATAACTTTCTCTTCCTTTTGTTTTGTCTTCCTTTAGTACTGGGGACCGAGGCCAGGACCTTTGCATAAAGGTACATTGCCAACTCTTTATAAAAAATTGCTGAGACAAGGCCTTGCTAAGTTCAGGCTTTGGTGGAACTTCCTGCCTCAGCCTTCTAGACTACTAAGATTACTGGTGTGTCCACCATGCCCAGCTCTTGTTCCTCTTCTCCCTTTTTAGGGACTCTGGCTGACTGTAGAATTTTAATTTTTGAGGATAATCGTTTCTGTCTTCCAGTTCCCAAATTTTCTGTTGAGATGTCAGCCAGCAGTTTAATTTTATTTATTTCAAGTGATTGTCTGTAGGGCTTTCGTCTTTATCTCTTCTATGTAATTTTTAAAAATTTATCACTTCTGAGCAATGGAGAAACTCATTGTTTATTACAGAATTTACTGATTTGATAAAAAATTTTTAATCTGCAAAATATCTTTTTTTTTTCAAAAGTTTTACCCTAATGCAAATAGATACAGTTCCATTGCACCTATTATATTCATCTTTCTGGCAGTTCTTAGAACTCCTTGAGTGCCAGGCATGGGATTACATGCCTGTAATCCCAGCCCTTAGGAGGCAGAGGCAGGAAGATCACTGTGAGTTCAAGCCCAGCCTGGACTGCATAGTTCAAGGGCAGGCTGAACTACAGAACAAAAAACAAAGCAAACAAAAAATTTCTTGATAAGATACTTAGTGTCTTTTGTCAGTTTTTAAAACTCTGCAGCCATCATTTGTGTCTGTGCCTTAATACTGTCTCTCCTTTCTGTGATTGGTTATTCGAATGTCATGTTCTCACCCTGTCTCCTGTGCTCCTGACCTTCTCCTCTAGCTTTACTGTTTTTACTCTCCATGCTTCATTCTGGATGCTTTTTTTTACACCATTCCTTACTTTTATAATTTTCTTCCATTCTTTTAACTTTTTCTTTTCGGAAACTGTTAGTCTTGTTTTTTGCTCTCCATGTATAATGAATCACTTAAGTGGACCCGATCTGTCCAGTAAGCTATATGACCTGTGAGTTAAGAAAAATTTTTGCATTTTTAAATGACTTTTGTAAAAAGGTGAAAATATACAAAAGAGGATTTGTGTTCACTTCCAAAAGTACAATCTAGTACAGCCTTACCCCAGCATCAGGCATTGAGGTGATTCTAAAATAAGTTTACTTTTGAGTCACACCTAACTTCTAGAGTGTCCCTCACTCTCCAGGGTTCCAACACAAGATGGTTCTTCTAAGCCAAGCCTTGGAGTTCAGCGTTAGCCTTTTAGCCTGTTGCTAAGATGCGTCCCAGCTTATTAGCCTCTTTGGGACTTGGAAAATATTCTTAGGGGAAAAGCAACCTCAAAAGCTGGATACACTGCATGTGTCACGTGTGGGAAGAATATTAGGCTTTTCTGTTGGTCTTAGATACAGGGTTCACCTGAGTTACCTAACCTAGCATTATCCTTGGCAAAAGTTCATGACTTCATTTCTTTCCATGTAGTTTCTCTAACTAGAGTGACTCCTTGATATATAATATATAAAATTCACAAATGAACATTTTCTCTTTCAGAATATATTTAATTTACACTAGTTGTGTGTTTCTTTAATGTTTTTCCATGTGAAACGTAACACTGTTTTTAAAAATAAATTAACTGCTCTTAACAGTCCTAAATATCAAGTTTCAAAGAAATTACTCAGAAAAACAAATCATATCTCCTGTATAAAATATTCACTACCCTTCAGAGAGTCTCCAGAGTGCAGTGGACTCTTTATGAGACATCTGTTTTATTTTATGGTATGAAATGTATTATACAGTCTGCATCACTGATAAAGATGTGACCATATTAAAGATGGGGTGGTGAATTTCTTTCTTTCTTGTGTTTTTTGTATGCCTGCACCTAGCACAGATACTCATTAAATCATTTTGATTACAATAATTTCTCAGGTACCAACTACAAAATAATATTAAGTATAAAGATGGTTAAAAAGGTTTTTGAGAGACTGAATACAATCTTTTTTTTTACTTAAATCCTACTCCCATGTGATATACTTTAAGCAATCTGTTTTATTTTAAGAGTTATTCAGCATTATATACAAATGATGAGGGAGTTATGTGTGTGAGGGTGCTTAGAGCATTCTTACCCTTTACAATGGAAACATCTGATATTTTTAGTTGGGGAAAAGGGCCAAATTTTTCCTCAGAAATACCATTAGTAATGGCAGTCAACTTGCCATTATTAATGGCAAACTTTTCAGTAGGCTTGTTACTTTTAGGATTGCCTAATTACTTTTAGAGAATGCTCTTGGGTTTTTACTACTTTTTAAAGTCTTCTGCTAAAAATGAAAATGTTAGGATAGAAAATTTGGAGCCAGGCATGGTGATGCACACCTGTAATCCCAGCACTCAGAATGCTGAGACAGGAGAATTGCCATGAGTTCAAGGCTAGCTTGAACTACATAAAGATACCTTGCCTCAAAAAAAGAAAAAAGGTGGGTGTGGTGGCACATTCCTATAATCCCAGCACTTGAGAGGCTGAGGCAGGAGGATTGTTGCAAGTTTCAGACTAGCCTGAGCTACAAAGTGAGCTCAATGCCAGTCTAAAGTCATAGTGAGACTCTATCTCAAAAACACCAGGAAAAAAAAAAAGGAAAGGAAAAGAAAAAAAAAAGTTCCATAGTAATATAAATAAAAATGTGCTACAAAAATTATGCTATGGCTGCGCGTGGCAGCATACACCTGTAATCCCAGCACTCAGGGTGGGAGTGGGGTCAGGCAGGAGGATCCCCGGGAGGTGAAGGCCAGTCTGGGTTACTTGGTGAGCTAAGAACAGCCTGAACTGCATAATGAAACCCTGTTTTAAAAAAAAGCAAACAGTTACAGTATGTTAGAACTCTTTTAAAAAGGTAAGACTGACTTTTAGAGTAACTCAGAGTATTTTTCTTTTTCAGCTTCCAGCTGATCTTACCAAGATGCATCTCACAGACAGCCATCATCCACAGGTGACTCACGTGTCTTCTAGTCAGTCTGGGTGTAGCATTGCCAGTGACTCTGGAAGCAGCAGTTTATCTGATATTTATCAGGTAATTGCCTCAAGAGTTGTATGATTTGCATAAAGCTTTTTTACTAGGCAAAATCCCCTGTGCTTGTGCCTTAGATGGTCAAGTATGTTTATATTGGGTGTGAAATTGAAGCATAAAGTCTTTGGAAAAGTATCCCTGTACATACTATTTCAAATTTGCAAGCCCTATTAATGTGATAATCTGTCTTTGAGAAGGATTCAGTGTAGTACCGCAATATGCCTATAGTATTCTCTTTTACCCAGGTAGACCTGTATTAATATTTAATTGCTGTTGTGCTGGCCATAGTAGTGCATGCCAAGGCAGGAGGATCTCTTCAAGTTAGAGGCCAAACAGGGCTACATAGTGGATGCAAGGCCAGCCTGGGCTACATAATGAGATCCTGTCTTTAAAAACAGATATGAGAGAGAGAGAGAGAGAGAGAGAGAGAGAGAGAGAGAGAGAGATATCAATCGGTATCTATATCACATTTTGATTAAAAAGGTTTTTGAGCTGAGTGTGGTAGCATACACATAGTCTCTACACTCTGGGAGGCTGAGGCAGATGGATTTGTAAGTTTAAGCCTAGCCTGGACAATTTAGCAGATCTTGTCTCAAAAGAATAATTAAAGGGCCAAGGGTATAGCTCAGCCTGCCTGGCAAGCACAAAGTCCTGAGTTAATTCCCAGTACCCAAAAAAAAAAAAAAAAAAAAAGTATAAATGAAAAGAGCTAATTAATGTATAGCAGTACAAAGGCCCTGAATTCAATCCCTAGGACCACCACCAAAAGGGTATGTGTGTGTGTGTGTTTGTGTGAAACTAGAATTTAGAAAACGTTGATTTTTATTATAATAGTTTCATTCTTTTATATTTATATGTATAGAAAATTACAGTTGCTTTTGTACTGTAATGTCTCTATTACTGTAGTGTAGTAGGAATTAAATAGAAAATAGTATGTTTATGGATGTTTCCATTTTAAAAACCCAATAGAAGCTTAACCTACTGAGACTTTCAAGTGATTGTTGTAATAGAAAGGCCTGGAAAAACCTCTACACTGATAGTGGCCTTGTGAGTCTTGCTGAGATTAATCCCAAATGAGGTCCAGGCTCATGTGGTGTTTCATCATGCTGATAATGGAATTTCTGTGATGCCTCCATCAATGGAAGAGGTTGAAGCTGTTTCCTGGGAGTGGCGCTTTATATCCTGGAGCCCAGGGGTTGCTTTCATCAGAGACTGTGGGTGGAGAATGTAAGACAATTTTCTAAAAATAACTGGAGTATCCTTGGTATCGATTGATTTATTCAAGAATTTAGGTGTATTGAGGAAGGACTAAAACTTAGTGTAAGCCACATGCTTATAAATTTTATAGTGGATACAAATTAATAAAAGTTTTATAAAAGGAAACAGGTAAAATTAATGTTAGTAATATATCTTATTTAGAACAATATATCCAGATATTACAATTTCAACTTAAGATTTTAAACTGACGAATGAGTTATTTTGCATTCTTTTTTGCATACTAGGTTTTCAAAAGACAGTTTAATTTAAACTTACAACAGTCTCAGTTCAGACTTGTGTATTTCATGTGCGCAGTAGCTACACATGTCTGGTGTCTACCATATACAGTATTTTAGATCTGTAAAAAGAGTTCCTTACTGTCTAAGAGAAGGACTTGAGAATCTGAGATACCCAGATTTAGATACTTTAGCAAAATCAACCTGCCTCTGTGAGTGGAAACTTGTGAGTAAAGGCAAGATAGGAAAAATGACAACTTGCATTTTTTTGCTTAATGTGTGATTTTTCTCAATAAAAGTTATTACTATAGTTGTCTACATCTCCCTGATGGTCATTTTATAATAGAAAGAACAAGAAATTTTTAAAAGGCAGGTATGTGGTACACAGTTATGAGTCCAACACTTGGGAGACTAAGGCACAGGATCCCAAGTTCAAGGCCAGTTTGGGTTGCATAGCAAGGTCCTACTCCAAACAAACACCAAGTAATATTGAAAAAAAAAAAAAAAAAAAGCAAAATTAAGATGGTACAGTGGTTCTGGACCCATCAACTATATTTGTGTAATTTTTGGTGATGGTGCATTCTGTTCCTCCCCAAAAGAAGTATCCTGTGGAAGAAGTAAGATTACACACCTAAAAAGTCAAAGAAGAGCTCTCTTTCCAGGAGAGGAACCTTAAGAAAGATTGACCTTGAATTAATCAAGTCCAGGGATGCATATGATGCCTTAGATTTTTCTGGTGAGAATGTCTGTTGTCTCGTGAGGAGACACTGTACTAACAGTTAGGAGACATGGTGTTGACAAGCCCAGAATATATGCTTAACTTTTTGGATCAAGGAACAGATCCCTGGATAGTTGTGAAGGAAGAGGTAAAAGGGTCTTGCACAGGTTGATATTCAGGGTCAGATACAAAGGCCAGTGCTTTACTGTAAACTAGAGAATTGACCGTATAAAGCTCATACCTTCACAGATATTAGAAAACCTGCTGAAGTACTGCATCAACTAGCACTCTACAGTTCATTGTGCTTTATAAGAGGTTCATTTTAAGAGTGGGCAACCACAAATAGTGTCTTTGCCAGTGTCTTAGTTACTTTTTACTTGTCGCTGAGATAAAATACCTGAAGCCCAAAGTTGGGAAAGGAAAGGTTTTATTTCTTACAGTTTTTGGAGGTTTCAGTCCACACTCAGTTGGCTCCAAGACAGGCAGGCATGGCTGGGCTGCAGTTCATGGCGGCCGCCAACAGCCTACTGGAACCAGCAAAGACAAAAACACACCTTCTTCCTGCCATTACATCACATCCTGGCTCCACCCCTATGTGGGAGGAGCACTGACACCATCAATCCAAGCACTATACAATGAACCATCACAAATGAACAATGCAAACTCATGAGGCCTGGGGGACACAAACATAAACCATGGTAGCCAGACATCCTGCTTGTTCTAGGGAGTCCAAGAAGATACCTTTACACCCAGTCAACAGTGTTGTGTTTGGCTGTCCTCTCACAGTCATCACATTTCAGAACCAAGTTGGTTCAGTTGTCCCTGCTATATATAAGTGTTTCATATTAACTGCTAAATAATACACAGAGTGGAATTTAATACCCCTCCCCTTTGGGTTTTGCCATGTTGCCCACACTAAACTCAAATTCACATCTTTCAGTCTTAATCTCCCAAGTACCTGGGATTACAGGTGTGTGCTACTGGGCCCAGCTAAAATTTTTAACCTACATCAAGGCATAGAACATGTCTATTATCTGAGAAAGTACTCTGTGCCTCTCTGTCGTCAGCCCCTCCACCTCTCACAACCACTAGTCTGTTTTCTGCCCTTACAGTTTTGCATTATCCAGAAAGTCATATAAGCAGATAGTACAGTTTTTAAAAGATGATACAATGTAGGGTGTGAATGTAAGTTTTAATTTAGGGAAAGCAAACAGATAAAAGTAATAGAAGTATTGAAATTTCTGAAAAACTGAAATACGAATGCAGAAACTTAAAGGAGAAAGTTATAATGCTAAAGGCAAAATGCAAAAAGGTAACATAAAGTCTTTTAAGAGTAGCCAAAAAATGTAAAAATTCTTGAACTCTTTTTTATAGTTAACTGTGAGGTAATAGCCAAAAGGTAGAAATTCTGTAAAGATTAAAGTAAAACAGAAGGGGCAGGGCAGGGAGCAGCATTGCATGTCTGCTAACACAAGTTTATACCTAGCATGTATTTTCTGTGTTTTATGCACAGACCATAAATATGAATTCAAGATTATCAGTTAACACTGTTAGCAGTGGGTTTCTGCTGGTGGTAGGTTCATGGGTAGTTTCTATTATGTTCCTTATGTGAACATTATTATTTGTATATTTGGCAAATCTTGGGGATGTAAACAAAGTTAAAACTGAAAAAACCTATAGGTAAGATTAAACAGTAAGAGGATTAGAACAGAATTAGAATGATAAAATACATCTACAAGAATGCAGAATTTATAGATCTACAATTCATAAAAATGCATGAATAAGGGAAATAATGCAACACAAAATGTGTATGCATTCACTGGGGCTAACACAAAGGAAAGAAGAATTAAATACCTCCTTTAACCACAGGCTACCTTTGGAGTACTTGTTAAAGCTATGAATATACCCTTTAGGTACAGGTGTACATTGCAAATACAATTGATTTATCTGATTATATGAATTTCAGCGTTTGATGTTTAAAATGTAAATGCACAGCCTGTAATAGTATAAAACTTTATGAAATGATCCTAAAAAGCAGATCTTAGCAAGAAAACTATACCTTTTTATGTAGCCAAATGTGTGACTGTATTCTTGTTTCTCTTTCAGAGTTTTTGTGATTTATGGTTTAAAAGTAAAATCTCCTAACTCCCAAAGAAATGTCAATATATTTACTAGTCTGGGAGAAAAATGCAATAGTAATGGTTCTACTCTAAGTATATTTCTAATCAGATTAGTTTAAAAGTTAGTTAAAAGTGTGCGTTAAGATGTTACAGCATTCTTGAACAGAGTGTTTTATGCATTGTCAGAGACTACTCAAGAGAATGGGGGCTGCTTCCTCAATTCTGTTGTCTATTACTGTACTTAAGTCTTTTTTGAGAGCTGTAAAATTATGAAATACTGATTCCTGAACAAAATAATTTTTCTTTTCATTAACTCATTCTTAGGTAGCCTGTGGCACACATTCATCCCCCACCCATCTTCCTTAGTTTCTGTGTAAGAAATACGTAAATGTCTAGATTCTGTTCCTTGACAAATTTACACACTATTCCTCAAACATACTTGCTTTTTCCTACCCTGATTTTGTAGTTATGTTCCTCAACCTGTAACACCACCTAGATGAAATTTTCATTTTTCTCTTGCGTTTTTCCAATAGAAAGAGATGTCTCCTTCTGTAGATTAATTATTCTGTGAATTGTGTCAGTTTTCCACTGCGTTTTCACAGTGCCTTATAAACCTGACATTCTATCTCATTAGAGTACACTTATAGAGAACAGAGTTTATGTCTTCTTCGGGTATTTCATGCCAAATCAAGCACAGTATTGAGACTGAAGAAATAATCTATGATTTTTGTTTTAATTAAATGATATCTGAAAATAGAAACCAATGTTGATTCCAAGAAAAATGCAGAAAGCTAAACTTTCTTATACAAAGCAAAAGAATTGTTTTGCCTGCCTGCTTCCCTGTTGTGGAGATACGTAACAGACCACCCTACACTATATAACTGTAAAAAATTAATTTCACAGGTTTTTTTCCCTTACAAGGAGTATAAAGAAGAGCCATAAGAGCATATGGAAAAATACTAAGTGTAATACTAAAAATAAAAACACAGAAGAGATCATGAAAAGTGTAAACCTTCTTATTTAATACTTTCCCTAAATTTGAAGATAGAGATCATGGAAAGTGTGAACGTTCTTATTTAATACCTTCCCTAAATTTGAAGATTTGGTTTTTAACTCTTGATTTCAGCCTGTGGTTCTTCTCATTGTAAATTCGTGTTTATACAGATACAGACAGGAAAAGGATGTCCTCTGACAGTTTATTTGGGGAAGGCCAAGTCATCAAAAAATTACCTCAGACTGTCTGCCTCACCAAATTATATTTTCACATAAACAGATGTAGTCACATGACAGGAAAAGAATAGCACGAGAAGTTTAATGATTGTGTGATTAGCCCCATCACCAGTGTTTTTCTCCTGGGCCTTTAGTGCATTTTCCATGAGTTTTCTGAGGGAGGGCTGTGTCCCAGATGGCCAGGGATCTAGTCTACTGTCATAGCCTACCTTAGTTAAAGCAGAGTATGACTCACATTTTTTTTTTACTATTATTCTAAGTCTCAAGGATTCTGTTCATTTTTCCTCTCTCTCCATATAGTATTAGTTTGTTGCCGTTTCATCAAGTTTACCCATTTGAGAGTTTATACTTCCTTGTTGCGTTTCCCCATTTTTCCTTTTAAGCACGTACTAGTCAGTCACGAGATAGTAAGCCTGACTTGTCCTAGTGCACTCACGTTCTGTAACAAAATATCACAGGTTGGGTAGCTTATATACAGAACTTCATTTCTCACAGTTTTGGAAGCTAGGAAGCCTAAGGTCATTGTGCCGGCAGGTTTGGTATCTTGTGAGAGCCCTCTTTCAGGTTCTTTGGTGATGCTGTCTAGCTGTGTACTCTTTTATAAGGGCATTAATCTCCCATTTATGAGGACTCTCATTACCTAGTCATGCTCACCTAATCACTTCCCAGAGGCCCTATGTCCTAATAGTACCTTGAAGGTAGAGTTTCAACCTAAGAATTTTAGCGATCTGGGAGTGTTACTTCAGTGATAGAGACCTTGCCTGCATATGCACAGCCCTAGCTTCAATCCTGAGGACCACAGAACAACAGAAATTTAAGATGACACAACTACCCAGACCACAGCCAGCTTATCTATCTGAAGTTACATGTTGAGTTCAGTAGTCTGGATTTTAACTAGCTGTTACTTAAAGCTGTACAAAAATCCAAAGCAAATATGTCACGCTCTTAGAAAAACTAGACAGAACTCTCAGTGGTAGGTATCAGTGCATTAACTTGAATAAACAAAAACCAAAAGGGTAATTTGTCGAACAAAAGAAAGCACAGTCAGCTCTGGCCTCGAGGTGCCTGGCTGTTTAGAAATGTGTCTCCCTGTCTGTTTGCTCTGAACTTCCGGCTCCTGTGGCTTGCTTTCCTCTCTTTCTCTGACACTCGCCATCTCCTTGTGCTTGACTTCACACATGCTATTTCTTTCTCTGCCCTGCGTGCTTTATTTCTGTTGCTTTGTTGCTCCTTGTCTGTCTTATCTCTTTCTACTTCTGTCTCTTCCTCATTGTACTCTTTCCCGTCCCTCTTGCCCCTTACCAAGTTGTCAGCTCTGTTCTCTCCCAACACTAAAAGTCATTCACATATGGCTCTCTCTCTGATTTGTCCTGCAAGGCAGAAACCAGGGAAGAAAAATTCTCCACTTCTAGCTCCAGTTATAAAAATCCAAAAACAATTTTCTTTGTACCTTAGAACTATGGAGCAGGGTACTATTTCCCACTGGAGTCTTGAGTTTAGGAGGAGAAAAAAGGCAGAACACGAAAGAATGTAAAGCCTGTTTTGAGAAGAAAGACAGTAAATTTTCAGAGTAGAAAATGAGATGAATACTGTATTTGGATGAGGCTTTCATAACCTTAACTATTACTCAACCCAAATAGTCGAGTGTTATGGGGGGTTTTGTTATTTTTTGGCACTGAGGATCAAACTCATGACCAGCACTCACTGGGCAAGTGCTTACACTGCTGAGCTAAATTCCTGGATCCATCAGGTGTTTATTTTTTGTTACGGAATTCCTGTATGTCCAACTCATTTTCTGTAACTTCTTTAATATTCATGCTTTTTTATTTACAATATGAATCAAGAACGTAATATTTGAAATAACTAATAAAGGACAATATTGTTCTTTTAAATTTTTTTTCATTTTCTGAGTGACTTTTTAATTTATAGTATTGAAGAATCTGCCAGTTATTTTTATAGCTCAAACTATAATATTCTCAAAGTTGTTTAGGTTTATCATGAAGATTAACCTCAGTTCTTGGTACTTGTTAGATGGAGAAATGACAGGTATTCCTTTATGAGTATTTTAGCACGTTTCAGTGTTGTATCTTTTTTTTCAAAGTTGCTTTTATTTTTATTTTGGCTCGCATAAACTTCTGTTTTTAACTCAGATGAATACCTATCCCGCTAGACTTTACACCTCTCTTGATGAAAGTTATCTTTTCACGAATTCAGCTTAGACAGATACTTACACATATATTGATACTTCATTCTTGCACTTAATGTTTTGAAAAACTTTGTGTTTTTAGAAATATAAGTGTTTTGTTGGAAAACAATCAAAATATTTAGTGATGTTTCAGTCTTCTGACCAAATTTGTATTTCCTGGCTAAAATTTATCACTTAAATATCGCACTGTGGAAAGGTAAGCCTATATTTTTTTTGGTTAGAAAAAAATTCATAAATGTAATTTCATTGTATTTTTATTTTTGGCACTAGAGATTGAACCTGTGGCCTTCTGCATAGTAGGCAAACTGCTTTGTTCATTGTATTCTTTTTTTTTTTTTTTGTCTTTTTCATTTTTATCGGTACCAGGGATCGAACTCACGGCTGCCTGCTTGCAAGGCAGGTGCTTATGCTGCTGAGCTAAACCCCCAGCCCCATTCATTGTATTCTTAATACAACATACATTGTTGTCTAGTCCTTTATAATATTTGCTGTAGGTGAAGTAGTTTTCGTTAATTCACACTGACATATTTTAACATAAAATGATAAGTGACTGAAATTTCTTTCTGTAGGCTACAGAGAGTGAAGTAGGAGATGTAGATTTAACTCGTCTTCCAGAAGGACCTGTTGATTCTGAGGATGAAGAAGAGGAAGAGGAAGAAATTGATCGAACAGATCCATTGCAGGGACGAGATCTTGTTCGAGAATGTCTTGAAAAAGAACCTGCAGACAAAACAGATGATGACATTGGTAAGAACTATATCTGTTCACATAAGAATGTGTAGATTTATTGGATACGTTTACCTGCTGCCAGTTAAACTATTCTAAAAGTTAAAATATAAACAACATGCATTTGTATTTTGTAGGTTTTTTGTGAGTTGAGAATTTTAATAGTGTAACAGGACACGTGTGGTGCTGTATCTGACATAACACTGTAGTCAGAACATCACGGGTGGCTGCAGCATCTCACTCTTCACTGGGCTGAGCTAAGGGGTCTGTGTCCAAGATGGCTACTTAACCCGGCTTTCGGTCCCAGACCTCATTTCCTTCCTCATCATGTGGGCCCTCCTAGCTTGTTTTCATGTCCTTGTATCGTAGCACAAGACTTTGCCCACAGCAAATAGTCCGCGGAAGAATAAGACAAATTTTATAGTATTTTTTATGATTTAGCCTCAGAAGTAACACATCATTAGTTCTGCCAATGATTTGTCATACCAGACAGCTCTGCTACATTATGGGAGGCAACTCTACAAAGTGTGAAAATCAGGAGAACAGGATCACTGGGAGCCATCTTTGAAGCTGGCTGTCACAGATTATAAAACAAAAGCTTTGATAGCATTAAATCAGGTTTTCCCTTCATATCTATAAGATATTTAAAACAGTTACAGGAGTGTCCAGTGTCAATGAATTCTCTTTTTAAAAATTTTTCACTGCCTGGCAACAATGAGGTCATGAGTTCAATCCCCAGCACCAAAAATTTTTCAAAAATTGTATTTTTATTTCCCTACCTTGGGGAAAAAGAAAAAAAAGAATATATATCTTTTAGTGTTTTGGGTTTAAACTTTACACATATTCCTTTATGTAATTTCTTGCAGAACTTGTTACTATGACTGGAAATTAAATGCTAAAGATGATGATGTTAAAGGTTACTTAGTGTGTGTGTTAGTTACTGTCTTTTTTTTTTTTTTTTTTTTTTTTTTTAATTTAAGGAGAAAAGAAAAAAAAAAGCAGGGAAAGGGTACAAGTTATACAGATTTACAGAAAAAAAATGAACAGTAGGAAATCACTAGTTAATGGATTACATATTGTCATCTTAGAAATAATTGTTCAAGTCACAAAATTAAAGCTTGTAAAGTGGACATTCCATCAATGATACTGCAAACAGTTCTGTTCATTGATCCAATAAAACTCTGTGATATCATTTTCTATCTTATACACTTAAATATACATGCAGTAATATAGTTTGGAGCACTTTCTTTTCCTCTCTTTTGTACCATGACTATTACACATTTTGGGTTTCATTGCTCCCACTGTTCTTATTACTTTTTTGGAAGAGAGTAAAACCAAATGTGACATAACAGAACAGAATTGGTCAAGTCAAAAGGGTGGACATAATAGATAATGTAAAAACATAATACAAGGTGATCAACAATGGTTACTATAATGCCTCCCGCTATCTCTAATAGAATTGCCTATATCGTTAGTTATAATACAATTGAACAAAACAGTAAAGAATAAAACCGACAAAACCAAAACATTGGAGACATTGTAGGTCTTCAAAAGTAGATAAAAGTCAACAAGAATGGGCGTCATAATGAATCTCATTATCTTCACAGCTGATGCCTAAACTTTCGAACCTGATACTATCCAGCAAAACAGAATAGGGGAACATCAGTTAAAAACCAGATGGTGAGAGTAATACAGGGCTTTAAATCAAGGTAATGAAAAGTCAAAGTGGGTTACTATAATATATCCTGCTATTTTTTTCCTTTAATTAAAAGGATAAAGATAAAAAAGTAAATAATGGAGTGGAGATTGAGATAAAAGAGGGCATAACAACGAAACAGTGCAGATCAAAACATAACCATTTAAGCAGAATAGTGTTTCACCATCAGATAATCCTAACCTAAAAGTAGTTACCATATTTTCTCTTTCTTTGAAATCCTTGAGTACAACTTCATATACTGTAGCATTAAGTATATCAAAACAATGTAAAACCATTCAAGAGAATGACAGCATTACAGAGTATTTAGAATCGACTAACAGAAAATGAATAATGGTTTCTGTCTTTACAAGGTTTTTGCTTGTCTTTACAAGGTTTTTGCTTATACTATCGTACATAATAAAATCCAGTAAGATACAACCTATTTAGACCATTAGAGACAGAAGGACAAAAGCTAGATGAGACTTCAAAACAAGATGATACGAAATCAGTATTACCTATTAAGATGTCATTTTCTCCAAAATAGCTGTTCCTATCATCCAATCTTCTCTGCCTCATTTCTGTTGAGCTCTTTTTCTGTCAGTAGCTGTCAGTTTGTCTTCTTCATTTTGTTCTCTGCTCCATTTGTTGTGGCCTCTCTGCCATTATTTCTGGATTCTTTGTATTTTTCTTTTTTTAGAATATCCTGCAATACTCTCTGTAGAGTTGAATTGGTGGTTGCAAATTCCCCCAGTTCCTCTTTATCCTGGAAGCACCTTGTTTTTCCATCAATTTCCAGGGACAGTTGTGCAGGATATCTCAATCTTGGCTGGAGATTATTATCTTTCAAAGCTTGAATTATTTCCCCCCACGCTCTTCGTGATTTGATGGTTTGTGCAGAGAAATCTTGGTAGTCCCTTTGAACCTGCTTCACGTATTCTATGCTTTCTCTGTTTTCTCCATCAAACAATTCTCCCCTTTTTTTCTGCTCTTCCATTCCACCGCCTGTTTTTTCTTGGGTGGTACTTAGCATTTCTCTAACTATTCTGCATACTTCTAGCTTCAGGTCGTTGATAACTTCATTCCTGAATTGGTCTATGAGGCTCTCTATATGGTGCCTTATGTATATTGGTGCGGTGTCTGCTATTGCCTCTTTCTCAGAATTGGGGGCCGAGGAGCCTTTCTTGTTGCTGCCTCTTCCCATGCTGCCTCTTCTTCTCTGTTCCTTATATATGCAAGCTTATATGAGAGGCCCAGCTTCTCTCCCAGTCAGCCACAGCCTGATCGAATTGCGCCAGTTAGGTGTTCCCGCTCACCGCTGCGCACCAGGGAGTTACGGACCAGGCAGCCTACGCGTCTCCCCTCCCGGCCACCGTCAGGCTCTGGGATCTGGGTTGGGACAGTCTACCAGGTCCGCCGGCAGCGTCACGCAGGCCAGGCACTTTTCACCAATCCCACCCGAGAGGGGGATGTGTGGCTGGAGTCGCCACTGCGCCCCGCTCCCGCAGGACTGCTCGGACCCAGAAAGTCCTCCGCTGGAGTCAAACTGTGGTAGAGTGTCAGCTTCTCTCACTCACCTCACCACAAGTCAGTGCACGCCTCCCTGCCGTTCGCAGATTTCTGTTCTCAGAGCTTCTGCGCGTCTCTCTCCTTGCCGAGCCACTGTAGAGGCAGCCAGCCGCCGTGCGGCGGGAAACCCAAATCGCGGCTTACAATGGCGCGGGGTCCAGCTCCACACCGAGGCTTTTCTGTTCCTGTTTTAGCACCAGGAATGCATTCCAAGTTGGTTTCTCTCAGCCCAGTTCGTTCCTGAGTCAGCGGAGCATATCTCCACCTGCTTATGTCTCCTTAGTCCGCACCATTCCTGGCTTCTGAGCCAAGTCTTTCAGAGAGCCTCCGGTAGTTGCTGTTATCTGTCCGCCATGTTTTCCCGGAAGTCCAGAAGGCTAGTTACTGTCTTATGCTGAGTACTGTCACACAGTACTCAACACCTACAACTTAAAGGAGGTATTTTGCTTAAATGGTTATGTTCTGACCTGTGCTGTTTTGTTATTATGTCCTCTTTTATCTCAATCTCCTTTTTTTATTTTTTTTATCTCTTTAATTAAGGGAAAAAATTAAAAATAGCAGGATATATTATAGTAACCCACTTTAATTTCCTATCAGCTTGATTTGAAACCCTGTATTGTTCTCACCATCTTGTTTTGACTGATTTTACTCTCTTCTGTTTTGCTTGATAGTACCAAGTTTGAGAGTATAGGCAACAACTGTGAAGACAATAAGATCAGTATGATACCCCTTCTGGTTTGACTATTATCTTCTTTTGAAGTCCTGTGATGTCTCCAATGTTTTGGTTTTATTGGTTTTGTTCTTTACTGTTTTGTTCAATTTTATTATAACTGATGATATAGGCAATTCTTTTTAAGATAGCAAGAGGCATTATGGTAACCATTGTTGATCACCTTGTATTCTGTTTTTACATTATGTACTATGTCCATCCTTTTGATTTGACTGACTCTGTTTTGTTATGTCACATTTGGTTTTATTCTCTTCAAAAAAAAGTAATAAGAACTGTGGGAATAATAAAACCCAAAATGTGTAATTGTCATTGTAAAAAAGAGAGAAAAAGAAAGTGCTCTAAAGGATATAACTGCATGTATATTTAAGCATATAAGATAGATAACCATATTACTGAGTTTTTGTTGGATCATTGAACAGAACTGTTTGTGGTTTCATTGTTTGAACACACTTTATATGCTTTAATTTTGTAATTTGAACAACTATTTCTAAGATGACCATATGTAATCTATTAACTAGTGATTTCCTACTTTTTTAAAAATTCTGTATAACTTGTACCCTTTTTCTGTTTTCTTTTTCTCCTTAAATAAAATTTTTAAAAAGTTTTTTTAAAACAGTAAAGTGAATAGCCCTTTCAAAAAAGTGAATAGTCCTTGGCCTTCTGAGGACATAATATTGTTAAATAACCAGCACTTTAAACTCACAAACTAAACATTATCTGGACAGAAGCTGAAAGTGCATTTTCAGTGACAAATTATATACTGTGCTATTTTCAGAAAATTTTTTAAAAGTCGAAATACAATTGTTTTCAGTCATCTGTGAGTTACAGTATACAGTTTCTTACAGTCTTTTCTATTGAAGCCTCTGACTGAGTGTGTATGTGTGTGTTTCCCTTACGTTTATCTTTATTTCTCATGTACCAAAGCATGGCTTGTGGAGCCAATAAACATTAGAGTGTCGTGTAGTTGCTTTAACAAGTCTTGAACTGAAATTCACATTTGTTGTCCCTAATTTAATTACAGTACTTGCTGACATGTATTATAGCATTTAAAAGAACAAAAACAAAAATTCCAGCCAGTTAAGATCGGATGAAAGTTGCTCTCTGCCATCAATTAGGTCAAAAGATCACTAGGCTTAACCAACTAGGGGTGGTGTCTTAAGCTTCACAAACTAGATAAACTGCTTATCTTCATCCAAACCTGGCTTTCTCTGGTATCCTACAGTATACCCAGGTTTATATGGGAGTTGAACATATGCATAACCTTAACTGATGTTTTAAAATCCATAGTCATCTTGTATCTTGGTTTCTCTACTTTAACAGCATGAATTCCTAATTTGAATAAGGTACTCCGTGTTGAATACTAGTTTTTGTTGTATGTTTAATGCTTACACTAGAATTTCTGTGTTTCATAGAACAGTTACTTGAATTTATGCACCAGCTCCCTGCTTTTGCTAACATGACAATGTCAGTCAGGAGAGAGCTGTGCTCAGTGATGATTTTTGAAGTGGTGGAGCAAGCTGGAGCTGTCATCCTTGAAGATGGGCAAGAGGTAGGTTAGATAAATGTCATGTATCCTTGAATGTGGGTGCTAATTTTCACTGATTTTACTCTTAGAATTTACTTACCATAAACTTAAATATATCCTGAATTGAAATTTAAACTATCTTAAATAAATACTGAGTTCAAGGTAGTTATAATTTCTGAAGGGATAAATTTTTGGTTTTCTTTATTTTAGATTTGATTTTAGGCAGTGGATTTTAGGCAGAGTAGATATTCAGTAAACAATAGTCATTGAATCAGATGTTTTTATTTCCCAAATTAAGCTTTTATTTTTGTGGGAATTTTTCTGTTGTTTGGTTGGTGTGCTTTACTTTTGGGATCTTTTGGTGATTCTTCTGCCTCAGCCTCTCAAGTGCTGGGATTACAGACAACATGTGTTGCCATGTGCTGCTCAAATTAGGTTTTAAGACTTTAAGAAAAATCTGTACATGTCTTACTGTTTAAAATGTTTATCAACAGTTATATAACACCTTTTTTTAAAAAAGACTATGGCTGTGTGAGACATCTCTGTGGCAATTTTTTTTTTAAAAATGTTCAGATGGCATCTTGTAGATGAACAGAAAGGATGTAAGGGGGTTGTAATATATTTGGAAATAACTGTTTTGTATCAAATTAGTAAAAGATAAATGCCAAACTTCCAGTTACTGAACATTGTCATTTACTACTAGTAGGAATATAAATTATATATGTGTTGTGGAAGTGAGTACAAAGAATATATATAGATATAGAAAGTCATTTAGAAATTCTTGGCCAGGCTTGGTGGTACATACCTATAACCTAGCACTCAGGAAGCTGAGGCAGGAGGATCACTGCAAGTTCAAGGTCAGCCTAGAGTACACAGCAAAACCCTGTCTCAAAAAAAATAAAGAAAGAAAGAAAACTCTTAGCTACTCCTAATAACAAGTTTCTCTGATAGGGCTACTATGTTAGCAATATGAGTTACTATATACTAACATGCCTAGTTTCCAAAGTACTGCGGCCTCCAATGTGTTTGACTTAGTGTTTCTTCTGAGGACATCATGTGAAAAAAATCTCACTAATATAAAAAAGATGTTATGTGCAGTTTATTTATAATTGTAAAAATTGGATCGAACAAAATATAATCCAAGAAAAGGTAACAATTAAATCATATAGGAATAGAATATATAGATTCTCAAATCATTCCATTTTATTTTTGGTTTTTATATCACTAAAGATGGTATAAAAACCATCTCTAGTGGGGCCCTTGAACATGCTAGGCAAGTGCTCTACCACTGAGCTACTGCTCTAGCTTCTCAGGTTATTTTATAAGAATTTCCCTCAAGGTCCGGAGCCTTATCTAGCTTTGTTTCTATGTCTGCTTCTTATCTCCTAGAATACTTAAGACACATAGGATATAAAGTTTGGTGAACAAATGAACACAATATTTTAAAAAAAAAAAAAATTTTAAAGCAAGATGGAGCCGGGATGTAGCTCAGCGGTATAGCACCTGCCTGGCAAGCATAAGGTCATGACTTTGATTCCTGGTACCAAAGTATAAGTAAATAAAAATAAAGGCAGGAGGGGCTGGGGATTTAGCTCAGCGGCATAAGCGCGTGCCTTCAAGCTGGCAGTCATGAGTTCGATCCCTGGTACCAATAAAAATGAAAAAAAAAAACTAAATAAATAAATAAAAATAAAGGCAGGATAACCCAAGTATTTCAACAGTTTTAAATAATAATTGGCAAGAAGTAAACTAAATTATCTGTTTAACATTAGGGTTTTTAATGTTTTTTATGCTCTTTTTTGTAAGTTTTGTATTTTCTACCATCCTGTGAGGAAAATTGGTCATGTGTCAACCTTGTACCTGGTACTGCTTTAGACACAGCGGTAGGAAAAATCAGACACAGTGCCTCATCTCAAATAGTAATCCACAAGTTCAACAGTGAATGTAATTTATAATTAAAATAACCAAACTTTTGAAAACTTTCTTGTTGCCACTGATAACTATTCAAGAACTGGAAATTCTAGATTTTCCTTAAATCTCATTAAAATTATTGAAAGTTAGGCTTAAAAAGGAGTGGGATATTAAATCAGGAAAAAGTAATATTTTGTTGATACACATTAGATCTTTAAAAATATATCTCGCTGTAGGATTAAAAATACTTCCATGTAAATGAAGACAATGTCTTCTCAACCTTAGGAGTAATTTTGAATTTTATTTTTGTTAAATTTAGACTTTTACTAATCTGTCTGTGTATCTATCTTTCATTCTTTTTGTACTGGGAATCAAACGCAGGACCTTGTGCTTGCTGGGCAGATGCTGTGCCCCTGAGCTATGTCCCCAGCCATGCTAATCTTTTTAAGTCATTAACTTCCTTATATTTTTGTTCTTTTTATTTTATTGGTACATTTTAGAAATACATAGTGGTATAGTGGTAACACTCACGGAATTTATACTTGTACATGGTATATCTTGTGTTGTCTTTTTTCCCATTCCCTGCCCTTCCTTCAGCCCCTCTTCTGTTTACAAAAGCTTTGTTTCCTTTTTCTGTCTTGTCCCTTCTCCCCCTGCATTTGAACATTTTCCCCCATTTCTCAGTTTATATTTTGAGTGATTCTTAGGTGCCAAGCATTGTTCTAGGCTCTTTAGTATTTAGAAATTCACTTTGTTGACATAGTAGTCCTATAATACAAACTGCCCTATTAGCACTAATGAAACCGAGATCTGCGTATTAGCACTAATGAAACCGAGATCTGCATAGGATTATATAATTTACTGAAAGTCATTCAGCTAGTTAGTAGTAGGATCTGGATTAAGATTCCAAGGGTTTGTGCTCTTAAATATTTTAATTGCCTCTAAGAATTTGGCAGATTATGAAAGTTCTTGATTTTCTTTGTTGACTAAAGTAAGAAAGTAAAATTTCAGTAATTTACATAGACAAGGCAAAGGGAACTGTTGCCAGAGAATTTAATAATACAGAACCAGATTCTGTTTTTTCTTTTTTAAATTATACAAATTAGATATTTTGATAGATATCTTGTTAACATGAAATCTTTTTTAAAAGATTCTTAAATTTTTTTTTTCTGTAGCTCGACTCATGGTATGTTATTTTGAATGGCGCTGTAGAAATTAGTCATCCTGATGGAAAAGTTGAAAATCTCTTTATGGGAAATAGTTTTGGAATTACTCCCACTCTGGATAAACAGTACATGTGTGGAATTGTTCGGACTAAAGTAGATGATTGTCAGGTAAGCTGGTCTCTTTAGTCAAATACTCTTGCTTAATTTAAAATGGCTATACCTAGTTTTTGTTTTACTTTCTTCAAAACAAAATAGCTTTGTTTGAGAATTAGGAACAAAGGAAACTAGGTTTTTTGTCTGCATCAGATATTTGTAGAATTTAGTCAACTTTAAATTTTAAAGAGAATGTACCCAGTAACTTCTGTGTGACAACCAACCCAGTCTTTTTATTTTTAAACAAAGGGAAGAAATAGGAACTTAGTTGTTTGTTTCTAACTTACTCCTGCTTCATGTTTTCTTTGCAGTGTCAGTTTTGAAAGAAGTAGATACTTCTGCATTCAGAGGAGAATTCAAGCCAAGCTGATGTTTTTTGATTTTGTAGCGCATAAATTGTTTCACCTTAATTTTTCTTAAGGACTAGAAGGATTGAAGGACAGAGGACTGATGCCACTTGATTTCTTGCCTTTGTGCTCTGCCTTTGTGCACAGCGATGTATTTATGTACTATAGGTTCATTAATTGTCCCCATGTTGTTCTTGGACAGTTTGTCTGCATAGCCCAGCGAGATTATTGGAGAATTTTAAATCATGTAGAAAAAAATACCCATAAAGTTGAGGAAGAGGGAGAAATTGTTATGGTACATGAACACCGGGAATTAGACCGGAGTGGAACCAGGAAAGGACACATTGTAATCAAGGTGGGTGTCTTTGTTTACTATTTTAGGTAGAATAAAGCTTTTTATCTGACCTTGGAGGAGCATTGAGCCACTTTTAAGTAGCACAAGATACTTCACTATGGTAGTATATTGAAATTTGATTTAAATAACGTTGTTTTTTTGCTTTTATCTACAAATGTATGTAAGTCTAGCTGACTTGTATATGTTTCAGTGATGATCTCTGGGGTGAAGCAGCTTCTTCACATGGCTTGCCCCCTAACCCTAACCCTAGCCCTAACCCTAACCCTTGCACGCATGGTCAATTTCCAACTTCATTGGCTCCCAACAGTAATAAATGCATAACTTTCTCTTTTCAAACCAGTCTTAGTTCCAAGATAAGTGTCATTGTTTATTGTAGATTGAGCAGTTTACTAGTGAAGGAGACAAATCAGAGAGATACGAGTCTGGTGTCTTACTGATCTATGCCTTGGTCATCAAGCTTTTCCTCAGCACTTTCTTATATTGGTGAGTGTAAGCTTTGCATGTTAAAAAAAGAGAAAAAAAGATGAAAGGATAAGTGGACTTCCATAGGCTAGCAATTTTTTGTTTTGTTTTGTTTTTTGAGAAAGGATCTCACTGTATTACCCAGGCTGGCGGAAAATCACAGGGATCTTCCTGCCTCAGCCTCCTGAGTGCTAGGATTAGAAGTATACACCATGCCTGGCATATATATTTTTTATTTCAATTCTTTGTATCTTTTTATATGGAACATTGTTCTTTAATAGTTGCTAACTTACTGGAAAGTTGCAGAAACATTACAGAGTGCTCAGTCAGATTCCTCTATCTTTTTTTATTCATTTTTTGTTTTTTGAGACTAGGCTAGGTAGGCTAGGCTACCTGGCTAGGTAGTTCAGGCTGGCTGTGAACTCTCAGTGGTCCTTCCATCTCAGCTTCCTGAGGTTTCCTCCGTACCCTACTCCCCTACTTTCAGCATCATTTGATAGTGATCTACAGATGTAAAGCCTCTTCACTCTCAGATATATCAGATCTTTTTATAAACAGGAACACTCTCCTCCATAAATGGCACAAGGCCCTTCATGTCAGGAAGTACACATTGCTGATATAAATTCACTTGCCCAAAGTCCCTATTCAGTGTTCATCAGCAGTCCCAGTAGCTCCAGGCTCTCATCCAGAAGCACAGTTGCATTGAGTTGTCATCTCACTTCAGTCTGTTTTAGTTCCTCATTCTTTACCTGTGTTCCTACCCTCCGCAGATTTAAAGAATACAGTTCTTACATCCTGCAGTGTAACCCTTTACAAACCTTCCTCCTCACATTCCTGTGATGATATTGTTAACTGAAATAGTCACTAAAGGAGGAATTGTGTGTGATACGTATATCACAATATTCAGAACAAAGAAATGGCCAAAGCAAATTCAAATTTGATGTTTTTTTTCTTATATTTGCATAACACATGCAGTACTGTAATATACTACAGAACCTGAAATTGTGCCTTCTGTGCTGTACTCCCAGCAAAAGTTACAGCACTGTATGAGCAAGATGAGCGGAACCATAAAAAGCCATCGTGGCTGTACTAACAAGATGTACAAACTATACCAAAAATAAAAGGGCTGGAGTAGGGCGTCAGTGCAAACCATTGTTAAACAAGGAGCACTTGCACTTGGATCTGCCCAGTGTTTCTTCATTGCCATACGCAAGTCATTCTTCCCTGGGAGGAATTCCACCAAAATGGTGATTGTGCTCTTCCTGTTGTGGCAGCACAATTACAAAGATGCTGATCTGTCTGTCCAGCCACTACTGAAGTTAAGCTTGGTGTTCTGCTTGTGGTGGTGACTATATAACGTCTCCGTTGGACATTCTATAACTGACAATTGCACGCTGGAGAGATGTTCTGTGCTAATATCAGTATGCAGCCTCTGGTTTGTGGGTGGTTATAACTAGGTTTAAACTACTACCCACCAGTTTTGATTGCTGTTGACTGCTTCTACCTGAAATGGTGGTACCCTGTTTCTGTGTCTTCTGTATTTAGTAACCATCATTGTGTAAGGATGAGCTTCCTTGAGCCAGAGATTTAGCTGAATGGCATAAGCGCTTGCCGGGCAAGCAAGAGGTCATGAATTCAATCCCTGGTACCAAAAGGATGAGCTTCCTTTTCTCTTGTATTAACTAACTCATCTGTTGTATTCCCTTGCCATATTATTCTTTTTTTTTTTTTTTTTTTTTTTTTTTTGTCTTTTTCCTTTTTATCGGTACCAGGGATTGAACTCACGACTGCCTGCTTGCAAGGCAGGGGCTTATGTCACTGAGCTAAATCCCCAGCCCCGCCATATTATTCTTATACTTAAATTGTCTGACATTTGTCCTGTGAGATCTTCAAACTGACTCCTGCATTCTTTTGACATCATTTGAGTGCTTTCTTATTACTTGGCAAATAATAAAGTTCAACATGAACTTTTTCTGTGTCCTCTAGCTTTGGAATTCACCATTTCTCCAGTGAGCTTATGACCTCTCCAGGGGAGGATTAGCATTTATGTACTAAGATCTGGATAATCACTATTTGTTGCTACTGAGGTAGCATTGTTTTTAAATCCTCTCACCAGACAGAGCTAGGAAATATAACGTGTAGCAACCATGAGTTTAAATACTTCCAGATGTAGTACTTTACTGCAGAAGTTTCTCTAACCTTTTCCTGTGTGTATTTGTAAATATCTTTTCCAGAAGTTGCTTGTTACACTTTATTTGCTTATTTGTTGATTGTGATCAGTCTGCCATGCCCATATAACAACAGCACACATCTCTTTTGCCTGATACCATTATGTGCACCTCGTCATCAAGCATACCACCTCTTGGTTGCTAGTGAGCTGACTGGTGACATACCGTGCATGGTTGTGAGGCTCATCTGAAGAAAGTTTTCAGTGTCAAGCTTAGGCTGTCATGGATTTAACCAGGCAGAATGATAGCAGCTCCTTCATGTTGACCATTCCCACCCCTGACTTCACTGTGTATGATCTAAGAACCAGATTGAAGTGACCCAAAACGATGCTTAGATTAGATAATGAACCTGGCTCATACTCGTGGGCTTAGTATTTTGGAGAGTAGGAGAAGAAGGGTAAGTTACAGTCAACTTGGCACTTACATAGCATATAAAAAGTTTTACCTCTGGCTTCCTTCTAAAGAAAAGATTTTATTCTTTGTTAGCAAGGAATATCTTTTTATAAATAAATTTTTAGATTAGTATATCGTTAGCATTAATGTATGCTTACTACACAATTAATTGTGAACAGTGAATTGTTCAAGTAAAAGCAGCAAATTGAAGTTTGGTGTTATGACAACAGTTGATTGTCCTCAACCATGATACCTCTTGGTTGCATCTAGGCATTAATAGCTGGTTTCTTTTTCTGTTTTGTTTTTTGTTGCTTGCTTCTATATATGTACTATATATATGAAAAATCACAAAGGCCAATAAATGTTGACATTGATTGAGAAGCTCAAAGAGAAGTAGTGGTAAATGTTTATGCTTCCTTTTATAAATTGGGAGACAGGCACACATTTTAAACAGAGTGTAAAAACTAGTGTAGGAGTCTGGTTTTCTCCTAATATGGTCGTCCAGCAGGAAGAAACTATGGAAGAAGAAATGCAGTGATCTGTTCCAGCATGTAACAACAGCAGTAAAACTGGCTGTCTTGTGTTGACATATTGTTGCCATAGCCTAGGACAGAAGAAAATTTTAGGTGGATTAAGTTTGAAAGAAAGCTGGTTTCCTATCTTTTCTTTCTTTTTTTCTTTGCCTTTTCTTATTTAACTCTCACTTCTTCCTCCTCTTGTCTTGGACAATCATTACCATGCCCCCAGTTGTAATAGAAATAGCTGATAGCCTGTGAAAGGATAAATCAAAATGCCACTGGAAGCAGGTGTAGCTGAATAATGCTGTTGGGGACTTATTCCTCTATGATTTCTCATTGTGAACCTCTGGGTGCTGCTGAATTACAGCCTAGAGACCAACCGCCTGCTCCCAATGCTAAGGTTCTAAAGGTGAAACTCTAGTTTTAAAGAAATGTTTACAGAGAAGTTATTTGAATCCCAAGCTGTTTGTTTATTTTCTAATCCTTTCTTTCCTTATATTTTTAGGCAACACCTGAGCGTCTCATCATGCATTTAATAGAAGAACATTCTATTGTGGACCCCACATATATAGAAGATTTTCTATTAACTTACAGGACATTTCTTGAAAGTCCTTTGGATGTTGGAATCAAGCTATTGGAATGGTTTAAAATTGACAATTTAAGAGATAAGGTTGGTTTTTTATAAAGGATGTGAGAATGATGTTAACACTTAAATTTTACTAATGAGACCTTTTGCATTCAATGGATTTGTGTGTGTGTTTGGTTGGTTGGTTGGTTGGTTTTGAGTCAAGGTTTCATGATGTAGTTTAGGCTGGTCTTAAACTTACTACCCTAAGCTGGCCTCAAACTCATGGAGATCCTACAGCCTCAGCCTCCCAGGTGCCAGGGTTACATGTGTGTGCTACCACGCCCAACTTTATTGTTTTTTTTTTTTTAACAACAGTCCAGTGCATCTAAAAAGTGAATGCCAACAAAGATTGGTGGATAAATACATAAAATATTTTTCTGTCTTTTTGAGATAGATAAAATATTTTTTCTTGTCTTTTTGAGATAGATAGATAGATAAAATGTTTTTTTCTCTCTTTTTAAGTTCTTGCTGTGTAGTTTTGGCTGGCTTTGAGCTCACGTTGTAGCCCAGGCTGGTCTCAAACTTGCAGCAGTTCTCCTGCCTCAGCCTCTTGAGTGCTGGCATTACAGATGTGCACCACCATGCCCTGCTTCACTTACATTTTTAATAGAATAGCCTATTGAAAGTAGACATGATAAAAACAAATGAAAGGGAATATAAGTCTTAAAAGTGAAAATGTGAAGTAAAGCCAAGGTATAGCTGTGCAGGAAACATAATACCTACATGATAGTATTTGTAATTTTACTAAAATATTGAGTTTCTGAAAATTAATAAAATATTAACTGATCAATAACTTATAGTCACCAGATAAATTATTTTCAACTTCAGAATAAGGAATATCTTAATTTTTATGAGTTACAGGCTTTACAATCATTTGAAAACTGTGTGTCAAACCCTAATTTCTCTCTTCTATGTCTATGTCAAATCTTCCTTTACGTATTTTTTTTCATTAAACATTATTTGGTGTTTTAAATAGATTACTATTTACCGTGCATTTTGTATATATAATGGGCAGACTGATAATGCCTCAGCAAATCAGTGGGAATAAAGCATTATAAGAAAATAAAAAGCAGGATTTCAATTACCAACTGTCTTTACATTGCATTTTATAGGAAATATGATATAGGTAGAATTGTATTAATTAGAACACTATAGTGTCAAACATTATAGGCTTGCCCTTTTGCAGCTAAATAGTTATTTCAGTTGCTGAAAAATAAAGGTGTATTTAGTGAACAAATTTAGCAATAATCAGATAGCCATATACAAAAGAATAAAATTGGGCCTTTTTACCATATACAGGAATTTACGCAAAATGGGTCAGAGGCATACATATAAAAGTTAAAATTGGCATTCACGGAAGAAAAGATAAGAGTAATTCTCACAAACAAAAGAAAAAGTAAATTGAACTTCACCACAATTACTGCCTTATTTCAAAGGACCACAATCCAGAAACCCAAGATAACACATAAAATGACAAATTATATTTGCAAGTCACTGTTTGTTAATCTAACCTTTAAAAAGTTTTTGTGGAGCAAAATGACCCAGTTTACCGCTTAAAAAATTGTCAGTATTTACTATGAAGGGGTTGCAGATTTGTTTTTGTTACAGTTTTGGTTAAACATGTTCTTGGCTATAGAAACACTTTAGTATGGCCCTGTAAATTAATACAATTGCCTGCATTTATCATAGAAGCTTGGATTTTAAGCTGTATCATCCTGTGTGCTTCCTACATTTTAGTAAACAAGAAAACTTGTGTCTTTTTGAGCGCAGTGTCCTACTATGTTGTGTATCCAGGGAAGCAAAAGTTCCAACTGACCAATGGGACTAGCCTGGTTTTGGAAAGGGAATATTCCAGGGAGCTGGCCATAGAACTCAGTTCCTTCTGGTTTTCAGTATGCTTTTGGAATCTGCCTGTGCAGAAGGGATGCCTCTCATAAATACATGCTGCCTTCTCTGTTTCCACAGGTGACACGGATTGTATTGTTGTGGGTAAATAATCATTTTAATGATTTCGAAGGTGATCCTGCTATGACTCAATTTCTAGAGGAATTTGAAAAAAATCTGGAAGATACAGTAAGACTCAAAAGAATTTATCTTTTTCAGAATTTAGAGGCCTCCCTACCCCTTAGTGAGAACAGCAGTTTACAAGAGCAGCAGTTTTCATCTTTTCCATATGTCTCAAACATCCATTCTGAAAACTTTCAAATCTGTCCTAGAGACTTATCCTCCTCCTCTGCCATCTTACCCAGACAGATCTTCTCTCAACTCTCATTTCTGTTTAAGACCAATATTATTGTCCCTTAGATTCCCAGGCTTATAAACAGTATTCTTTTTTGTTGGCCCCTTTCTCTTTTTCTTGAATTTGGTGGCCAAGAATCCAGTCAGTTTCTGAAGTCCTCCCTCTCTGTGACTTAGACATATACATACTCATATCTGCTTCTAATCTCTTTCTCAGCCATTACTTTTCTACCCCCGGTTTAGAATTTTATGATTTTATTATACTTGATCTTTTAAAATAGCCTGCTAACTGCTCCTAAGTCCAGTTTGTCTTTTTAGTCTATTCGTGTGACCCAAAGACTGTTTAAAAACTATAAATGTTGCATGTTACTGTCTTTGTCAATGAACTATAATTTCTGCCAAAGTAGTTCTGTGTATTCATGTTCCTCATACAGATTTTTAGCTTTTTTCCTGTATACATTAGATTATAGCCAAACCAGACTGTGGCATAAGCTTTACCAGTCCTGCATCTCAATCATGCTGGAATTCTCTTGCCATCCTGCTATTGGAACTTTGAATACATACCTTACATATCAAATCTACATTAAGACTTTGACAGTTTATCTGTTGTGTGTGATTTCACTTTTTAAAAAATATACAGCATCTAAGACAGGTCCCTCAAGGTCCCCATAATATCCACAGTAGCTACTCATGAATCCCTTCTTTCTGTCTATTGTAAAACTGATCTGCAGGTGGCCTCTGGCTTGAATTTCAAATTTTGGGAATTGTGTAAATCATCCACATGGCTTCAGAGTACAGCTCAGGAGTCAGATTGCCTGTATTAAAATCAAACTGCACTATCTGCTAGATAACTTTATGTCTCAGTTATCTTAGTTGAAAGATAACCTCTAATTCAGTGAATATATGAGGAATATAATGAGTTAAATGATTGTAGCAGTCTGAAAACAAACAGCAAAAATGCTCAAGAACTATAACCTTCACAATGTGAGTGGATGGAGTTTAATGAACAGAAAATGGGCTGGGTTTGTCCCTTTCTTTACCTTGGTTCCTATAGACTTCTCAGCCGTGTATCTGCTCCTTGCAGAATGGGGAAAATGGTCAGAACCAGAGAAGTTAAATAAAGGGACACTGGTATCATTTAGCTGTTTTGGTGCTCGCTGTTTAAACATTTGAGGGACAATGAAATGTGCATAGTGCCTAACAGTGATAGAATTTTTCCCAGTAAATAATTAGTTATTGAGTATTTATTAAATTCTAATAATCCAAGGAGTTATGTGGAATCGAAACAAATATAAAACTTAGTGTCTTCTTTTGGGGGGTAGTGTCTTTATAGGAAAATGAAATTTACATTTTACCTTATTTGACAATAATTGAATATTTACCTCTTACTGCCACCTGGAAGTTGCACTATTATTGAGTTTAAAGAAGAACTAAAATACTAGAAGTTTTCCATAGAAATCTAGAACTCAGATGTGTCTTTGAACATGAAACCTTATTTGGAAAGGTGGTTCAAGTCATTGAAGGTTTTAAATAAAGGTTTAGAAATGTTCTGATTTATACACCAGCCGGGAGAGGAGGTTCAGGGAGTGAGAAGTAGTTTTTTGTCATTCCTCTGTAAATGAGCCTTCAAATCCCTTCTAACCTGTGTTTATCCAAAAGTATTCAAAAATCGTACTAAGACATTTCAATCTTGAAAGTACTCTGGAGTGGAAGTGTCCTCTCTTTCACTTTCATTTATCTCAGCCCTCTCATAACATAAGTGATGTTTTAGAAGCCCATAGGAAAAGGTTTTTGTGCATTTTACCCGTTTCTGCTTTACAGAAAATGAATGGTCATCTCCGGCTGTTGAATATTGCCTGTGCTGCAAAGGCTAAGTGGAGACAAGTTGTGCTGCAGAAGGCTTCCCGGGAGTCACCCCTGCATTTTGCCCTCGCCGGAGGAAGTGAAAAGGGATTTGGCATTTTTGTTGAAGGAGTAGAACCTTGTAGCAAAGCTGCTGATGCAGGACTGAAACGTGGTGACCAGGTAAATAAGTAACCTACCACTTGAAGCTTTCTCTTAAAAAGTGTGTCTGCTGTTTTTGTTCTCATCTGATATTTCTTCAAGTGAGCATGGCCTGTTTAAGGAAATATTTTTCTGAGCTTTTTAAATAGGTAATACTTAAATAAAGTTTATTTTTAAAACACATTGCTCATAATGTAATGTAAGCTGGACTTGAACTCACTACAAATTCCGTAGTGAGTTCCTCACTATTACCTTCTTGGAAATTTTGATATAGTACAGCCAGAAACTGCATGGTCCACTGCACTCTATCATCATGACCACCTTTGGGCCAGCCCATTCTGCAAGGATTAGGAAACTTGTCATCTGGCAACTTCATAATATTCCAGAAAGATCAGTGTATGGGTTAGCACCCTTGGAAATTTTGAAAGTGAAGACACTTCCATCTCTTCCATAGCATTTTGAAATACAAATGTCTGAAGATTGCCATAAATGGTGGTATCCGCTTACATACAGTACTGTAACTATACTCATAAACAAAGTAGGCTGGCAAGGAACCAGAAAAAAATGAAACACCGGGAGGAATCTGGTAGTGATTTATTCTTTTTATATAGGATTAGGTAACTGTTGGGCAGTGTATTTCAAAATGTGATTTACTGACAGCCTTGTTACTTTAAACAAAATAATTCTCAGGTTTATCTCAATGCAGTTCACCATCACATTCTCAAGACGAGGGCTGGGAATCTGTTTTTAACAAAGCTCTTTACAAACCTCTCTTCTCATGTGCACCAAAGGTGGTTTCCCAAAATTCAGTGAATTTAAAAAAAAAAAACAAAACCCACTGGTCATCAGAATCACTTGGGAAACTTACTTTTCCCCATTTGAAGTTGTGTTTATTCATTTTTTTTTTTTTTTTTAGAGTGTGGCTTTTACTTTTAAGAGCCATGTTACCATTTTTTTAAATTATGAGAATATGTTATAAAAGATGTAGCACTTGAGAACACTGATTTGTAACCTATGGATTATCTTACTCCAAAGGTCATTTGGAAAAATCTAGTTATACATATCTATCTGTATCTACATCGGTCTGTATGTATAATATAGACAGTTTGATTTGCTTGTGGTGGTGGGGATCAAATCCAGGGCATTGCACATGCTGGGTAAAGGCTCAACCACTGAGCTAGACCCACAGCCCTGGATATATGTTTTATCATCATGGTTTGGGGATTATTACTGGCACGTAGCAAGGAGAGGCCACGGATGCAGCTGAAGAGCCTACAGTGCCCAGCACATCCTCCACAATGACTTATTTGGCCCAAAATACCAGTAAAGCAAGGGGATAAGAAACTGATATAAATTAGTTCACAGTTCGATTCTTTCCCAAATGAAGCTTTTTAAAGATAAAGATTTCTAGTCGTTAGCCCTGACTACTCATTAGCAGTGTCTGATAGCCAGCATTCTGGAATTAGCATACAGTATTTGTTGCTCTTCAGGTATTTGGTAGCCATGATTTTTCCTCAAAGCATTGAAGTTACAGAACATTGTCTTAATGTTGCCCCAGGGAAGTCCAAATCGGTGTTTTTCTCTCACACCTTTGATTTCCCCTGCCCCCATAGCATTATATATAGAATCTTCATTCTCCACACTTGGAATTAAGAAATTTCGTTAGCATACATTAAAAAACAGTTGTCGGGGCTGGAGGTTTAGCTCAGCGGCATAAGTAAGCGCCTGCCTTGCAAGCAGGCAGTCGTGAGTTCGATCCCCGGTACCAATAAAAAGGAAAAAGACAAAAAAAAAAAAAAACAGTTGTCTTTGGTTTTATAATCTTTGTACAGTACTATGTCAGCCATTTTAGTATGTGGACACAACTCTTTTTCAACTATGAATTTTACTTCTGTATAATTTTTTTTCTTTTCCTAATATATTGTTTTATACTCTTATCCTTTAATTCCGTACACTCTGCTGTTGAATTTTTTTAATAAGCCTCTTGTATGATTCTGATTTACATCCAAATTGGAGAATCCATGCTCTAAAGAATCAGCAGCTCTCATATGGGAAAAGATAACCCATGTCATTTGTGTTTCTTGTTGTTTGATTCCCTAGTTCAATCAGTGGCAGCAAAATATACTAAATATGCTTTAGATTGCTGTTTCTAAAATGAATTAATTCAGTTTGAAGTGGAATAAATTTACTTGACAAAAATTTGTATATTCTTACACAGGCAGAAGTTTTTATAAGCTGATCTGACATGATTGACATTTTTTATTCATTTATAAATCATCCTGTTGTTTTTGGTTTTTTGTGATTTTGTTTTCTGAATATCCTAGCCTTTTCAGAAACATTAGAGATTTGGGGGAAATAGTAATATAGGAGAGAAAAATTAAATCATAGTCCATATTCTCAAAGAGGCTTTTAGGTCACATATGGTACATTTTATTTAGTTTTTCATTATTAAACTTTTAAGATTGTAGCTATAAACTAATAACAGTTTATATTTTTCAAATACTTTTAAGATAATGGAAGTAAATGGACAAAATTTTGAAAATATTACGTTTGGGAAGGCTCTTGAAATTTTGAGGAATAATACTCATCTTGCACTTACTGTGAAGACCAACATTTTTGGTGAGTTTTGTTGTAAAAATTCCCTGACCTTTTTTTGCTAACAGAAAAAGGAAAAAGTCATTATAATAAAAGAAAGATAGTAAAATGTAAACTGTTTGTTTGTTTGTTTGTTTGTTTGTTTGTTTTTGGTCAAAGCTGTTAGGGTTTCATTAGGATAGTTTAGTATCTAGAATTTTCATTTTTTGTGATATGTATTTATTACTTTGATACCTTAGAAAGTAAGTTTAAAAACAGATATACAGTTATACTTAGTCGTTTAGGAAATGAGCATTGTATAGAACTGAACAGGAGGGTTAATGAATAAAACTTAGAATGACTGCAGTCAAACTTAAAAGCCGTAATCAGATTCTTTCCCCCCTGGTAATGGGCAAATCAGTCTACGTCTAACCTTTGGACTAACTTCCTGAAATAATAGGAAATTAATTTATTAAATTAAGTAATTAGTGAATTAAAGATTGCTAACAATATCATATGCTACCTTTCTGCCTGCCCTGTGGTTTTAGCATATTTATATCTGAATAAAGGAAGTATAATAAACTTGTACTTTTTAGGTCATTTTTTTAACTTTTAGAAGATATTTATTGTTACTTATTTTCATTAGACACCATAGAGTTTTTGCTGAAATTCTGAGATGGACAATAGGATTAAATTATATTAGTTGAAAACTATCAAAGAAAATTTAAATATTCTTTTGAAGTGGCTGTGTGGGGGACTTTTCAGCTGTTCAAGTTCCAATTAGAGGAATCTGAATTGACTTTAAAAACTATGCCTGTAGGAAGGGTGATAGGGGAGAATCAGAAACATTGCTGAGCACTGTGTTCAAAGAATGCCCCCTCCTCCAAAAGAAGTACTCAGTAATAAAGTTGAAGGACTCTCCCAGTGTCACCTTGGGCAGATTAGTCTCTCAAAGCCTTACTTTCTCCAGCTCTGTTTCATAGTGTTCTTGCAAGGATCTCTTGCAAGTACCCTCAAATGATAGAATAAAAAGACAAAATAAAATTAGCACTATTGTAGGAGATCTTAAAGTACATACGTGAAAATGTATTTTTTTCATTCATTCAGAAAATACTTAGGAAATGTTAACAGAGACTACCCCTGAGTGAAAGGAGGAGGTGGCTTCTCATGCAAAGGTTCCATTACCTGAGCACCTGAATCTTAAAAATGTATATTTACTTTTTAATTTAGTACTGACTGAAGACAATAAATAGAAAGATTAAAGAAAAGTACACACCAGTATAAAAATACCTGAAAAGATAGTGAAGCACTGTCTGACCATAAAGAGGGTAAAAGGGAGCCATTTTTTGTGCTCAGGCTGGTAGAAAAGGCAAACGAGGGACTGACTACCCAATAGTATGCACCAAGGGAAAGGTAAAGCGGGGCACAAACCGTGGGTGAGTCAGAGCTTCCCCGAAGGGACGCCTTTTCTTTTCCTTTTTCTTTCTTTCTCTTTCTCTTTTCTTTTCTTTCTTGCTTTCTTTCTTTTTTTGGCCAGGACTATTTACCATCTTTCCCATTCATAAAATGCAGTCCAGAAGCAGAGCTATTGGTAAACCCAGAAACTTGTTGTTTAGTGCCCACCAAAGTCCAAGATACTTCTAATACTTGTGAGAATTAGAACCTTGAAAGGCTTACTCTGACGTGAGTGGGGATGTACTCCAGCTTCCCAGTCTGGGGCACACAAAGAAACCGTACATTTTAACCTTGTCCTGGACGAAAACAAGTAAGTACAGTCTCTTCGTGAGAGGATGCCGACAGTAGTCTGTTACTCTAAAAATAAATTTTCAAAGGCAGAGACAAGCAACCAACTAATGATTGTAGAACACTGTTAAAGTTAGGACAAGCCAGAACAAACAAAAGTACAGGCATTCCTGAATACCAGCACAGGCTGATTACTACTTATGTGCATGAACGTAAAAAATCAAATTAAATGTTCCAGTTCTGGGTCAGATGGAATAAATGCATGTTACTCTTCATGTCCCACTGAATTTAACAGTAAAACCTGTATAGAATAATGACCCACTTATGTGAGAGCTTTAAAAAGCAGACAGCAACAGGCAGATCACACAGGGATGCCAGAATTCAAAACACCACCACAGTCAGTGAAATCACTTTTTTTCCCTTTGACACACCCAGGCCAGACTCTAGGTAACCTGAAACCTGAGTGAGTACTATGGTGCAAACAGCTTCAAGAATGGGAAATGGGACTCCCAAAGCTCAATTACAGAAGTCCCTTGGGTTTTTTTCCTTTCTCTCCATTTCTTCAGGCCTCATACCCGCAACAGTACCGTGGCAGTGACACAAGCCTGCGAGAGCCAGAATTCTGAGGGAAGGCAGCTTTCCTTACCCTTCAATGGATCTGTGGCTCCAAGAGGGTAGGGCCAACTTCACAGCCCCACATACACACTCTGTTTTCACCCCCACCCGCTTCCTGCTATTTGACTCATAGTCTCTGTAGTTTCCCTCTAGAGACCAAAAAGGAAGCTTAATGAATTTAAAAATACCATATTTATAACTGAGCTGAGAGAGAAAAACCCACAAAGTTGTTGAGTTTGCCCCTAACCTGTGCTTGCATGGTTTAATACCACCTGATACTGACCTTGAGAATTGACATTTTAGTTTCAAACCTGTGTGGCACAAACCACACAGATCTGAACAGCACTATGAAGACTTTGGAACCATAGCCCACAGAAAAGCACTCTGTTCACGAACAGCTCTGATGGGTGCACTCTTAACTATTACAAGGATTCCCTTTTACCAGTTCTGATGTCATTTTAATTACTTGGGCATTTTGTGGTCTTTTAAATGTATTTGTCATTGATCAATTTTAGAAGTTTTAGGGTCATTAGCATGTCCAGTTGCCTTTACTCCCTTTGTCTCTTCCAAGTGGAAAATCAGTTACTTGTGTGTTAACAAATTTGTGCCCCAGAATCCTCTTTCACTTTTGCTGTGTTCTTTCTTCTCTCTCTCTCCCCCAATCCCTCTCTCTTTTGCTAGTTTGGAAATTTTCAGTGCAGACTGTAGCCTACAGTCTGACATTACACATGCATAATGATTTTAATTTTAGGTTTTTAACTTTCCACTTACAGAATGTACCATATAAAGCTCTTTTGTAGGCATGAGTTTTCCATCTTTCATTCACTTTATTCTGTATTTTAAGATACATTTACATAGCTGTGCATAGTGCCACACACCTCTAACACCAGTACACTGGAGACTGAGGCAGGAAGGTCATCATGAGTTCAGGGCAGCCTAGGCTACATATAGTTCAAGGCCAGCCTGAACTACATAGCAAGACACTGTTTTAAAACATAAAAAATAAAATTTATTTACAGTGGGTATTGTAAATCCGTGTGTATGTTAACACATAACGGATTATCTTTTTTTGTCTCTTACCCCTATTTTTTATTTTGTATTTCTGATAAATTTGATGCTGTACTTTGTATTAAAGAACCTTAGAGAAGATGAAAATATTTCCTCAGGATTTGCCATTTCTTTAAGCAGATGGGATGGAGGAATTGAGTTGGGTCAGGTTGGATTACAGAACTATTATACTGTGTTAGTAGTTCTAAGTTAAGAGCAAGACCTAATCACACGCTTAATTCAAGGCCTTCTTTGGTGGAACTTTGTCTCCAGGTCCCAAGAGATTGCAGGAATTTCACCCTTTTTAACTTTTTTCTCCTAGTCTCACTCTCCCACTCTCTACCTAAGGAATGTATTTTGCTTCAGAGTCTGATAAGCTTCTATCTCTTCTGTTTTGTAAGTTCATCCTCCATTTTGAGCTTAGCTCTTTAGCCTCCCGCCTTAGGAAGTTTGAAGGATAAATCTGTCACACAGTAATGGCAGATCTCTCCCTGCTATGTGACTTTGTCTCTTGAGTCCATCTTCCCACTCCAGAATTTTAAGTTTCCCTGTTCTTCACTTCACAACTTTCTGACACCTCTTAACAAAATCTCATTACTCAGATAAGTTATCATTTTAAATTTTAATAAAAGGTGCATACATTTTGAAAAATTAAAATACTGAAGAAAGATACACAAGGGAACCATGCCATGTATACCCCCGTCTGTCCCTTTCACCTCAGTTCACAGATTTGTTCTACCATTATTTATTGAACCATGTCATATTGGTGAGCATTTTAAATTCTAGTTTTCACAGTTAATTACATAATAGAAATCTTTTGTATTTATCTTTTGTGCGTATTGTGGAAATAGCTGTAAGATAAATTTCTCAAAACAGAATCACTTTTGACAGGCTCTGTAAGGATTTACTTCTGAAAATTTATCCCAATCTCCATTTCATTATTTGGTGTGTAACAAACCCTCTGAAGTGCATTGACCAACTTTATTGATGCACATTCTTCAATAATGAGTCAGAGTGAACACCTTGTGTGCTTTAACACTTCTCTAAAATCTTTCAGCCTATTCATTTTTGTATTGAGTGACTCATCTTATTCTGATTTATTTTAGCATGTTGTAAATAAAGGACTGTATCTTTTTGTTTAAAAGATTATAGATATTTTCCTCAAGTTAGTATTTTTGCTGCCCTGTTTTCTGTGTGTACACACACATATGTAGAAAGAGACATTTTTGATGCTCATGTAGACAAATTTTTAAACTTTTATGAATTCTCGTGCATCTTCACTTTTGAAATCTGTGTAATATCTGATACTGCTATTTAGTAGCATGGTAAGTACATTGCCCGTTATCCTTTAATTTTTTCTTTAACACTTTAAAAATTTAACATATCATATCTCTTCTTTATCTTCAAATCATAAATTCCCCAAACTTTTACTTTTATTTATATATGCAGGTCCAGTGAAGATACAAACTTTTCTATCCACTTTCCTACCATGTTCTCTAGTCATTTTCATTTTCTTGAGTTGTCTTTCTACCACAGACCATGAACTTGAGATTTCCCTCCACCTGGAATGATTTCTCACCTCTTCTCTTTGCCTGGTTAAAATCTTACCATCTTTTCTGTTCCTACAAAGTGATTTACTTAGGATTGCTCCTTCTTAATATTTTAAGTGTTTTCCTGAAATGTTCTCTCTGTAATAAGAATCTTAGACAGGCAGTGGTAAGTTCTACAACTAGAGAAATATGCAGAAATCTAGTATAATACCTGATACACATAGTTCAGAAAATATTTCTTGAGTGGATGAATGTCTTGATTTTAGCTTGATAAAGTTTTATGTTTATCCTATGACTTAAAATAAAATTTAAAAGTAGAAATTTAGGCTGGGCGTGGTGGCTTATGCCTGTAATCCCAGCACTCGGGAGCGGGAGGCTGAGGTGGGAGGGTCATTGCAAGTTCGAGACCAGCCTGGGCTACAAAGTGAGCTCAAGGCCAGCCTGAACTGCATAGCGAGACCCCATCTCAAAAAAGACAAAAAAAAGTAGAAAACTAAATGAACTTACTGAATTTAAATTAAGAAATTACTTTAAAAGATAACCCCTAAAGATCTTCATTATTTTGAAGGCAGAAAATGTCAGTTTGTACTATATTTTGATCATGGCCAGTAAATGTATGTAAAGCATTCAGTATATTAGCCACTGGGAAAATGCAATTCAGAACCGCATCGAGGCAGCAGTTTTACCTCAGTTTGAATGGCTGTTCTCAGAAAAACAAAAGTAAGTGCTGATGAGGATATGGAGACAAAGGAAGCTTCCCCAAAAAATGTAAAACTAAATCTTGGAACCGTGGCACACCATTGTAATTCCAGCACTCCTGAAGGTGATTCAGGAGGATCACTCAGAGATCAAGGCCAGCCTATCTCAAAAATAGAACAAACCTAAGATTATTAAGACTACAGCATGCTCCAGCTACCCACTCTTGGGCAAATATCCAAAGGAAATGAAGTCAGCATACAAGAGAGATACCCACTTGCTGTGTTTATTGCAGTATCATTCACTGTCCCATCAGTGAATGAATGCATAAAGAAAATACAGCTTATATACACAATGGGGTATTATTCTGCCATAAATAAAAGAAAAATGTTCTCATTTGCAGCAAAATAGATGAAATTGAAGAGCATGTTAAGTAAAATAAGCTAAACACTGAAAGACAAGTACATATACTTTGTGATTTGTAGAAACCAAAGAAAAATTAGCCTGAAAGTAATGCTTGCTAGAGACCAGAAGCGGGATGAGAGCAGGAGTGAGGGATAGCAGGGGCTTGGGGAAAGAGTGGTTCGGGATGATGACTGTGTGCTGTGTGCGTATATGGAAGTACCACACTGAGCCACATTCATATGTACAATCAGGGTGCTAAACCTCAGAACAAAATCAGACTTCACAATTCAATACCAGGCTATTAATATTGTAACTTGTTCTTAAGGCTTAGTTCACTTCAGTCCCACCGATCTTTGAGCTTGTGAAAAGCACTTGCTTTCTTTTATTCCCAAAACAAAAAATGTGATCATTCTTCCTATTTGGAGTAACTCTTGGGTAACAGTGGTACAGTCTGATGTAAGAACTGAAGAGTGGATTTAGCTGATAAAAGATGGGTATAAGTTTGTGTTGATTTGAATAGGGCTATAAAAGGTCAAATAATAGAAATGGACTGTGTTTATCCCCAAAATTTGGTGTTAAAACTTTCTAGTGAGAAGAAAAGAAATGATAAGTTTATTTATTTATTTCCACAGTTTTCAAAGAGTTACTCAGTAGGACTGAACAAGAGAAATCTGGTGTTCCTCATATTCCCAAAATTGCTGAAAAAAAAAGTAATCGTCATTCAATCCAAGATGTACCAGGAGATATTGAACAGACCTCGCAGGAGAAAGGACATAAGAAAGTTAAAGCAAATACTGTTTCAGGTGGAAGAAACAAAATCAGAAAGATTTTGGATAAAACACGGTTTAGTATCTTACCTCCAAAACTATTTAGGTAGGTAATGCCGATCTCAGTCATATAGGATTATATGATTTTTATTGTAGGGAGGGGAGGTGTTAATCACTTTTGAGTGGGTGGGTGATTGGTTTGGTTTGGTTGGTTGTTTTATTTGGGTTTTGGTTTTTTGGTTTTGATTTGTTTTTTGGTTCTTTGAGATAGATCCAGCTACGTAGTTCAGGCTAGTGTCAAGCTGTTGGCACTTTCCATGCTTGAACTACCATGCCCAGCCAGTCCAATTTTCAATCCCATGATTTAGAAAGTTGGACAATTTAAAGCAGACATGTTGACTGTTCCCAGTTCTTTAGTTAGTAAGCATCATCTCTCCTAGCTGGGCATGGTGGTGTGCCTATCTGTAATCTTAGCACTCTGTGAGGCTAAGGCAGGAGGATAACAAGTTTGAGCTCAGCCTGGACAATTTAGTAAGACACTGCCTCAAAATTAAAAGGGGGAAAGGGAAGTTGAGGATTTAGCATGCTGTGAAGGCCCCAAGTTCAGTCTTAGCAACACACACACACACACACACACACACACACACACACACATATCTTCCTTTTAAGGCACTGTTTGTTTCCTCATGAATTCTAATCCTGAACTTTGTAATCAAATCTTTGTATTATGTGTGTATATATGTGTGTTCCTGGAGCTTGAATCAGGACCTTTGCACTGAGCTTTATACCCAACCCTTTTTTAATTTTTTATTTTGAGACAAGTTCTCACTAAGTTGCCAATGCCAGGTGATTCTCCTCCTTCAGCCTCTTAAAATAATAAGACTACAAGCATGCATTCAAATCTGTTTTCTATTTCAAAAATGAGATACCACCAAAACAGTAATAGCTAAAGATTTTAAATATAAATTAAGCTTTATAAAATACAGCTTAAATCCAGCTATTGAAATGATTGGAAATGACTCTAGCGTATCTTACTAGTATGTATTACTCTAGTGTAATAGTCTAGTGTGTATTACCATGTGTTTACATTATCAGTTTTCTAAACCAATCACAAAATTGCTAATCAATACTTGTTCAATAAGATAATACTATAGTCAGTGAAAGAAAAAAATCATATTTAGACAAGCACAATTTTCTGTATTTTTTTCAATTAAAATCTCAGATATCAAACATCAGGAAATACTCTCCTTCATGAGTTTTTATTCCCAGTCAGAGAAATAATTTTGCTCTTCACTTAATTTGATATGAGGATTGAAACATCCTGAGCTTTGTTCCTAACCACTCTTATTTCTAGAAAATTCTTCACATGTTTCATTCTGGATGACTGATGTCCTTAAGATACTAGCTTATAAAAATGACAACTTTAAAATATCAAAGTTAGCCTGACATGGTAGTGCACACTTGTAATCTTAGCACTTAGAAGGCTGAGGCAAGAGGAGTGTGGTGAATTCAAGGTCAGCCTGGACTACATATGGCAAGACCCTATCTCCAAAAAAAAAAAAAGACAAAACCCCAAATCTTTCAATTGTATGTAGCAAACATAAGAAAACTTTTGTTCTCAAAAATAGGAACAAAGCCAGTAGAAGGGACCAACCAATACTGAAAAGATTAAGACAGTTTGAAATGACCAGAAGTCACTGAGAAAAAGGGAAAAAACTGAAGCAGAAGAGAGTTCATTAGGAACTACTGCGATGGAATTCCACTTCCAGAAACCCTGATGGTTTGGGTCTGGAATGAACAGGTTCTCATTTTGCCTGGTGGCAGTGTAAGAACCAGGAAACATTAAGTATGACTTGCTCAGCCTGTTAATATCTCATCTTAGCCAGCTGTATTCAAATTTCAGGACACTAAATGTCTCACCTTCACATTATCCTTTGGGGTATGAGAATTAGTTACTGTACAAGGATTCTATTTTTCATTTCAACCAGAAGACATAGAAATTGAGTTTCCAAGAGCAATCAGTAGAATATTTTCCACATTATCACTTTATACTGGTACCAAAGAAAAGAAAGATGTAGTAGAAAAAGTTTTAAACTCCCAAAGAATATTTTAATCTTTCATTTATTAATAAGTAAACATTTATTGAGTTTTTTGCTTTGTGTCATCATGTTGGCTAGAGTACAAACCCAAATAAAATGTGCTGTTCTTCAGAAGTTCATATACCCTGGGTGTCTCTTCTAAGCATGTTTCAATGCAGTGAGATGCTAATAATTTTAGCATCATAAATAGCAAAAAACAGAATAGTCTATTAAAAGTCATAAAGATGTCAGTAACAGAAGAGCCGATTTGTTTTTTACCTGTCAGATTGGCCATTTTGCATTTTTGAAGATGAGTGTATGTTATATTCCTTGTCACTTAATCATTAGTTTTTAAATCAAGACAGTTTTTCCATATATGTTTTTATTAGTGTATATTAATTATACATAATTTTGAGTTTCATTATGGCATTTTTCATACATGCATATAAAATACTTGCAGCATATCCACCCCACTACTGAGATCATTCTTTTAACAATGTAGAAATGTACTGTCCTTTATAGAGAGAGGTCTTAAAAACCAAACCAATTAGAAAAAAATCACTAAATCTTAAATAGAAAAACAAAACATGAATTCAAATGATTCATATTGGCAGTAAGCAGGGACATATGATTTAAGACAGAACACTGTTTCATCAAAGATTGACGAATAGGACTATAATTGGGGGCTGTTACATAGATAGTAAGTGCATACTGCTGTGCTAATATAAAATGATGCAACCTCTCTATAAAGTTTGTTTTTATTGATTTGGTTTGGTTTGGTTTGGTTTTTTAATGAGATTTGGCAACAGTTCCTGGGCTCAAGAGGTCCTCTTGCATCAGCCTCAGTATCTGGGACTAGAGGCCCGGATTACAGCACCTTGCTGTCTATAAAACACCAGAACAGTTTGTTATTAAGAGCTTTGAAACTGGGTCCTATCCTTTGCTTCATTAATACATTTCAAAAAAATAATTAGATGTAAGTATGTATAGATGGTCTTAGTTACATTATCTATAATAGAATAAAATCAGAAATAGTCTACAGTCCAGCTCTCAGGGATTGGCTAAATAAACTGCTGTAGAACGTAGAAGGGAAAATATCAAAATATTAACTATGACTTTTTCTGTAAGTTAGTTTTGCAGATAATTTTTCCTTTTTGCTTTCTGTCTGTACTCTTCAGGATTTCTACTTCAAATACTAGTTTTTAATTGAAGTAAAAATTTTTAATTATGTAATTCTGCACTTTCTGAGTATCTCCTGTGAGCCATTGGAGGAGGTCATATACAGTCTTTAGCAACAGTTGCTTAAAAATAGGCACTAAGTCCCTAGAAGGTAATCCCAAGCACTAGAAGGCTGAGGCAGGAGGATTGCAAGTTCAAGTTTGGCCTGGGCAAATTAGCAACTTAGTGAGACCCTGTCTCAGGGGAAAAAAAAAATAAAAATAAAAACTTTTTTTTTAAGAACTGGAAATATAGTTCAGTGTGAAGGCACTAGGTGCAGTCCACAATACAACAGTAAAAATAATGCAGCTCAGTGTAGAGCACTTGCCTTGTATGCATGAAACCCTGGGTTCAGTCAAAGAAAAAAATTACTGATTTGAAAAATATCTATAGATTGTGACATAGCAATGCAGTTTTTATTGACCAGAGAATATTTCATAATTCAGGCAATCTGATTTCCTTTTCGTAACTCACTCTACTTTTTTTTTGTTTATTTAATCACAATTGTGTATATCTTTGTACTTAAAAAGTACATTGTAACATTCACAGCTATAGATTGCTTTTGCTTGCTTATCAGGAATTTTTTTTCTTTGAAATTTCTCAATAGAGTTTTTTGTTTGCTTTTAATTGGAGTTACTTTTTGTTCTCATTAGTACTATTTCTATGACCTTTTTTAGTTACACAATATGAAATTTTTATTCTGAGTAAATTTAGTGTTAGGGAATTATTGACCAATTTTTCCAACATCTTGTTTCTGTTACTGCATCACGTTTCAGGAGACTGCTAGGGTAAGAAGTGACTTAATTCGACAAATAGGCTTTATCAGTTCAGCATCGAGCATGGCTATTTTGCCAGTTAGATACTATTTCATTCTTGCCATAGCATGGATTGTATATAGCCAGTATAGTTTTCATATGTACATGTTCACACCTTAATTACCATGGATTATAACACAGCTCTACATGATTATTGCCGTATTATATCTGTTAACATAAAAAGCAGAATTAAATAGCATTGGTAAGAGATAAAGGATGTTCAAATTCCGGTACCACACACACACAAAATTCAAAAAATATTCCTGCAAATTAAAGTGAAAAGGAAACTATGAAGTAGTTGGACTGTAGGTTTAGCTGTACCATGCTGCAACTAATGCAGCTGATTTCCTTTCACTGAAAACTCACTGGACGTGTGGCGCATGCTTGGAATCCCAGCATGGTAGGGGAGGGGTTGATCAGCTGGGAGAGGCCACCCTGGGCTCCATCATAGCCAGCAGAGTTACATAGCCTCTATCTCACACAAACACACAGATACATGTCTATATATAAACAAAAGCTTTCTTTTTTCCTCTTAATTGAGAACATTTAACTGTGATAACTAAGAATGCAAATCTAGTTATTAGGAACCAGTTTATGGTAAGCATAAAGAAAATGTTTCTTTGGCCTTATCAGACTATACTGCCTTTGCTGTCTGGTAATATTCTCTGTTTCTGCAGGGCTTTTATTGTGTCTATGCTATCCTTCTCTGTTTTTTTCCATAAATTAGTTAAAATAAATATTTCTCCTTTTTAGGTATGTACTATTCTCATTTTACTTTTGATAAAAGTGTTTCACTCATTGAAATCTGGCTTAGAATCTGGCTGTTCTGCTAGACAGCAGGATACCCAGCCTCACACTGTAGGTTGTACTTCTTTTCCTGCTTTCATTTGGCCCAACCTCCCTCTGCAGAACCTGTTTCTTTTTCCACTTTAATAAACTTTTGCTACTATTAAAAAACAAAAATAGGAATCTTGTTTTCCTCTGTGCCAAAATATTCACCCACTTCACCTGATTTAATCCTTACAGTAGTCTTGGGGTATAGATAGTATTATATGTTCACTTTTATAGATTAGGAAAGCCACAGTTCTGTGACAGAAAGAAATATGCCTGCAGTCAAAAGAGCTAATAACCCAGGTCTGTCTGGCATCATAGCTTTTTCAGAAAACATAAGTCTTTGCTCTCCTGCATGTCTGCATGCTTCTGCCTTGCTCTTGAACTCTTGTCCTGGCTCTCTTGCATCTGGCTATTAACAGCTGTTAGCTGTTGATTTAACACCCAAAAGTCTCCATCCTGAGCCACTTTCTAGTCTGTCTAAATCTTTTGTTTTACTTCTATTCTAAATATATTCCTTATGCATTTTTAAGACTCTGACTTAATCCTTTCTGTCATGATAGTTCAGTTTTTTCGTTGTATGCTAAGCAAGTGTTGGGCAGACTGCTGCACTGAATAAATTTTAGATGGAGTTAGTGTAACAGAGAGCATTGGTTTATCGTAGGGTTAGCCCTTACAGGCTCGTTAGTATTTTGGTTATTAATGCTGATAGAAGTCTTTTTGGTATTGCTGTCCTGTTTGTGTGTAACTGTTTCACTGCAAAGTTAAACTACTAGTGGGGGCTGTATAAAACTTAAGTGATAGCGTCATGTTTCAGTTTTTGGTTTTTTAGAGTGGATTCAGGATTGCTGTGTGAGACTTCTAAAATTATTTTAAAGGAAGAATCTTTTGTTTGCTTAAATAAGGCCATTTAATTAATGCTTGCTTTTGAGGCAGTGGAGGGGAATGACTTGCTGGCTTGCATTCTGTCTGATTTTGCTGTACTGGAGGCAAGGTACGGTGTAGACAAGGACTTTTCCTGTGGTGTTGGCTGTGTGCAGTGGGTACAGAGATCAGTGGCCACTGTGGCTGGGGAAGGTGGAAGGGTTCCCTAGACAATTAGGTGTAATTTCTCTTAGAAAAACAGTAGAAACTAAACATGACTTTTCTTTATAAAGTAGTGGAAGTATGTATAAATTAAATTTTATTTGAATGAATTTATTAAAAATGTCTTACTGCTGTCTTCATCATTATAACTGTCTTGTTTTTAGAAATGTAATCAAATTGTTTAGTTTACCACTTAGAAGTGGCTGTGTATACCTTAGTAACAGCATAGAGCTCTTTGCTATTTAAGTGCCCTCTAACGCTTCATGTGATTTCTGGCATTCCTTTGAAGTGATGGAGGCCTGAGCCAGTCACAGGATGACAGCATTGTGGGAACGAGACACTGTAGACACAGCCTGGCTATAATGCCTATTCCTGGGACACTCTCATCCAGCAGTCCTGATCTCCTGCAGCCAACTACCAGCATGTTGGACTTTTCCAACCCTTCAGGTAACATTGGTGTGTCAGTTACATGGTCACATCTGTGCCCAGGGGACAGGTAAATAGTTGTGCTTTGTGGAGCAAGTCCTGGATTTGCCTGTAGTGCCTTCTCTGAATTATGAGCTGATGTGAAGATTTTGAGCTAATGTGAAGATTTTGTCTTCTTACCTGCACTGAGCAGTGCTTCCTCTGAAATAAAGCCGAAGACCATTTTAAAAGGACTTTATCTGACCCCAGATCTAGGTGTCTTTTGGTAATTGTTTTCTAAGCAGGTGAATTCAAGCAGAGATACTTCTCATTCAAGAAATATGTTAACCAGAGTGCTGAAAGGAACTAGGCAGATTATTCTAATCTAAGTGCCTCACTTATTTCCTCTGTGATATATAAAAATCTCTTAGTAATTTGCTTTGTTTTTTCTTTTCTTTTCTTTTTTTATACTGGGAATCAAACTCAGGACTCTGAGCCTACCAGGCTGAGCCATATCATCAGCCATCTTAGTAATTTCCTTAAAACACTGAATTTTGTCTTAGCACTGGAAGTAATTTTGTCTTTTTTTTTTTAATGCTTCCACAAGAATGAGTGTATTTCTGATTCAGCTCAAGTTTTCAAGAGCCACTGCTATGAAAAGGAAATTCAATTACATAAATCTCAGTATTAGAAAAAAGAAAGTGTAAGTGTAGTAATAGTTTACTATAGCAACTTGAAAATATCAGGATATGGCATACACAGCTTGGTGAAGATCACTTTGTACATTGTTTCTTCCTTTAACCAGTAGAGAGATGATTAAACCCAGTAAAGTGATTCTGCATATCCCACCTGCTATTTAGCTGCAAGTTTTCTTTCTAGAGCAATTAGTGAATCATTACCTTGCTCAGAAATTTCTGGCAGTGTCTGTATTAGGCTTCAGACATGAAACAGATCACTGTAGTTGCTTTAGCAGAAGTTAACAGAAAGGTGATTATCAGCATATAAGGTTAATTATTTGCCTGATACTGTTAAAAAGAAAGCAGTAAGTACCACAAGTAGAACTACAAACTGGGTTTGCTGTCAGGTACATTAAGGAAGTACCCCTTCCAGGGTGAGGAGTGTGGCTGGGTGCACCTCTTTCTTGCCTCCAGACGTTCTCCCCACACTCACCCCTTTTTCAGTATGGTACGACCTTCACCACTCTTTGCCCAGTTGTTGGCCACCTGGAGGGTTCTCTTCCTGTATGTCCAGTGGGCTTGCTTATTCATCCCTGCTGAACTCATGTTACTCGTGTCAACTGGGAGGCCCAAGCACCCTATGCTGTGGTCACTGTCTCATTTTTGAGACGTTCCCAGCACATTTTCACAGTCTTACGTTGTTCATCATGGGGTAGAATAGAAGTTTATTTTGAAGTCTGTGTGTGTTCATCAGTGGTACTTCTTAGACCAGTAGGCTGTTCACAAGTGCAGTGTGTTCACAAACTCAGTGTGCACATGTTTGCAAGGCAGGTATTTGGGGTTATACAGTTACAAGTTTAATGAATTTCACAGTTGTATTGTTGCCATGACATATGTAGAAAACGGGGCTGAAAGAGTAAGGAATGAGATGGTAGGGAGAGGATAAAGCACTAGGGAAACAGCAGAATGAGGTTGAGATTATTAAAATTTAGAAATCGTTAACCCTTATGGGGGATAAAATGCAAATCTCTAGAGAAGAGAGGTTACCCAACTTGATTTCAGAGTGATTGCATAATTCTCTACTTAGAAACATCTTAACAGGACTAAAGGTGCTTCTTAAAAAAAAAAAACAGAGAAAGCCTGATATGGCTCAATCTGCTACACATATTCATATCAAAAATATAAATCATGGGCTGGGGATTTAGCTCAGCGACATAAGCACCTGCCTTGCAAGCAGGCGGTTGTGAGTTCCATCCCCGGTACCAATAAAAAGAAAAAGAAAAAATATAAATCAACACATATGTCATAGACATTTAATTTATAAATCACATTTTTCAATCCCTAAATGTGCATGTAAAAGGCCATCTATCTAGAGCTGGTATTATTTATATTGAAAAAATATTAGCAAAAAATTCCAAATTGAACTCTATAAATTACAGCACTGAAATTAGCAATGTATATTATATACATACATTATAATAGTCACATAATGTGAGCTAATTTTGATTAATGCTAATCAATTTTGAGCACACCAATGTTGTTCGTGTTTAAAGTATTAGATCAAAATTAAAATAAGAGCAAAACTGCAGAACTGTTGAACAGTTTGTTTTTGATTGCTGACTTTTTTATGATTTTGCTTTATTTTTGCTGCATACAGCTGTTGGTTTTTACTGTAAGTATGTTGGCATTTTCTTGCTCATGTTTCTGTATAATATTTTGCTGGTTTTTTTAAAGATGCAGAATTGAATGAACTAGGAAGCAGAAATTTCCTTTCCATTTACAAGATAGTCTTAACTGACATTTATTCTTCATTATTTTCTTTTAATGTTTTATGCTATTCTTTAACTAATGAAAAATATTTCGAAACTTTTGACCTAGTAATACAAGATGAAACCTAAAGAATTTAAGAGTGTAGCTAAAAGAAATTTGGAACTGAATTTTTTTTTCTGAATTTGAATGTAGAACTTTTTCTGCTTAGTTTTTCATTTAACAGTACAAATCTTGAGCAACTGTGCATAGTGACGCATCCCAGCACTTGGGAGTCTGAGGCAGGAGGATCCTTGCAAGTTTGAGACTAACCTGGGCTGCAAAGTGAGCTCAAGGCCAGTCTGAACCACCTAATGAGACCTTATCTCAAAAAGACAAAAAAAAGCAAATCTTTATTTGATTTATTTAATGTAGCAAACTTAATTCTGTACTGAAAGTTTGTTATTTTGTTATTTTTAATTATAAAGGAATATATAATCATAATTTTTTTAACTTTTTTTTTTTTTTTTTTTTTTTGGTACTGCGGATCAAACTCATGACTGCCTGCTTGCAAGGCAGGTGATTATGCCGCTGAGCTAAATCCCCAGCCCAATCATAATTTTTTTTAAAAATACAGAGAAAGGATAGAGATACATCTCTCTCCATTCCCCACTATTTACAGATTATTATTAATTTACTAATACATCCTTTTAGAAATTGCATTGTACAAAAAAAGTGTGTGCTGTTCCCTTTATCCTAAATGAAATGTTATACTTTTCTTCCACTTACGAATTTTGTTTAGCAAAATATCTTGAATAATTTCCTATGTTAGAATGTAAAATTCTACCAGAAAAAAAATTTTTTTCCATTTTGGCAGTGCTAGGGATTGAACCAAGGACCTTTCATGGAGCTATATCCCCATCCCTTTTTATTTATGTATTCACTCACTATTTTTAAATTTCAAGACAAAGTCTTGGTAAAGTGCCCCAAATAGACTTGAATTTGTGTTCCTCCTGCATTAGCCTTACAAAATGTTGAGATTACAGGCATGAATCAGTCCTCCTGGCTTCTACCAAGTTTTATAAACAACTGATTAGATTCTTTTATCCATTTTCCTGTGAGTAGATATTCGAAGTCTTCACATATCTCTACATATTTTGTATTTGCCTTTTTATTATATTTTAAATTTTGTCAATTCTGTTGAAATTAGTTTTCTTTTTTATATGAATAATTATGAAATGCATATTTTACCAGGTGTCATGATATGTATCAGGTGTCAGCACTCAGGAGGCTGAGATAGGGTTGCAGTGAGATCAAGGCTAGCTTGGGATATATACATAGAGTTCAAGGCCAAGCTGAACTACATAGCAGAAAACAGAAACAAGAATTATCGATTTGACTCTTGGCCATCGAAACTTGAAATATTTACTATCTGACCATTTATGGGTTATCTTATTTACTTGATTATTATCTCTTATTGATATACCATTCACTGTTGAATTTTTTAAGTAAATTTCTTTGAGATCAGAGACTTTACTTTTGTGTGCATTTTAGCTTCATACCTAAAATTTGAAAGGATTTGATCATTTTTTTTGGTCTTTTTCCTTTTTATCAGTACCGGGGATCAAACTCATGACTGCCTGCTTACAAGGCAGGCACTTATGCGGCTGAGCTAAATCCCCAGCCCCCTCATTTTTCATTTTTGATTCAGCTTTATTCTAGCCTCAGATAACATTTACACATTTGTCATGTACTGGACCAAGTATTATGCTTAACATATATGTTGTCCCACTATATCAAACAAGTTTGTAAAGAATATATATGTAGTAAATAGGTAACAGTTCTAAAATAAAGGTCTACACTGTCACTAATGTCAGTGAACAGAAAGTTTTTCTCTAGTCTCTTTTTTCAAAGTCAGCATTCATTACCTTAACAGATTCATCAGTTTTTGAGTTATGAGGTACCCTTTGGATAATCCCATTTGGAGATCTGTTCTTAAGGTACCACATTAATCTGCTTTGCTTATTTTAAATAATTTACAAGTAGTGTTTCCTTCACTTGGGGAACAGATGGCCTTAACAGAGTGTGGCTGTTTAACCCTATTCAGCAGTGCGTACAACTGTTCCTTCGCACAAGGTGTTACAGCATCAGGGGAAGAGAGCATGAAGTATGTGCAAATTCCCACCCTGTCTTTGTGAATAAATTGTGTGGAAGGAAGAAATAAAAGGGATACTGACCATTCCATTAAGGTCAGCTAGCACCACTTAATGATACTCAACCTTCAACACTTTAGGAAACATCCAGTTCTTCAGGCCAGGACCCATTTTTATGAAGAATTACTAAGAGGAGGGTGGGAGCAATGCAAATAATGCTGTAATGTTTGAACCTGATTTGAAGAGTAAGAAGGGATAATTAAAACTCTCCATTTGCTTTTTCATGGCAAACCAAAATTTCTGTCTACTTACAGTTACTTTCTGGCACAGGGAAGAAAAGCGTTTCTGATTTGAGTGGCTCATATAGTAGTCTGACTTTGATGAATATATGAAGTCTGAATATATCAAGAAAAGACAGTTTGGTACATCCTTCTAAAAATAGAAGCTGAAAAGATGAAACATTGTCCTTCTAACTTGACAGCAGCCCCAGAACTTTCGGCCTCTTATAGCTGAGACTCCTTCTCCCTGGCATTATATTCAGTTGAATCTTCTAGTACTAGAAGCATTTTTGTGTTCTCATTACCTTATTCTGTAAAACTTACTTCCTGCTATATTCCATTACCCTCTCCTCCCCTCCCCTTTCCTCTCCTCTCTTCTTCTCTCTCCTCTCGAGACAGATCTGTGAAATTTTTCCTCTAAAGGTTAATAGTGTAAATGATCCTAAGAATGTAGCACTTTTCAAGCAGAATAATTGAGTCACCAAAATCTTCCCTGCCCAACCCCACTACCATCATCACAGAAAAGATCACAGTAAGAAATCTTTATAATTACAAAATTTTATAACAATAATGTTTTAATAGGGAAAAATATAGCAGTTGTTTATGGTAGGAAATAAATCCCTTTTCACTTAACTTTGATAACATCAATAATTAGCCAACTGTTATCAAAGGAAACGTTGTTCTGGAAGCATTAGCCAAGCTGTGTGATCAGAACATAAAGAGGATACACCGGGGCAGGGGATTTAGCTCAGCAGCATAAGCGTCTGCCTTGCAAGCAAGCAGTCATGAGTTTGATCCCCGGTACCGATAAAAAGGAAAAAGACAAAAAAAAAAAAAAGAGGATACACCACTTATGTGTGCTTGTCATCTGAACATTATCTTGAGGTGGAATTTATTAATTTACAGCAGAAATCACGAGGGCACAGGTTGTGATTTTTTTTTTTTTTGTCTTTTTCATTTTTATCGGTACCAGGGATCGAACTCACGACTGCCTGCTTACAAAGCAGGCACTCATGCCGCTGAGCTAAATCCCCAGCCCCAACAGGTTGTGATATTTAACTATAGAAGCATCTAAAACCATTCTGCATAAGTAGAATATAAAACTATGAAAACTTTTGCCACTTGATAATAGACTTAAGTATTGCTACCTAGTATATTTCAGTAGGAAAAAGCATAGAAGATATCAAAAGGGAGTTTAAAAAAAAAAAGAAATACTAGTGGCTCAGTAAACAGTACCAATTACCAAATCTCATCAATAACCAAAGAAATGAAAAATTAAAAAATGACGTATTTTTTAGAGGGAGGAAAAGGATAGGGCTTTCAAAGTAGGTAAGCAGAACTCAACATTTTTTGTTAAGATGTTCGAATGAGGATGTGACCAAATTTGCTCTCTTACATTCTAGATTTATAAACTATTACAACTTTTCTTTGGAATTTTTTGGTCATATGTTTCAAAATCTCTGGTGATATGCATGACTTACAACTCAGCAATTATTTTTGAGAGGTTTTACTAAGGAAATAGATTGCCTGCAAAGGTTTATCTAGTTTTTATGGGGTGGATCTCTATATCTAATGTAATTTACCATAATTGAAAATGGTGAGCACTCTACATGCCCATGATTAGAGATTTGGATAATTGAAAAATACAAAATATATAGGACTGAATACTGTGCCTCCATTAAAAATAGTTTTATAGAAGGATAACAGCATGTTTATAATAAATGTTATAATGTTATAATGTTATAATAAATGTTATAATAAATGAGAAAATTATGGCTTTCAAATCATTTGGGTTTTTTCCAATTTTTATGTTTGCAAATATGTATTAGTATTTTATCACCTGAAAAGTACATTTTTGTTTGTAAATGCAGTAGTTACTTTGGTTAATCTCCTGCCTGGAACAGAAATGTTAACGTTTAGAGGAATCATTATATTCCACATTGCTTTTTGAAGCATTTTTAAAAGTAATTTTCTTGAAACTAATAAGGCATATTTTGTATTTATATAGATATTCCTGATCAAGTCATAAGAGTTTTCAAAGCAGATCAGCAAAGTTGCTACATTATCATCAGTAAAGATACTACAGCTAAAGAAGTGGTTTGTCACGCTGTTCATGAATTTGGCTTGACTGGTGCATCTGACACATACTCTCTCTGTGAAGTCTCTGTTACTCCCGAGGGCGTCATAAAGCAGAGAAGACTTCCAGACCAGTTCTCCAAATTAGCTGATCGAATTCAACTCAATGGAAGGTGAATATGCTTATTAGCAAATGTTCTTATTTGTAGATGTACTTTTTGAAGATTCTACTAAAACAGGTATTTTAAGCAGAAACATCATCATTACTATTGAGTTCTCATTAAAGTAGGGATTCTTTTTTCCAAACTTTTGCTTATATAAGTAGAATTGTGGGGTTTTCTTAAGGGTTACTCTAGAGTAGGGAGAATAAAAGGGAGGCCAGCTTGCCAAAATGTATAAGTAATCATGCTAAAATCTTAGAACTGCTAATGTGCTCAGTCTGTTTTTGCAGAGGAAGAAACTGAGTAACAGCAATGTGTCTGAATTGTATATGTAATAATTTATAAATTTGTTTATGCTGGGTGTAGTGGCACACCCCTTTAATCCCAGCACTCAGGAGGCTGAGGCTGGACAATCCCTGCAAGTTCAAAGCCGGCCTGGCCTACGTAGTAGCAAGACTCCCATCTCAAAAATAAAAATAAAAATAAAAAATGTGTCAAACATAAGCATGTGTGGGGGAGAAGAAACAATTGTTTTCACAATTGTTTTTCTAAGTAGTTTTCCTTTTGCTGTTCTAGATAGCTGAGGTTACAGATGTGTACTCAGTAAACTAGTAGGATTTTTTGGGGGTTTTTTTTTTTCTTTTCTTTTTTTTTTTTTTTTTGGTCTTTTTGAGACAGGGTCTCACTATGCAGTTCAGGCTGGCCTTGAGCTCACTTTGTAGCCCAGGCCAGTCTCAAACTCACAACAATCCTCCTGCCTCAGCCTCCTGAGTGCCGAAGTTACAGGCATGCACCACCCCTCCCGGCTACAGTAGAATTTTTGAGAGCAATGATAAAGTATTGCTGTGAATGACACCACATTTATGATCAGTTTTATTTAAAAAAAAAAAAAAACTTTTTCCTTTTTAGGTACTATTTGAAAAATAACATGGAAACAGAAACATTATGCTCAGATGAAGATGCTCAGGAGCTGCTTAAGGAAAGCCAGCTGTCCATGCTACAGCTCAGTACCATCGAGCTGGCCACCCAATTGTCAATGAGGGACTTTGATTTATTTCGTAACATTGAGCCTACTGAGTACATTGATGACATTTTTAAGTTGGACTCCAAAACAGGAAATACTCACTTGAAGGAGTTTGAGGACACTGTAAACCAGGAGACATTCTGGGTTGCCTCAGAGATTTTAACAGAATCAAATCAGCTCAAACGAATGAAAATTATTAAACATTTTATTAAGATTGCACTTCATTGTCGAGAATGTAAAAATTTCAATTCTATGTTCGCAGTTATAAGGTAAGTTTCTACAAATAGTTACAAGTATCTATGTGTGCTTTTTATACTAAACATGAAATCATTTCCTGCTTAGGTCCTAAATGCCTAGGAAAAGAAGAGTTCAATCAATAAGCTTTTATCAAAGCATCATTAGATTTGATATGCTTTATGTCCTGGTGGTATTGACTTTTTGGTTGGTTTCTTTCATGTTCCTATGACTTTTTTTTTTTTTTTTAATGGATGTGGATGGTTGGTTTTCCATTTCTCTTTTCTCATTGAAGTCACTGTACCCTTTTGGGGTATATGGTCTTCACTGTCAGACTTGGGACACAGGCACTGGGTCTCGCTGCTACACTGGCACTGGGAAATCACAGAGTGATGCTGGCTGTGCTGACACGTAGTCTAAGACCCTGCCTGAAACAAAAGAAAAACCACAGTATGTATACTCTGACCTTAAAGTGCTCTGGTGGAATACCAACAGCAGCAACTGTTTGTGAGCTTTTCATTTTTGCAGGACACTGCTTGAGATATCACTGGATGTCTTGTCACTCAAGCAGGGTAGGCTGTTAGACTTATAAAAGTCCTTTGAAATGTGTGTGCCCAGCTTGTATCCGTGGCTGTGTGACCTCTCCTTATTACCTTCCGCCTGCTTAATATGCAGAAACAGTTATAGGTAATTTATTTTCCCATTCTCACCCATCCCATGCAGATCTGTAGAAGGAGTCCTCTTAAAACAAGTCTGATTTTAAAGCAGAAAAGAGTTGTAATTACCTATATTTAAAAGGCCGTGTTTTCGTATACAGCAGTGAATTCCACCTTACCCAGAGTCACCTACACTCTACTCAGTGCCACCTATTCATGTCACCCACAGAACTTACAATTTTTTCTTATTGCTTTATCTTACTTAAGTAAGATAAAAGTGAGATTTTTTTTTTCTTCCAACACTGAGGATTGAACTTAGGGCCCACACAGTGCCTTATTTAATTATATTTAAAATCATTTTTGAGACAGTGTCACTCTCAGTTGCCCTGGCTTGAAATTGCAGTCCTCCTCCCTCAGTCTCTTAGAGTGCCGGGACTATACACATATATCACCACGCATGGTAAAAATGGAACCTTTGAGAACTTTTTAAACATGGCTCTCTCCAGTAAGAGGATAATTCTTGAAGTTAACCAGTGGCTACACTTGAACTAGATTTTTTTAGGCATATTAAACAAGCTGTACCCATATTTGAATCATGCCTTTTTCATTGCAGTAGCAGTATGTTGGCAGAAAACTGAAGGCTGGTTTTCTCATTTATAAAATGTAATCACTATATATTGCAAAAATGTAATAAAAATAAAATTTTTAAATGAGCAGCTGAATATATGCATACCTGCATTAGCCAGGGGTGATGTTACATACCTAATATCCAGCACTCTGAATTGCTAAGTCAGGAGGATTGCAAGTTCAGGCCCAGCCAGGGCAACTTAGTAACTTAACAAAGTTTCAGAATTTTCAAAACGGCTTGAAAAATAAGAATAAAAAAAGTACTGGGAATATAGCTCATTGTGAAGGCCCTAGGTTTAATCACCAGTACCATTAAAAAAAAACAGATCCAAATTGAGGACAAAGACATCATTGTAAATGCAGTACGTGGGAGGCTAGAAATTTAGCTGTGTGTATAGAAAACATGAGTGAAGGATTTGAGAGAGACTCAATTTTAGAGTATTCCATAAAAAAATTGACACTAAGAGTGTAGGTGGACTCTCTTAATGGTAGTAGAAAGAAAACTGTAGAGGATTTAAAATCACACCTTAGGGCCAGAGATTTAGCTCAGCCGCATAAGCACCTACCTTGCAAGTGCACAATTGTGAGTTCGATCCCTGGTACCAAAAAGAAAACACACCTTAGTAGTTATCTTCGGGGCTGGGGATTTAGCTCAGCGGCATAAGCGCCTGCCTTGTAAAGCAGGCAGTCGTGAGTTCAATCCCTGGTACCAATAAAAAGGAAAAAGACAAAAAAAAGTAGTTATCTTCAGTGTGGGCTACTGACAAGAGTCCAGCCAAAGATAGAATCAGCAGCACAGTCAGGAGAGGTCATTAAAGCCAGGGTGGCGCATGCCTGTGATCCCAGCACTTGGGAGACTGAAGCAGGGGGATTGCCATGAGTTTGAGACCAGCCTGAAATATAGTGAGACCCTGTCTCAAAAAAAAAAAAAAAACACACAAAACCAAGAGAAGAGTGATTTGAGAAGAAATGATAAGCAAAAATTCCAAGAAGGGTGTAGGAAAGACCTGGGGTGTGGGTAAAGGGGTTTGTTTTGGTGAAGAGATTTCTTTTGTTACAAAGAACTTTTGTTATTTACTTCTGTGGTTCATGTGAAGATAATTGCTTTGTATTGTTTTATATTCAGGTATATGAAAGAACATATAACTTTTCAGTAGAGACGGGCAGGTGAATCGTAAGTTCAGACTGGAATTAAATAGTATGGGTTTTTTAGTACATAATTTTAAATAGACATTATATATATGGAAAAAGTTCTGCACAATAAAAAAGCACAGAATGAAAACAGCTCTCTATCCCACTCAGTCCCCATCCCACCCACATTTCTCTCCTACTTGTTTTATTTTGTTTAATCTATCTTAGAGATTATTATTTACATTAATATTGATAAACCTGTCTAATTTTTAAAATATCTATAAAATATCTTGTACTATCGAGTATATGTTATTTATGGTTATCTCTAAATTGCTATCATCTAGCTGTTGTGTTTCCTTTTGCCATGCTGCAGCTTTGTATTTTTGTATAAATTTATCATTTCTGTAAGATATTCTACATTTTGAATCCTATGGTGAAGAGCAAAGAACTGCCTTGGTTTGAATCCAGTGTTAGCACTTACTAGCAAAACTGAGCCTCGGCATTCTAAAATGAGGAATCACGGTGGTTCCTGTCTCATGAGGTTGTTTCAGTCAGTGAATATATAATAAAAGCTCTAGCACCTTTGTAGTGTTGTAGTTTGGTTTATATTACTTTTTTATTCATCTTGAATTCTATTTTGTTGTAAGCAGTGAGAGAATACATCTTACTTTGTTCCACATGGCTTATTTATCCAGCATTACTGCATCTTTTCTCCTAAAATAGTGTTATCATTGAATATTAAAGTCTTGTACATTGTTGTGTCTATTTTTGGCACTCATTATTCCACTGATTTGTCTGTTCATTACTTTTTTGATTGCTAAAGCTTTAAAAGATTTGAAGATCTGATGATGTCAAACCTTTCATTATTCTTTTCATACTTTTCCCTAGCTGTTTCTGGCATGTTCGTTTTATCTACACTTTAGAGCCAGTTCAGTTGGTTCTTTTAGAAAATTTTATGGGTGTTTTCCTGATGATCACATTAAGTTAACTACTTTAAGAAAACTTACTCTAATTTTCTTGTTTCTTCTGTGGAGTTTGTGCTTTGTTCATGTAGATGTTGAACATTTTTTGAATGTTTACATCACTTATTGCTGTTATGAGTGGAGTCCTTGTAGTTTCTCGCTGGCTTTTGCTTCTACCTAAATGTTGGACACGAACACCAGTTTTTTGCATAAGCGTCTACTGCTTTCTTGTCTCTAATAATTTTTCAGTTAATATTTTTGGGACTTTGAGTTATACAATCTGATTTTCTTATTTCCTTCAAATATTGATAACTTCATTTCTTTATTCCATTTATCTGTTTTTTGGGGGGATTCAGGTTAGTCTGATTTCTAATATCTGAAGTATTACAGGGGCTTTCAGTTGAGAACTGTGTGATGCTTTTAATTCTTTTTTACTGATTTTCTAAAAATTAGGAATGCATATCAGGTTATATGATGGTTTAATATCTAAAGTGACAATAATTTTTTCTCTTTACTATTAGTATGGTAAATTATTTTTATAGTGCCCTGAGAATGAATTACCCTTCTAGTCTAGCATGAGCTCCATATGGTCAGGTAAATTTGATGGTGTTGTCCTTTGTTGATTTGTGTGGCTTAGTTGTGAATTTTAATATCAGTACTGTGATGACTTGATAAAATTTGTAGGCTTCCATTCTTTTGTTCGTGCTCTGCAGCAGTTTAAATAGCATTGAAGGTTTGAGACTTGAAAAGAATTTACCTATGACACCTGGTACTCTATTATAATCTCTGCCGTCGTTTTAGAGTTTTATATCAATTTCAGTGTTTCCTAAAATGGAGATGAGCACATTTTTCCTGCAAAGGAAGTGGTTTAGACTTTCTAGGATAAATAGTCTATCTTAAGAAACTACTGAAATCTGCCACTGTATCACAAAAGTAGCCCAAAACAGTAAGTAAACAAATGGGCAAGATTGTGGTCCAGTAAATTTATTTATGAAAACACACAGTGGACTGAATTTGACAGTTGATGACTCTAATATATTATGTTTTATCTGTAGAATTGAGCAAATTAACAGGCTGTGTTCTTGTAATTTTCTGTGTAGCTACGGTTTTTTCTTCATTCTTATTTTTGTGTTCTTGACTCCCATCAGCCTCTACTCCTTGTTTTGTCTTTTTGAGACACAGTCTCATTGTGCAGTTCAGGCTGGCCTTGAGCTCACTTTGTAGCCCAGGCTGGCCTCAAACTCACAGTGATCCACCTGCCTCACCCTCATGCCTGAGATTACAGGCATGTGGCACCAGCCCAGCCTCACTCCTTGTTTTAAAGTCTTAAACTACTCATCAGAGTCTCTTTCTTTTTTTTTTTTTTTTTTTTTGGTCTTTTTCTTTTTTATCGGTACCGGGGATCAAACTCACGACTGCCTGCTTGCAAGGCAGGCACTTATGCTGCTGAGCTAAATCCCCAGCCCCCAGAGTCTCTTTCTTATAATTTCTCCAGTTATCCTTGGTTGAAATTTGTTTTGATTGGTCACTGATTAAAAAAGGTTTTGTGGGGATTATATTTTTTGAGCATATTCAAAGTTTCTTTAGGAACGGTGCTTTTGAATTGAGTGATAGTTTTTCAAGCTATGTAGAGTCCTGTCTTCACATATTTTTTCTTGGGGACTTCATAGAGAGTGACTTTTCAACTAACATTTTATATGGCTATATAAGTTCCTAAGGTTTGCTTGAATTTTAATTCCCTGCTACATTCGCAGATTTGTAACTTAGAATGTTTCTTCCTTCCTTTCTTTCTCCTTCTTTCTTTTTAGTTCTGTATCAGTTTTTCCAAAACTATGGTTTCTTTTTCATTCTGTGGTTGTAAATCTTACCTTTGCTTTAGAAAGTTTTCCATATTGTACCTTCGAGTATTTTTTTTGGTTCCATTATTTTTACTTTCTTCTTTAGGAACACCAGTTATACAACTTTTATATCTTCTTTGTTTGTCTTACGTGTCTATCACTAGGAAGCTGGTTCCTGACACTGAGGAACTGGCACCTCACTCCTAGTTCATTGGTTCTTTGGGCTTTTTGATGAAAGGGTTCAGTCAAAACACGTAGCTGACTGTACAGAAGTATACGTAGAGCTCATTGTGAAGCTGGGACAGCCTTCAGGTAAGATGGCAGGCAGTGTCACAAAGTCATGTGCACTGAGTGTGAGCTGTATACCATTCTATACACTCAAGAGTTATTCCTGGGCTTCAAGAGACTATGGTGGTTACGTTTATCAACATTTATTTTAGGAGTTACTATGGAATATCAGTTACTTCAAAAATGTCTTCCTGTTTTTCAGATGGTCAGGGGCCTTAACTTTAAGAAACTTTTTTTTTTTTTTTTTTTTTTGTCTTTTTCATTTTTATCGGTACCGGGGATCGAACTCACAACCGCCTGCTTGCAAGGCAGGTACTTATGCCGCTGAGCTAAATCCCCAGCCCTAACTTTAAGAAACTTATAAAAGAAATTTGCATCAAGTTTCAGCCCAAGAAAGGACACTCTTTAAAGAATGTTTGGCTTTCTGATATCATTGGGCATAGATCACTCAGGAATACCATATGCTTGTTTTGGAAATAGGTGACCATGTGGCCCAGATATCAGAAGGAAAGTGCACATGTAGCCTTAAAATGTAATTGTGTTCTGTAGGATCACATTAAATCTCAGACCTAACAAATAATTAAACACTGCCATCTCCTTCATTTAGCTATAACTGGCTATAAACCATGCTATTATATATGCTTCAAGCCAATGTCTAACCACCTGCCTAAGAATAGCTATCATTTTCTCTCCAGTCCCTCTCAACTTTTCCATTTCTACTGATTACTAAATTTCACTGCATTCTTCATTTCTCTCTTGGTTTTATTTTTATTTTTATGTATTTCCAGACTCTCCTAGTTAATTTTCAGCAACATTTCTTAACATGTTTTTCCCAAGCTTTTGCATCAATGTGTTAAAATCTTCATTAAATTTTTTATTTCTTTGAAATCATGGCAGGTCATCAGTTAGTACCAGTTTTGATTTTTTACTGTCAACAGCATTTTTCTACCTTATCCTCTTTGTTTTCCTTGTATCTACATGTTATAGATACTGTGTTTCCTCCTTTTAAACAGTGAGAGATTTCCTGTATTTGCTGTTTGCTAGACGTTCATGTGAGAAAGGAATGAGGGAAGAATTCCCAGCTACCAGGGATTGGCCTTGAGTGTGATTGTTACACCCTTTTCTTTTTCACAGGAAATGGAAGTTGGCAGCTTTAGGGCTGATTACAGTTCACTTTCTCTCTTTTGTCCTGTCAACTCTTAAACAGCTTCCTACCAAAATGTATCAGCTCGTGTACTGGTTCACTCTCCCTTTCCCTAACTCCATGGTAAAGAAAATTATCCACCCCCATCTACCCTGATCAGCCTGTGAACTGTCATGTTCCAAATGAGAAATTAATAATGTTACCCTCAGAGGAAGTGATCTGCTTGAAAACTGTTTTGTCATCTTACAAAGAAATCTTTTTCTGAGGGCATAATTTTTCAGCATCTTCCTATGCTCCTGTTTCAAGTTGGCTATTTTTATCTATCCTAATGTGTTTAGACTTTTTTTTTAGTTTCAGTGGCGGTTAGAATCTGCATTTCTGTTATTCATCTTTCCTGTAGTTTTTGTTTTGTTTCGTTTTGTTTTTTTGGTGGGAGGATGGTTTCGGAGGAGCAGAGAACCAAAGGACTCTTAACTCCTCATTTTAGCATCAAAAGTCAAGAGACAATTTTAAGTATTGTGGTATGAGTAAAAGGTGATTGAAAATAAAGAAGGCTTAACAGAAGAGAAAACTCAAGTTATATTTTATACACACACACAATTCAGTTGTTACCTTACCCATCAGATGGTTAATACAGAAGTAAAAGAATAGGGAATAAAGCTTAATTGTCATGAATTACTGTTTCCAGTTAGTGAATATCTGAACTTGTTTAGCACCCTATGGAAAAGAGACATTGAATATCTGGAGGTTTAGGGGACAAGGTGGGAACATAGGGGAATGGAAGTTTTGGAATCAGAGACATTAAGTGGACACAATCGCAGAGGGGGAAAATGCCTAATTAACAGTTCTCAGCATTACTTTACCCACCTAAGTGAGTATTGTTTCTGTAAAGTTATTTCTAAGTAAAGCAGACAACATTCTCATGCTTATCAGTTTTTTTAGTTCCATGTTTACTTTATAGAAATATTCCCATGTATCACTTACATGCAAACCGTGAAATAAGGGCTATATGAGGCGATAGCTATAGGCAAGTAGTGTTTTTCTGAAGCAGGTTCTCCTTGCTTTAAGCTTACAAGAGTCCCTGTTATGTATTTTTTTTGTAATTATGTGCTTATTCAACATGTTAGAGATTCCTGCTCTTTTTAGAACTTGATATATGCAATTTATTGACTTCAGTCTACTTTCTCCCCCAAGTTCCTTTTTAACGTTTTTATTCCCATCTTTGACAGTGGCTTGAACCTGGCACCTGTAGCACGGCTCAGAGGTACCTGGGAAAAGTTACCAAGCAAATATGAGAAACATCTCCAAGACCTGCAAGACCTTTTTGATCCATCTAGAAACATGGCAAAATATAGAAATATTCTTAGTAGTCAAAGCATGCAGCCTCCAATCATTCCACTCTTCCCCGTTGTCAAGAAAGATATGACATTTCTTCATGAAGGTATTTAAAACTTTGTTGAAAATCAGCATGTTTAGCTTCAGCTAATTCTCTAGCAATATGATTCATTATATATGCCAACCTACTGGTTAGTGAAATAACTTCAGTTTAATAGCTTTAGTGAAATAAATCTATTGCAAGGTTTAGGCACCTAAAAACTATATTGTTTATAGCAATAAATTGTACTGTTTATGCATTCCAAATGTAACCCTGATACAGTAAGATCAAACTCTTTGTTTATATTTTTTTGTTTAGTAATGTCTTCCCTTCCAACTTTTTTTTAAGTTACTCCACACGTACACAAAAAAGTTCCCCCAGACAAATGAACAACTAAGTGAAATTTCACAAAGCAAATATTTTATAACCAACACTCAAACACAGTATATGGTCAGAAGCCCTGTGCATATGCCTTCCCAGTTACTGTTCTTATCCTCTGCCCTAAACGTAATGTTAGAAATGAACCCCAAGACTCAAGTAGTTTGTTGCCAGAAAGAATGCACACAGACAGCAAGCAAGAGGACTAGACAAAGCAGAGTTAAAGTTTACTTTTGTAGAAAGGCTGGAGCACACTGGGATGCCAGGCAGCCAGAGTTTAAGCCCTAAGGCATGGGAAGCAGCTGGCCTTTTTCCCCATTGGCTGGATTGAAGATTCATGGTCTAGCCCAATTGGCTAGTTTAGGCAGCCTGAGGATCTGTAGGATCTCTGAGGGGGAGGATTAACCGGAGGAGAAGGAATGAGACTGAAAGTCTGTGGCTGTTGATAGCGATCTTAGGTCTTGAACTGTGTTCTGAAAATTTAGGTGTTCTCATAATTTCAGTGTGAGGGTTAGGGCTGTTTCGGGTGACCTAAGAGTCTAAGATGGAGGCATTCCTGTTTATATCTTTTGGAAAAGATAGGGCTACAGTTTCTCACAATAATCATTATCTTGACTTTGGATGCTGTAGTTTTGTTTTGATTTGTTTTGTCTTTTTGAGACAGGGTTTCATTATGCAGTTCAGACTGTCCATGAAATAATTTTGTAACCCATACTGGCCTCAAACTCACCACAGTCATTGTGCCTCAGCCTCCCATGTGCTGGGATGACAGGTATGCACCACCATGCCTGGCTTAATCTCCCAGTTTTTATACAGTGGTTGCTAGTTTTGTTTGGTTGGTTGGTTGGTTGGTTGGTTTTGGTACCTGGGATGGAACTCATGACCTAGCGCTCGCCAGGCAGGCACTTATGCCCTGCAGCTAACTTTCTGATGTTGCTGCTATTTCTTTAAGTCCCATAGGATGTGGGTATTACTTGATGAAGTCAGTATTTAACCTCACCTGCATATTTTCTAATGTTTTGTTATTGGTTTTTTTTGGGGGGGGTGTTTTTTTAATGTTCTTTTTTGGCTTAAGAGGCTTATTTGGTTTGGTTTCTGTTTGATCTATAAAATACTTTATTTAGTATTCCCTGTAGTGCATGTCTGCTGGTAATAGAAAATCCTCAGTATCTATTTGAAAATGGCTATACTTCATTTTAGAACTTTTTTTGATTCTTTCAACATTTTGAGTCAGCATTCTGTTGTCATCTGGCTTCCATTGTTAATGTTAAGAGGTCATCTGTCAGGCTTTACTTGCTGTTTCTGGGCCTAAAATTTGCCTGTATTTGATAACTGCAATTACAATTTTATTTTTCTGTACCTCCTGTTTTCCCTCTAATGTTGAGATGATGTGATGGAAGGGTTGGTTTTTTTGCCTTTGCTTTATCTCTGAATTAGTATTTATAGACATCTTGAAATGTGTGAGTTTTTCCCTCCATTTTTTAAATTTTCCAGTAGTGATGTCTTGTTATTAAACCCTTTTGGGACCTCTACAAAGAAACTCTATAATCTCACTTTTGTCAGATTTGATCCTTGTACCTTGTCTTGGCTACTTTTCTTGTTGCTGAGAGAAAATACCCAACACCCAAAGGTAAAGGAGGATAGGTTTATTTGGCTTGCATTTTGTAGAGGTTTCAGCTCTTAGTTGGCTGGCTCCAAGGCAGGGTAGTGTGATGGAGGAGCGCCACAGAGCAGGCAGGCAGGAAGCACTCATATCTAGTGTGGGGGACCCTTAACCTTACCCAGAACTATGCCAGACCAGTCAGTGGGCTAATTTAGTATTCACACACCCTAGACCAGCCACCTCTGAAAAAGCCCCACCAGTGACCATATGAGGCTTTGGGGGGTACATATAGACACAAGCCATAACATACTCTATTATTTTACACTCTTTTCTGTAATTTTCACCTTTTTTTTCTCATCATGCTTTATTTTAGGTATTTTCTTTCATAATTTCTGATTTATTAATTTTCTTTTCCTCTAACCCACCATTTGCTTTATTTTAGGTATTTTCTTTCATAATTTCTGATTTATTAATTTTCTTTTCCTCTAACCCACCATTATATCCATCACTGAGTTCATAATTTCAGTTTTTTTAAAAAAGTAATTTCTTTCTTTTTTGTTCCATATTCTTTTTCAGAGTGCTAGTATGGTTTTTATATCTTTGAATATATTTAACATAGTTTTTTTTTGGGGGGGGGGTTGTTGTTTTGTTTGGAACTGGGATTCAAACTTACAACCTCACACTTGCCAGGCAAGCACTTACGCCACTGAGCTAAAATATTAAATTCTGTCTCCAACTACTCTATAACATGGATCTTTTGCAGCTCTTTTTCTATTGTCTCCTTTTCTTTTTCTTTTCTTTTGCATTTCAGTCATGTTGTCTTTTCTATACATCTGGCTTGTTCCTTTTTGACTGGGGAGAAGTTGGCAAAAGGCCCTGAGTGTTATTCTGTTCTTCTAAAAGGAATAAACTTTGCTCAGCTAAGGGCACTAGCAATCCAAAATCACTGTAATCCATTTTCAGATTTTGAAATAATTTAACATCAGGTATATCCATCTTCTTCTAAGATACAGTACTTTGGAGTTACAACCCAAAGCACTGGAGATTTATTGGACTTGTCTTGCTTGAAAGGGCAGGTGATTCTGTTCACTGTTTCAGGTCATCTTTCCTCTTCTCAGTTGAACAGGTGGGTCTGGGGGCAGGCAAGGGAAGATGCTAAGCTCACCCTCCATATTCACCTTTAGATTTTTACCAACTTACTAGCTCTTTGGTGCCTCAAATGATTATTTATGTCCGGCTTTTCTAATTGATCTCAGCAAAAAAGGTTGTCCTAATTACCTAGTCTTACTGACTCCTCGTTCACTGCCACTCTTTTTCATATAGAAATATTATTCTAGTCTTCAAATATATATAGTTTTGAATTTTTTTACTACTTAGGTTTACATAATATGTATATTTTAAATATACATAATGATTACATTAATCATAAGGAATTTGTACCTTTGATATGATAGAACTTGATTCTCTTTTTTTTTCCAATCCTCTACCTTCCTTTCAGCCCATCTTCCCCTCCTTATTTACAAAACTGTTTCCACTTTTTTCCTTTTTCTCATTTTTCAAATATATCTGAACTATTTTAAAAACCTATAAATGTTTCTGGGGACTGCAGACAAGTTTATCAACTTATCTCTTATTCAAATCTTTTTTTTTTCTGATATTTTAATAGTACAAAATAAACCTGGAAAAACATATTTATTTGGGAAAAATCACATAGTTTGTAAGTCATATAGACAATAAACTGGAAGAGGATCTTATAGATTAAATTAGATAAGATTTCCAAATTCCTACAATTATTACAAGGCACAATGTATTTGTTTCCCTGCATACTTATCCTTAAAAATGAGGCTCATGGTTTATCGAAATACATTGATACGCATGCCTCAAACTAACCGCAAGCAATCTGGGAGTAACAAGCTCATGACTCCAGATGCAAAAATTTATATTAATCTCTCTGACATGTTCCTGCAAAACATACTTGTATGACTTCACAGTGATTTTGAAAATCATTTCTCTGAACAATTTGTCTAATATATAGGTGCTATTTACACTTAGAAACTATCATTATTCCAGACTTCCATGGTTCTAAAACTGAGTTTCAAAGCCTTGGAATTCCTTGGAGGCCTTCAAGGGTTCCCGTAGGAGAAAAATGGCATTACACCGTTAAAGTCAAATGTGAAGCTAGGCATAGTGGCTCATGCCATAATGTAGCACTCGAGAGGCTGAAACAGAAGGGTCACCAAAGTTAGAGGCCAGCCTGAGGCAGGAGGATCGCTGCAACTTCAAGTCCAGCCTGAACTACATAGTGAGACCTTTTCTCAAAGAAACCCCAAACATAAAGTTAAGTATGAAAAAGCATTGCAATGGGCAGACAGATACACCCTTTGGAAAGATATCTGAATGTTCCTTGGAGAACTATTTAACAGAACAAAAGTAGTGGAACTTAGGAACAGGGAAATTTGTGTTAATGATTAAAGTGATGTTCATAATTCAGATTTTGGGTGAGAAATGGCAAATGCCATACTGGAGGGTATGTACACCTATAAAGCAGCACCGCTTAGTTTTAACTAGCTTTTCTCATTTGAAAAATAAACCCAGTGTTAGTCTCTCATCCCCTATCCCTTACCTCTATGAGCTGTCTTCTTTTTAAATTATTTAATCCATTGAACAGTTTTTAAAATAGTATAAGCCAAAGAAAATATGCAGGCTGGGTTAATTAATAATTAAGTTTATAGGTGATTGTGGGACCTCTGACTAAAGTCTGTTTTCAAGTGCTGTATCCTTACTGCCCAGTGGCAGTGCATGCCTATAGTCCCAGGATTTGGGAGGCTGAGGCAGGAGTATTGCTGTGAGTTGAGACCAATGTGGGCTAGTGAGTTCAAGGCCACCTTAACTACATAGGAGGCCCTATATTTTTAAAAAGAAAAGAAAAAAGTACATGTAGGCACCTGCTAATGAGTAGGCTAAGCCATCTGGAAAGACAGATTTGGATGGCAGTATGTTTTATGGGTGTGCCTATAAGTAATAAAAGTGGTTTAAGACATACATGATATATCATCTTTCTGTGTTCGTAATCATCATTCCCCTATGGAACAGAATTTCTCCCAGTAGGTCATTCTCTGAGATCAATAAAGTTCTTATTTGTAGTGAACAAGGATAATAATTTGAACTCTGCTACTTTATGTTATTTCAATTTTAAGAGTTAAAAAAATTACTTTTATCCTATAGGAAATGACTCCAAAGTAGATGGTTTAGTAAACTTTGAGAAGCTAAGAATGATTTCTAAGGAAATCCGTCAAGTTGTTCGCATGACTTCTGCTAACATGGACCCAGCTATGATGTTCCGACAGAGGTATGGCACAGCAGTGTATTAAAGTGTTACAGAATGGTGTCATAATCATCACAGTGCTTATCATTCATGCACTGAACTAAGCGCTTTGCCCCTATCAGTGTCATATATTAGTCTAGAGCAGCAGTGGCAAACCTGTGGCCCACGTGCAGTTTCAGGCTGTATCCCTGAAAGCTGTAAAAGATTGACTTACTGCGGTGTACAGTGCCATAACAGGTAGGTGGTATTTGCCTTTCGTTTACAGCTAAAGAAGGTAAAACCTAACGCAATTTTGTAGAATGTTAGAATTTGACCCCTGGTTTGTGGGTTACTTTTTTTTTTTTTTAGTATATGGGTAATTCTGTATTTTTCTTTAACAAATGGTTAATGTTCATTGAAAGTATCAAAGGTCAGGTGGTTTCATCTGTTTATGAAGTATTAGTCTGCATGTGTTTTTTCATCAAGTTTACACTTCATTCTTTTAGAACATGTCTTTTTCCTCAAATTATGATGCTATTTATTTGAATGTACACTCTCCCAGAATGTAGAGTATAATTTTAATCGTATTCCATTTTATTAAAAATAAGTAAATATTTGTATTCTGTATTAATCTGACCTTCTAAGGCTACCTTTTAAAATTAATTTGTAGTATAATAAAGGCTTCCTGAAATATCTGTGAAGTTTATAAAGTTGTTAAGCTACTCGGTAATTTTTACACTTCTCAGGCTATAATTAGACATAGTTTTAATTTTTGGCCTAATTTTGTTTTGTACTTTTCTGTATAGGACATTAAAAACAAAATAACTATAAAGGCAGGCATAATTCTTGTGGTTTAAGAAAAAATGTACTCTGCTCAGGAAGCTAAATACTTGTAGGTACTTTAAAAACCAAAGTTGGAGTTTTTGTAACTGAACAACCAGTGTGTCAAGACCTTTTTTGTTGTTTGTGTTTAGTTTGTATCACAGTGTAGGAGTCTTGGTGTTTATAACAGTCAGTCTGATGGTTGCTGTAGTTGAGATACTCAGAAGTGGAGGAAAGGATGTGCCAGATCTGCTCTGTCTCCCCATCCCTTTTCCACCCCTTGGGATAACTACATGTGTTCAACAGTATGGGAGCAGAAAGCAGTAAGACCAGAGCACACCTGGAGGAGGATTTGGTTTTATTTTTGTCTATGTTTCTGTTTCATGTTCTTACACATTAGCCTTGCCATTCTCTTGTCTCATAGACCTTCATTTACTCGCATGTCTGGCCCCTGAAGACACAATGAATTATGAATGAATACACACACATCATATGTTCATGTTGGAGTACTAGCTGTACTTCAGAAATGAGCAAAGGTGTAGGTGTGGTGGTGTCCTTCTGTAATCCCAACTAGCCTAGATGCCAGGGCAGCTTGGGCAATTCAGTAAGACCCTGTATCAAAACAGGGTCTTTTTATGTGACTATATTGTACTGGGCCTTCACACTCAGCTGCATCCCTGGCCCTTTTTTATGTTTTATTTTGAAACAGAGTCTTGCTAAATCGCCCAAGCTGGGCTCGAACTTTTGATCTACCTTCCCATCTCAATCTCTGAGGTGCTGGAATTATAGGCATGGGTCACTATTCCCAGCTCCAAATGAGAATTTAGCTCAATGCTAGAACACTTACATGAGATTTGGGGTTCAATCTCCAGTTCAACTTCCCTCCCCTTGAAAAGAAGAAGAAAAGGAAAAAATCTGATGTGGAAATTAACAAACTTGGATGCTTTCTTAAGAATAGCCTGGGTTGAGTAAAAAAAGGTGTAAGGGAAAAAGTTGTTAAGCTACTCGGTAATTTTTATGTGTAGATTGGACTGAATTTTTCCAGAATCAGTTTTGTCAGCCAGTATTGAAATGTGTTACCTTTCTTTCTTTAAGGAAATGCTTGTCCAATTGGAGGGTAGATAAATCTAGCATGAGCAGAGTAACCCCTTTTCTTAGAACAGTAATCAGCATGCTAAAGACACTGTTTTTATTCACACAATACCTTAAAGACACATACTGTTATGAAGACTATGATAATGTATTTTTACTTACATTTTAATTTGGATTTGCTGGCAAAAACTTTTTGTAAAATACTTTATCACAAAATTTTGCACTTAAAATTATGTATCTTTAAGTTCCTTGTAAATTCATTTAAACTAGTAGCTCAAAAGTCTTTTCAAAAGATTTAAAAATTCTTTAAGGTTTTTCTCTAAAAACAATTCAGAACTTACAGTAACTTGATGTTTTCCCTTAAATTTATTAATATAAACTTACAAATGAATTAGATAGTAAAAGCATAATCTAAAGCATACTGTAAAATATAAGCTATATACTTTGAGGGTTTGACCTTCAGGGAGTACCATAACTCATCTTACCGTCCTGCATTTCATTAAAGTCATTGTACTGTTAAACTATTTTTTCTGGTGAAATTTTTCTGTTCTCTTCTGTCTGCAATTTCTCTGACTATCAACTGTCTTTTTTTCTGTGCTTTCCTTTTCAAACACATGCTTCAATGTTTGTGGCTCTTGCTTACAGGAAGAAGAGGTGGCGGAGTCTGGGGTAAGTGTAGAGATGAACACAACTGGAGTGGAGGTTGTGCAACTCTTTAATGTTTACTGCATCCTTCCTCATTAATGCACGCATATAAAATAGCATGCATTCTATTAACTCTGTCAACCTACCTTCCTGACAAATGCCTTTTGCTAACAAGGTGAAGTAGTGATAGAACTAGCATTTGTTGTGTTTTTTTAAACTTCCACTATTAATATTCTGTCAGCCCTTTTTATATATAAAGTTAAGCAGATTCAGTTAGATGATGGTGCTGCTGATGGTAGTGAATACTTGAATACTTGCTGTGTGCTTCACACTATTCTATGCACTCAGAATGAATTACTTCATTTAATTGTTTCATCTGTGAACAGATGCAGCTATTCCTCTTGTGCAGCTGGGAAGGTGGAAAGTCTTACAACCTGTTAATCGTGGGCCCAGACCTAACCAGTGTGATTCAGGTGTCCACTTTGTCGTATTCAAATGCCATATTTTACAAAAGTAAATTTATTATCTAAATAAATAAAAATGGATGAGAGATACATTTATAAAGATTGCATTTATTGTTTTTCAAAAAAGGTAGCTTGTATCCAAGCTATACTATAAAATTGAACTAGAAGATGGTTTTAATTCCTTAGATCCACTAATGCCTGAGATTTCCAGCACTAAGTGAAATTTATTTCAGATTTCCACCAGCTTTACTTAAAGACACATCTCTGTAAAACTGTGATAGAATCAGAAACTTGCACCTTGTTATTAAAGTAGGCTCAGATCTCCTCTTCTACATAGCTGTGTCTATTCAATCATTGAACGTTAGGAAACGTTAGGAATATTAATATATCTTACACCTATTCTTTGATTTTTAGTTACAGAAAATGATGGTTTGAGGGGTTGGAGTTGCTTAAGAAAAGAATTTTGTTATTTTAAGACTAGTGAACCCTGAAATTAGTTGCTTTCCTTACGTGTAAGAATTTTTTTGTGAGCCACCTCCTTGAGTCTTGTTTTTGTGATCTTGCTCTCTGTTAAAGCTTGGTGAACCTAACTTTTTTCTTCCTACTGTACTTTGTTTCTGCTTTCTCTGTGTTGTGTTTCTTGTGTATTCTTCTGTATCATGCATTTATGTCTTGGTCTTTTTTGTTTCTTCAAATTGAAAATAGAAGTTGATGGCTGGCATTATTAATGTAAAGAAAAATATTTGAATTTTGGAGGTGATTGACTAACTTGTGTTAAACACATTCACTATTTTTTCAGCTTTAGGGTTTGTGTTGTATGATTCTTGATTAGGTTCTTCATTTTATATCTATTTTGGAAATAATATAGAAAATATTTTATCATCATTTATTAAAATTTTTTCAGTTACTAGAATTTTTATCCTGGGTTTGTTGGCAACCCCTTTCTTTTTGTGTCTTTTTATTGTGGACATCAGCTAAGATAAAATCATTAAACATGAGAGTTAAAATTTACTTGTTAAGTTTTAAGGTTTAATTTTATTGCCTTGCTTTGAATCCAAGACATTATCAGTTATTGGATATATCATTTTATACACTACCAAAAAAACCACTGCAGTGTCCTATTAGCACTGAACATTTCTACTGTATGCTTATTATAAGAGTTCTTATAAGTCTTTAGATTTTTACCACATAACATCCTTGTCCATGCATACGTGAAAAGATAAATTAAGCAAAGTAAATTGGTTCAGAGCTGTAATGCAGACTACCAATCTTGTGAGTCACTTTTAGAGACATTAGATTCAAGTTTCTCCAACATACATAGTGTTGCCTTCTGTGCTATGCCGTACATAGGTAATGTATCATTTTCAAATAAGTAATGGAGAACTAAAACTTCTGCTGCAGGACTGTGTCTGGCTTTGCAGATTAGAGATAGCTTGTTTTGTTTTGTTTTGTTTTGTTTTGTTTTGTTTTGTTTTGTTTTGTTTTGTTTTGTTGAGCCAGGGTCTTGATATATAGTTCATTCAGGCTATCCTTGAGCTCAACTATGTAGTTCTGTAGTCCAGACTGACCTCGAATTCAAATTGATTCTCCTGGAAGTGTTACTGAAATTGTCAGGTCCACTCTATAAGTTGCTTCCTGGAGATTAAAATGATAAATCTGTAATGTCATTGGATTTTTTTTCCAAACTATTCTGCAAGTTTTGAGATTTCTACACTGTAAGTAGTGACAAAATTAGCTTCTGCCTACCAGTAGCAAATGAACGTTGCTGTCAAATATATACAAAAATATACTTCTCTATTTCAAAGACTTTATAATGTAACAGCAAAAAAATAACATAGCACTTTTTCATCTTTCCCCTAATTATATTAAAAAACATTAGGGTTCAAGGTCTAGTTTAAACTAGATAATTGAGTGATTAGGAACAAAAATTTTTATATGGTAGTCTATGTAGAATATTTTAGGTAAATATGAAGCTAACTTAGAAAATCTATAAATCCTCATTATTTTGGAATGCCAACTGCCTTTAAAATAAAAATTATCTCTAAGAACCTTGTGTATACTTGCCTTATTAGAAAAAGTATTGCAGGTACAGTTTTCCATTGGTTTTAGTTGTAGTCATTATATATAAGGAGGCTTGACAAAAAGAACAGAGTTGGGTGAAGCTGGAGTTGTTTAAACTGTGGTTTCTACCTAGTTCTGGCACAATAAGGACACTGCAAAGTAAAATCTTTGATCCCCACCTCTAGAACCCAAATACTGCCTCACCATTCTGTGTGTGAATGGAAACATTGAGTAAGGTTGAATGCATTTCTGAGCTCTATATTGAGTTGAATGTCGATGCTGGTGCTTACAGCTAATAGCTTATTCGTTGTTCTCTGTGAATTTTGGCCAAAATGAGATGTCTGGTAGAACTGGTGAGTGTGCTCACCATGAGCCTCTGGACAGCAGTGCCAGTGAAGCTGGTGCCGCCACAGCAGCACAAGAGAGCACAGCTGCTCTAGAGAGTCCTTGCTGGAGAACCGTGATGCACAGGTCTGACGGGGATAGACTGACCCTGACCCAGACTCTGATTGTGTCTTCAGAGCGTAGATGCCTCCAGGGCCATAAGAATACCTTTTCTTGTCACAGTCATGTCGTGGGTTAGATAGGCACAACACAGTTCTGATGGAATACATAGCTCAGGGAGAAATTACATCTGTTTTTTTTTTTAAATTCTGCACTTTGCCAAATCTTGTTCTTAATTCAGAACATTGCCATGTGTGCCAATGACTTTGCATTAATTCTCTTCATCTTTTAACTCATTGACATCAGCATGCAACAGCATTAACAGTACAAAATCTTTTAATCTTCATTCTCCCATGCTTAATTCCCATCTGTATAGCCACTGACTGAGATTTCTATCTTCTTACAGGTCACTGAGTCAAGGCAGCACAAATTCAAACATGTTGGATGTTCAAGGAGGTGCTCATAAGAAAAGGGCACGTCGCAGTTCTCTGCTCAATGCCAAGAAGCTGTATGAGGATGCACAGATGGCGAGGAAGGTGAAGCAGTATCTATGCAGTCTGGAGGTAGAGACGGACGAGGAGAAGTTCCAGATGATGTCGCTGCAGTGGGAGCCTGCATATGGTACCTGTGAGTACAGGGTTCCTCTGCATGACACAAAGAGCACAAGACAAGAGAAACCTAGTTCTCCAAAGTATGCTCAAGCCCCAATAAAACTGTTAATTCATTCACAGAGATTACTGACATACCCCAAGCATCATGTGATTCTGTTCATTACATTCTTGAGTCCACCTGTCCTTGATATCTACTTTGTAAGAAATAGATAAATAATAATTCATCAAGAAGCTTTAGCCAGGCATGACAGCACACACCTGTGATGCCAGCACTTGGGAGGCTGAGGCAAGAAGATTGCTATGTGTTCAAAGCCAGCCTGAACTAGCAGCAACTTTACAAAGACATCTTGTAAAAACTAGAACATTATAGAGAAATCTTCTATTTGAGAACATTTTTGCATTCAGCCTAAATAATAATAAACTTTTTACCTTTTTAATTTAATGAATATCATTTGCCAGCTAGAAAATACAGGAAGTTTAATTACAGTTGGTCATAGAGGTGAGTAAGTTGAAACCAGAAGACATTCTTATATTGTTAATTGCTAGAAAAGAGAGTGAGAAAGAGGGTGCATCCTCAGTTTTGGCAAGCTAGTCCACTGCTGTCCACTCCACACATACTCTACTGGAAGCTGCATTCCCAGTCCACTGTGTAAGCACAAGCAAGAGGGCATAATGTATCCCTGGGCCAAGGAAATCATTAGTTAAAGAGCAGAAATCAAAGATGGTGAAATATACAGTGTTATAAACAGGCCCCATAAAGATTCTTATGTCAAATTATGGGTTAAATGTTTTCCCCTAAAAATCACAATAGAATTCTAAGTTTCTAGATGACAAAAAAAGTGGTAGTTCTCATGGATTGACCTTGAGATTGACAGATGGGGTGGTATTTGCATAGTAATAGAAAATGTATGTCAACAGAGTGGAAAAGAGAATATGAAAATAGAACCAACACTAAGAAATGACAATGAACGTTAAAGTACAGGCTTAGGAACCATCTAGTACATGTACTATCTCTATTGCAGTTCTTTCTGTATCAAGTCTGTTACATTTGGAGAACAAAGTAAAATAGTAAGAACTACAGCCAACAATAACCCTTGTCACTGGCTCGGTACTGTGATACATGCCTGTAGTCTCATTTCCTCTGGGAGGTGGGCAGAAGAATTGTTGAAGAGCAGCCTGGGCAATACAACAAAACGCTATTTCCACCCAGCCCCCAAAACTGTTATTATTCCTCAACTCTCTGAGGTACCTGATATTAGTACTATAATCTGTAAATCTTAACCTGATATTAGTACTATATTAGTACTATAATGAAACAGTGCACCTAAAAACCTGCTTATAGAAACACATTGCGATATTCGAGTAAAAAAGAAATCATTTGGATTCTAAGTGCATAAAAATTGAATGGTATATGTGCATAGTCTTGAATGATATCTGGAAAGTATCACATGGGATAGCAGTGTGAATCATTTCAACCATGTGAAAGTGTCAAAAGTGAAATATATAGAACTTTTAAATTTTACGCATCTTTTAAGTTGAGGCAAGTACATATTTAAAACCTTCTGACCCTGCTTCGAATTACTGTCAAAGCTACTTTTCTTTCTCAAGTAACTCAATGTAGACTTTTAATCTTATGATTTGTCTGGTACAAGAATGTTTTAGACATTCCCACGTGTCCAGCTATAGGCCTTTCTCTTCCTGCACCCAACACCGACTTCTCTATCTTTTTTCCTACATTAAATGCATCTTGATATTGATTTGAAGGGAGAAAGTCTATAGCTTTTTCTTTCTGAAACTTGGCTTGAAATTATAATTCAGTGCATATTGCCTTAATTTGCTCTATGTGTTAATTTGATTTCTAGTGTATAATAGACTTTTAAAAGTCCCATGCCCAAATGTAGTTGAGTTTTGAGCATCATAGGATGGAATTCTTGCTGTCATAATAAAAGCATAATTACTGATGTAACCTGTGCCGGCACAGGTTAAACATCTGTTTTATCTTGGTGTTTAAAACTACAGTGAGGTGTTGAAGTTGCACCTATGTGAGACCATCCTGGATAACTGAAGGATTGATAGTACTGCCTAAGGAAGAAATTCTTTCCTTTGGACTATAATACTGATTTTATGTGAAGAAGGCAGCTTTTGTTTCTTCAGTCACTACAGGCCAAGGAGTTATAAGGAAATGTTCCCTAAATTTGTAAGCAAATTTATCTGAAAGATGCAGCAAGTGTTGCATAGTTGAAGGGAACTTTCTAATCTAGGAAATTAAAGACGGAGTTAATAGAAATGGAGAATGTGGAATTCAGGAGAGGCAGGGGACCTACTTGAAGAGGGCGGGCTGATGCTATATTATGTGGGGGCTAACCAGCCTTGTTTTAGAGTTACTCTGCTGTTATGTGGAGAAGGGCTTGAAGGCATGCTAGAATTGATACAGTGAGGGAAGCATTACAGCCGCCCGTGTAGAAGAGAGAATGTTGACTTTCACCAGTGATGGCAGAAATGGAGCAAATTAAATTAATAGATTTAAGAATGCTATAGGAAATGAAAGTAATAGTGTATTCTAAAGTAGTTTCAGAGATAACCTTTTATAATATTTAAATGACTACTTTTAAGGAAAATTTGTTTTGTGTGCTAAAAATCAGTAATTTTTACAGTTATCTGTTAATTCTGAATGATAATAGTCTTACCTTTAAAATAGTTTAAAGTTACCTGTTCTTTCTTCTACTAGTGACCAAGAATTTAAATGAGAAAAAATCTGCCAAATCATCTGAAATGTCTCCAGTGCCTATGAGGTCAGTAAACCAGACAGCGAGAGCCCACTTGCATCAGCCCCACAGAGCAAGCCAGGCGCTTCAGGTGCCAGCTGTTAATCTGCACCCCGTGAGGAAGAAGGGACAAGCAAGAGACCCTGCACTGAGTGAGTATCCACAGTCTCTATCGTCTTCATGTGATTGAAATTTCTAGAAGAATCAAAGTGACAGCTGCAAATCCTTGGGGGATATGATCACTACACAAATGAAAAAACATTTTGTTTTGTCTATGGGTGTTCTTTAAATGCTAATTTTGGATTGTAATGCTGAAATCTGTTTATCCACATAAAACGTAATACATCTTGGGGATTTACATGAAATCCCAGGCAACACGTTAAGGATTTTCTGCTTTCCAAAGTACATTTAACCAAATAGCTAATGCCACATACAGCCTATATAAACTGTAAGAATCAAGTTTCTTATTATGAAAATGACTATAAAATTTTGTTTTGTTAGTGACCCTTTCTGGAAACCCATTTAGGAGAAAGAAGACAATGTAAAGTAGATAAAATATAGATTATACCTTTTTTTCCCTTAGGCCATGTAAGTTTATGAGTTACTTTTATTGTTTTTACCATATCATTCATTAATTTTTAGGTAAGAAAGTAAGGTTAGATTTGGTTCCTAGTGTTCATACTTAAACATTATATGTAATACCTATATATCCAATATAAGTTTTTGAATTTGACTTGAGAGACTAAGTTGTAGAAGTGCCCCCTGCTCTGCCACATTTCATTCTGGTGATACAGACACACAAACAGGTAACTTCAGAATAACATGGTTGCTTTTGCGCCAAGACTGTACTCCCGGTGTGTAAAAACACAAACCAGGACGGATGCTTTCTACAGAAGCAGAAGAAAGGTGGGACTTGAGAAGGCTTTGGGAGAAAACACATAGAGCCTTTGATGTTGATGACAAAGTAGTGGTTAGGCAGAGGTTTCAGAGAAGTTGCTTTAAGCAGAAGAAACAGCTCGTGTTGCAAGGAGCTGCCAGCACTTTGCTGACAGGCTGCAGAACTCGTGCTGAGTGTTAATGAGCACAATACGGCAGCTGATGTTTAGCATGTAACGAGTCCTAGGCACATTTCACAGTGCCTTGCTAACTTTGTGTATTCATTCAGTGTTTGTATTAATCCAGAGATAGGTAGTGTTCTGCCCTGGTCTGCTCAGACAATCAGTAATTTGCATGCTGTTATAAGTGATGAGACTGGAAGTGGAGCCCAGGTTCTACGGACTTTGTAAAGTTCTTGCTTCTAACCTTCACACTGCCAGGATGATGACACATGAAATCATGTTGAAGTGACAGTGTTCTGTGCTGATGCCCAGTAGTCAGTGAGAAGTCATTAAAGAAATCTGACCAGAAGAGCATTAGGTCCAAGTTAACGTTGGATGAGAACTGTAGTGGGAGATGCAGCGAGACGAGGCAGAAGGCCTGGCTGGAGGGTGATGTAACAGCTGGCCTGAAGTCATTCAAGGCCTGGACTAGTTTGCCACCTATGAAAATGAAGAGTGAATTGGATTAAAAATTGGCACGGTTGATAAATTTCTTAGTAGGGGTAAGGTAGGAACAGATTTAGCTCTGGTTTCTTATTTAGACATCATTACATAAGAGGCAGTATGAGTTGTAAGTAGCTTGCCTTTCCTGATGTAGTATGGCTGTTAGATAAATACACAGCATTAATATTAAAGTGTTGGGTATACTGTGATTAAAACTTTTTCATTATCAAAAGGCTGCTTGTTACTATACCAGATCCTCATTAGAGCTGTGCTTACCTTACAAAGAACAGTGTCAGTAGCTTCTTCACATTTTTTAGAAAAGATACATGTAAAAAGTCAGTATTTTGAAATAATTGCTACAAAATAGGGCCAGCTGTTGAACAAGGATAATGATGGAACTTCAGAAGAATGTGTCCAGTGGGCTCCGTACTACTCTTCTATAAATTCACGATTCTTTCTGTTGTTTACTTCTCTCCTGTAGTGTGAATTTAGTGCTCTGAGAGGGCTGGATTGGCAGCCCTGCCGCCTCTCCTGTATGCCCACAGCACAGATGCACCACAGGTAGTGACAGTGCCAGCATCCCCACTCTGCCCCGCCACATGCCTCGCTCTGCCATGGAGAGGCCACCTCTAGAGGGGAGAGAGGAGTGTGAATCTGCCTTCTTTCTTCAGATTGTGAGCCAGGGTGTCAATTGTGCGGGGTGGGGCACTATACTTAGACTGTTAAATTGATTTCCCTTCTGCCACAAAACAATTTATTGAAACTGGTCCATGCTGACCAGCAGAATTTGAACTAATAACCTAGAGGTGAGAATCTCTGTATGCCATTACCCAGCCATGCAGTCCGTTTGTCATTTATACATTTCAGTTAACTACACTAGCCATTGTGCATCATGGCTTTAGTTATGTAGTGATTTAGGCAGTTACAGCATTTTCATTATGAAATGATGTTTATATGCTTCTTTGGTTTTGTTTTCAGGTACAAGTTTGCCTCAGAAAGCTTTAGGACCAACTGAAGAAATAAGTGGTAAAAAACATACAGAAGATGCGATTTCTGTGGCATCATCTTTACATTCTAGTCCTCCTGCATCTCCTCAAGGTTCCCCTCGCAAAGGTAAGACAAACCATTTTACGTATTTTACGTTTCAGCCTATAAGAAAGTAATAAAAAGTGTTTCAGAAAAGTGTAACTGTGAAGGCTTACTTTTTGAACTTCAAAATTATTTAAGTATTTTTCAAGTATTACATATCATGTAAATAAGACTCCAGTATTCAAAGCATGGTTCTCCTTAGGGAAAGCATAGATGAAAATAAAGGCAGAAGGCACAGTTGTTTTGGTCTGTGCTGGCTCATTTTGTCATCTCTCATATTTTCTACATACAAACCTTTCTGTGGAGGATTTGCAAATAAAAATGTCTGTAAGAAATTGTTTCAAATTAACTACTAGGTATAGAAAAACACTGGATTGGTGTGTTCCTTTTTTAATAATAGGGTACTATCTTTATTTCTAAAGCTTTAAATAACATAACCCTTTACAGTTTTTCACATGAGTAAGTTACTGAACTGTATCAGGTAGAGGCAGTCTGAAGCTGTTCTCATTCTTTTACACGTATTCTCATAATCAAGACTGAAGCCTTTGTGACTAACATGGCCAGTGCATGCAGAGTCTGTTTGTGTTCATGTACTTGTAGCACTTGAAGTAGTGTGCATTTCTCACGTTGGCACCTCACACTCCATGTGTATCCTGGGGAAGGGCTTCCTAGTCCTGGGATCCACTTCATAGATGGGAAATAATTCCATCTTTGAGTGACTGTAGTGTAGTACAGTACGTGGCCAGAGAGGAGACAAGCCTGTTAATTCTAGAGCTTGCCCACATTTTCAGTTTCCTTTCCCTGCTAGGGACTCGTTTTTACCCCCCATGTGGCAGTGGTCCTGACTGTCCTTTGCTCTATCACTATGTAACTTATAAAATTTATAAGGTCAGGGTTCCTCTCTCACAGGTTGAGGAAAAGACCGTCCGTGTAAACTTCACACGTGGGCCAAAAAAAAAGAATTGTAAATCCTAGTATGTGGTAACAGAAGTGTCTCTTCTCTGCTGCCACCCCAGCAACATTGCTCCTATCTCTCCTACCCCACAACTGGGTCTGGCTAGAATTTTGGAAGTTTGCTAAGGAAAGCTTCATGGAAATCAAGTAGACATAAAACAGTATGTATAATAGGCATGTCTTTAAAACCCACATTTCTGGTCCTGTTGTAGCTCCCGTAATATTTTGTGAGCCACAGACCTGTGTTGTCCTCTTGGCTGTCCTGTTCTGCCCAAGTACCTCATCACATGTTGGTGAGAGGAACCGGCAGCCCCACTCACCGGACAGGACACCATGGACCATGCCCATGTGTTTTTAATGCTCTTGCAGAAGCACACGACATGCCTCTTGTGGAGGCTCTCCCAAGGTCCATCCCATTAGACTGTAAGAGGAAACTACAGCCCTGGATGATTTGGTGTTTTTTTGCCAAATGTGATTAGGGAAGACCTGTGTCAGAGACAAGAATATCCTCACTGTTCTTATTCCCAATAGAAAACCCGCTCTTGCCACTGGAAGAGAGAGATCTTTTCTCTATTATCTTTCACTGTGTAGCCAGCAGTTGACTATAATGTTTATAAATTTGTGAACTTGTCCTAGTCATGGTTAGAATCCTTAAAGGCCAGAAGAAATTCTTTCCTCCAACGCTGTTTCATGTTGTCACATATCAAAATCCCAGTTGAAAGTGGAGTTTCTCCTCTAGAGATGAGGTTTTGCTGGTTGTCCATGGTTGAACAGAAGTATCATTACAAGGGGCAGGGGATATAGCTCAGACGCACAGCACCTGCCTTGGAAGCACAAGGTCATGAATTCAATTCCCAATACCAAAAAAGAAAAAAGTCGTTACACTAAGTATAATTTATCAAGATCTGTTCTGAGTTCCTGCTGAACTTGGGGATTAGTTTATACAGTTAAGAAATTAGGAGTGTTTCATATATTTTCACAAGGAACATGTAAACAAGAACTTTAAAAAAGAAGTCAAGGGCCAGGGATGTAGCTCAGCGGCACAGTGCCTACCTGGCAAGAAGATCCTGAGTTGAATTCCCAGTATCAAAAAAAAACAACTAAATAAAAGAACTACTCAGTTCTCCATCTTAGAGTCACAGAGCCACCAGAAGTGGTGCTTTATAAACACATTATTACCTACGGTGTTTGCATGTCCTCCTCAGCTTGTTTGCTGTGGTGCTCGTGGCATTCCAAGCAGCCATTCCACCACTGAGCTATACCCACTCTAGTTAGTTTTTACTAAACTTTTTACAATGATACCTGCTTGGAAATTCTAGACATACATAATTTCTTGAAAAATAGTTCTGGTTACCTGATACTGTCAGATTTTCCCTTATAATTTTATCAGCTTGTTTTCAACAGAATTTTTATGACCAGTTTATTCTAGTCCAGGTAATCTTTTTCTTGCATTCTGTCATGTGGTAACTGTTGTGTTTATGTTGCAAAGTAGATTTTCCATGCATTAAAAGTAAATCTAGATTTTAATGTTAGATATTGTCAAGAAAATAAGTTTTACATAGTGAAATGTTATATATAAGCCAGTTAATTGTGATTAATTGGAAAGAATGAATTTTGCATCTCTCCCTCCAGTTGGCAGTGTCCTATCTGATCACAGCATCCTGCTGCACCTCTCAGGGTCCTCCTCACCCCCTTCCCGTGAGTCCAGCGCCAAGATCAGTGGCCAGAGCTGCCCAGGAATAGGTGGGGTTTACTTGCAAAAGAAAATCCTTCAGATTACCAGGAGCACAGCCAAAAGGACAGACAGGACCAAGAAGGCCACTGAGGAGGATAGAGACAGGACAAGTTGTGAGAACACAACCAGAAAAAGAATGACATCCCCGTTTAGAAGATTTAGGGAAAGAACTCTTTCAAGGGAGAGACTAGTCAACAGCCAGAAAGAGGATCACCGTCACGCTCCAGACAGCTGGGAGACAGTGAAGGATGAGGAAGGGAGAGACAACTGCCATTCCAGTAGCCGAGGCAACAGTAATGCTCTCACCTGCTTCTATGCGCGATTCAAGTCTAAGAGGAGAAAGACAATCTGACTAAGTTCCTTACTCCATTTTAGTGTGAAGTTTGTTTTTGGTTGTTAATGTAAATGTAGTTGTATTAAACCGTTTGTCAAAGATTGGGCAGATAACTTAGTAAAATATTATTAATAAGCATTTTATGATATTACAGATTCTGTGGCAACAAATACTGGTTTAAAGTGCCTTATTTGTACATGTTATTTTACTGATGTATTGTGCTTGCTTCGGCAGCATATATACTAAAATTATTGATGTATTGAGTTAGTAAACTATACTCTTGTTTTCTGTAGTTGGCTTTATTTCCTATTGCTAACAGCTGAGTGTGAGTGAAATAAGTAGAGAAAGCTTTTTAGGAACCCACGCTCACTTTTTAATGATAAAACTATCAATACTCTGATTCTCACTTCTGCCTCAGAGAACTGTATTGCCACCTTAAGCAATATAGTTTTTAAGCCAATGGACAAAAAAAGTTTTGGGGACAAGCAGTTGCATCTCTTCCACATGCACTTATATCATCCGCTGTCCACATAGCTCTGATGGACGGGGGATAAGCTAGGCTAATGTAACAAGTTCAAGTCATCTGGAAAACTTGTTTCAGAATGCAGTATTTGCCAGGTGTGGTGGCGCACTCCTATAATCCCAGCATTTTCGAGGCTGAGGCAAGAGGATTGCTGCAAATTTGAGGCCAGCCTGGGCTACATAGTGAGTTCAAGACTAGCGTGGACTACATGGTGAGACCCTGTCAGTCAATAAATAAATGCCTACATACTCAAGCAAGCAATTGTTAGCTGGGCATAGTGACACTTGCCTGTAATCCCACCTCTGTGGGCAGTTGAGGGTGGAGGATCACAAATTTGAATCCAACCTGGGCAATTAGTAACTTCACAAGACTGTCTCAAAGGTGAGTGGGGATAACTCAGTGCAAAGGCCGTGGCTGCACTCGCCAGTGCCACCAAAAAGAAAAGTGCAGCTGATGTGTCTCACCTCAGACCTCGCATGTTTGAACTGTCAGAAGTGGCCCCAGACTGTGCACTTTAGTAAAGTTCCCAGGTGGTTCTTGGAACTGGAGGTTTTTGAGAAATTTATTCTTAAAAACATAAGAACAGATTTTGAAATATTGAAGCACGTCTGTTCCACAGGATGCAAAAGCAGTGATTTCCATTTGAGATGGGCTTTGCTGTTGCTTTGTATTTACCACATGCATTTTCGTGATCCTTTTGAAAACTGACTAATCAGTTTATGGGCAGGCCGATAAAATGGACCCCAGCTTCAAAGACGTGTGACAGGAGTCAGGGACCATCTTCTCTTGGCTTCCCTGCTTTTTTGGCTCCATATGCTAAGTGAAAATCACACACTTTCTGGGTCTTGATTTTTTTCATTGAAAACTACTTAATAAGACTATTTAGTATTGTGCAAAAAAATTGTTTAGTGACTAATATATAAATATTTAAACTCTGAGATTCTGAAGCCAAGATCGGCCCTTGGGGCTTAAGTGGTCTCTTCCTTCTTACACGTAAAGAAGTGGACACCCTGAGGATTCTTGGAACATATGTCAGTGCCTCTAGTTCTTTTTAATGAGAGTTCTGGAGATTGATCCAAAGATTGTGTATTTTCAAACCTGTCTTTTTTTCTGTAAACATGAAGATACTGTTCACTTAAGAGACCTCCCCTTCTTGGGATTCCTAAGTCATTATCATTCATTTCTAAACAAAAGTCTGATTTCTTTTCTTTCAGTTACCAAAATAGACTATTATGTACATTTAACCATCATGCTGCAGATTTGTTGGGGACCTTTCCACCTCATTCCGTCCCCACTCCTTTATCCCAAAGAATACCGAGGAGAAAAATCTCTAGCTATCTGCTGTGCAGTAAGTCATAGAAGAAGTTAAAACATATAGATGCTCGTTTTTTTCATTTTACATTACTTAAATCATCAGTTTAGCTGTTCAGTCTTCTGCAAAGTGATAAAAAGAAACTAGGTATAACATTAAGTACAAATTTAAAACAATCTATTTAAAAATACTAAAACAGAGCTGAGGGTATGGCTCAGTGGGAGAGCATTTGCTTAGCATATGTGATGCCCTGAGTTCTGTCTTTAGCTTTGCAAAAAATTAAAATAAGGATGCTGGAATAATGGCGCTTAGTTTAAGCTAAGACTTCTTAAGGTGGCATAAGCAGGACATTTGGGGTAAGTATATGTAGTTTGAGTGTTAAGAAATGCAGCCTTTGAGGCCTTCCTCCTCTCTCTATCCCTAAGTAGCGTTTTGGATTCAGTTCAGACTATGAAGTGTGTTAATCAGAATTCAGTTCAGACTATGAAGTGTGTTAATGTGGTTACAAAGTTGCAAAACTGAAGTGTGTATGCTTCTTAATATTTAATATCTTTACTTCTTAATGTATTAAATACTTGTAGTTCTGTGAGAACCTGGGCAGGATATACTTTTGGACTGATTTTCTCAGTAGTACTGGATTTTGACTTTATTTTTCTTGAATTTGGAATTGTATTGGTGTGGTGAGGCTAGGTAGAGGAACGAATATGTGGGGAAATGTGTGGGAGAAAATAGCATGATTACATCTATGTGGATGGAAACTGAGGCTGCAACTAGTTTGTCTTTTGTTCTTTCTGCTTTCTCTCTCTCAAGTCCCTAGCCACCCCATCGCTTGTTCCTGTGCCTTGTAGTTTGACTAGTATGCTTTTCTTGTTCAGGTTACACACTTTTACCATCAGCTAAATCTGACAACTTGTCCGACTCCAGCCATAGTGAGATTTCTTCTCGGTCCAGCATCGTGAGCAACTGTTCTGTTGACTCCATGTCAGTAGCTCTGCAAGATGAGCGCTGTTCCTCCCAGGCCTCTGCAGTCCCTGAGTCCACAGGGATGCTGGAAAAGACAGAGCATCTCTCAGTAGGAGACCATGGACATCTTGGACCTGGGTAAGCATTCTTGTCTTTTCCAAAAAGCCCAAATTGCAAGCCATCACTAGCCATGCTCCCCAGCTTTGATCTTGTATTCTCCCACTTGGAGTAACAGCAAGACCAAGCAGATACTCTCTGTACCAAATATGGAAGTAAATATTATTTGAAAGATGTGAATAACTCTATCTGCCCCCTGCCATTGTGGGGATTAAAACTAGGGCCTTGCTGGGTATAGTGCACACGCCTATAATCCCAGCACTCAGAAAGCTGAGGCTGGAGGATTACCATGAGTTCAAGGCCAGCCTGTACTACACAGTGAGACCCTGTCTCAAAAAAGACAAAAAAAAATAAAAAATAAAATCAAGACCTTTACACTGAGCTACATCCCCAGCTCTATTTTTTAGCTTGAAACAAATTCTCAGTAACTCCATAAATTGTTCAGCCTGGGCTTAAGCTTGCAATCCTGCTGCCTCAGCCTCACCAGAGTACTGTGATTACAAATGCACAACATCACACTCAGCATGGGTATTTTTATCCTCTCCTTCTTCCTTCTTCTTTCTTCTTATTCTTTTTTTTCTTTTTCACACAGGGTCTCGCTGTGTAGTTCAGGTGGCCTTGAACTCACTATGTAGCCCATGCTGACCACAAACTGAGGGTGATCTTCCTGCCTCAGCTTCCTGAGTGCTGGAACTACAGGCATGCACCACCACTCCCTGAGCTTATCTTAAATAGTTGCCAAATTCAAGTAACTTTGTAACATTATATATTTTTTCATTCAGTAGGAACGCAAAGTGTGCTCACTATTGATAGGAGGAAAATGGTCCTTAAGATCCTGGGTGTGAGGTCCAAGGTTGTCCAGAAGTTGTGTAATAGAAAATACAGTGCTGTACATGTTGTAGACAGGTTGAGAGAGTAGCATGAGCCCTAGATCCACACTCTTTGAAAGTACTATTTGAAAAATAAAAAGAATCAGTGAACACAAGTTAATTTTTAAAAATTTCTAATTCTAAATTTCTATTGAGAATCAAGCAAACTGAAATCTTTTAAGAATAAAGTTGCTTCTAATCTGATAAATATTGGTTAACTCTGGTCTGCTTTAATATGCAGTACCTAAGACATACTAAAGTATTACTATATTTGTAAAGGCTTCTAAATAGTGATTCCATAAACGAGAGAATGTCAGAGTTTTTCTGTAAAAGGTAGTAAGTATCTAAGACTTAACAGGACACAACATCTGTGATAGCTCCTCTGCCACTGTGGCCCTGAAACAGCCATAGACAGTACAGAGGCAAATGGGCACCCTGGGTCCTGGTGCAGCTTTATAGAAGTAAACAGAAGGCCCAGATGTGGCCTTGGACTATGGTTTGGTGACCTCTGTGCCGTTCTGTAAACCAGGGTCCTCCTAAGTTTTTATGAAGGACTAGGTAGTGAATATTTTAGACTGGCAGGCTGTATATGGTTTTTGTCAGAAATTTTTTGTGCCATTTTTTTGTTTCATTTTTGTTTGAATGCTTTAAAAGATAAAAATCAATTTTTGTTCAGTCCATACAGAAACAAGGCTGTTGGCTACATTCGGCCTGTGTGCCTGAGTTTGGCAGTCCCTGGTATAAACGATGGGACCCAGCTAGTGGTTGCTGGGAAGTTGGTGTTTACTGGCTACCATACCGTGAGGCTAACCTCAGGTATACATTGAAAATAAAATATGACTCATCAAGTTGAGTTCTTCTGTATGTGTAGAAAACAGTATATTAACAAGGATGGAAACTTGTACTTTATTCACTTCAAATTTTATCATTTTCATTTAAAATCAATTTAAAATTCTTTGAGAAAATCTTGCCTAAACAGTGACTTTCTTCAGTGTGTTTCTAGCACTGTGTTCTATAGTTCTTTGTAGATGATAGTACTGGAAGTGCAAAGAACAAAGATTTTCAGTAAGCTGGTAAATTACTTTTATTTGTATATTATCTCCATTTTTAGGTGGACACTCTCAAAGCCATCTCTCATCAAGGGTTTAGCTGTCTCATCGTCTGTGAGCAACGAAGAGATTTCTCACGAGCATATTGTTATAGAAGCAGCTGACAGTGGTCGTGGAAGTTGGACTTCCTGTTCAAGCAGCTCCCATGACAACTTCCAAAGCCTTCCAAACCCAAAAAGCTGGGACTTTCTGAGTGCTTACAGGCATACCCATTTGGATGACCCCATTGCTGAGGTGGACTCCACTGACGGGGAGCTCTATTCCTGTCCTAAAGGCTGCTCTAGAACTTGCGGGCAGTGCAAAGGAAGCTTAGAAACCAGTCAGTTAAGACAGAGTTGGGCCTCCTCCAGTTCTCTCTCTGACACATACGAGCCAAACTATGGGACAGTTAAAAGGAGAGTTTTGGAAGCCACCCCTGCCGAGTTATCAGATGGCTTGGACCCAGTTTATAAAACAGTCACTTCAAGTACAGAAAAGGGCTTGATTGGTAAGTTCTGTGTATTGTATTCTGTGTTTGGCACTTAGAAATTATAGCAAAAAAACAAAAAGATAAGATATCTTGGCCTAGGATTTTATTCATGGAAAAATTAGTTCACTGGTTCTACCATTTTTTTCTTCTGTAAAAAAATTTTCCCCCATATTCAAGATTGAGGGACTTTAGGGCAGATACCGGAGCGGTTAAAGTGCAAAGTTTGGAGTTAAGGTATATAATTAAAGGACCAAAAGTGTCATGTTGTTGAGACATGTTTTTGTTTCATTGGATATCACATTTCTTTGTGGTAGTAATAAATAGACTGTCCTCTTCTGCACCTATAAATGTTTTAGGCCACAGTTTCTATCCATACATGATGGAAACACTGAATCTTCTGTTACTTTTTAGGAAGTAAAAATGAGAAAAATGTAATAAAGAAGTTCAGAATGGGCTTAGTGGTAAAATGTGTGCTTTAGTATGCACTAGTCCTTGGATTTTTTCCCCAGCATCACAGAAAGAAATGCAAAACATTTTCATTAAAATTACTATGTCTTGAGTATGTCAACTAATTAATAGATTCCATTCTGAGCTATTTGGCGTATGTCAGCCATCGGGCAATACTTGAAAATGCCATCCCCTGAATTGCATAAAAATCTGCATATAAAGCAATAGCCTCTACTTTTCTGCTTAGACATAATGACTAGCTGTTGAGTCAGTATTACCAGTATCACCTCTGAATTCTGTATTCATATGTCACATCTAATTACCAAAAATGTAAGAGGGAAACGTACTGATTTTCTTATTGTCAAATTGGGTTGTAGAGGGGTTTTTAACTTACTCTTTTTTTTCTCTAAAGATGTTTTTTAGTAAATGTTTTTAGTTCACTACTGTAGGGACATATATAAACCTGTGAACAAGGCTACAAAAATCTGATCATTTTAGGACTAGATCTAAAAATCTTTAATTTCTTGGGCAACTGACTTTTTTCTGGCACCAAGCTGTATCGCCAGCCCTTTTTCTTTTGTCTCATCCTTGTCCTCATCCTCATTTTCATTTGCATTTCAGTTTTTGAAACAGGATCTATGTAGTTTAGCTCAGCCTTGAATTCACTGCACAGCCCAGCTAGTTTTGAAATAACAGTCAGCCTGCCTTCCACCTGGGTGCTGGGATTGCACAGATCACCACCACGGTTGGCTTTCTTTTTTTGTTGCTTTGGTTTTTTGTTTTTGTGGGTTTTTGTTGTTATTGTTGTTGTTGTTGTTTAGTGTTGGTGGTAGGGTTTTTTGTTGCTTTGTTTTGAGTTAGGGTTTCACTAGATTGCCCATCCTGGGTTCAAATTTGTAATCTTTCTGCCTCCGCCTCCTAGAGTCTAGAATGACAGGCTTGCATCACCATATCCTGCTAACATTTTTCTCTTCTCCTGACATTGCTGCCACCACCATCCTCTCCCACCTTCTGTCCTCATGTGGAAATGGAATTCCTTTCTGACCTTGCTACTACATGCAAGTTTTACTGGGAGAACTGCAGAAATTTAAATATAGACAACCCTGTTCTCTAATGAAAGAGTTAGAATTATTTAGTGATCTGGTTAAAATTATATTGCTTTTGGATGCGCAGCTTGTTTGAAAAGTCAGTTCCTTTTTTTGTTTGTTTGTTTGTTTTTTGAAAATAGCTGTGTAGTTCAGCTTTGCCTTGAGCTCACTATGTAACAGCCCAGGCTGGCAAAGGTCATTTGCATAATCAAGAGGTTTAGATCCATTTGTCCTGCAGATTGGTTTTAATTGCATGGAACTTCTCTTATACCTGTTTCTAATAGTTTTTGAAGTCCCAGAGTATGTACAAACTTAGGGAAAAGAATGTGGAAATCAGAGAAATTCAATTTCAAGGTAAATTTCCTTAAATTATGGTTTTTTTCTTCTCTTATTCACTAATTGATGTAAAGGTAGCCACAGTGACACACACCTTTAATTCCAACTACATGAGGGACAATAAGGCATAAAAATGCCAAGTTCTAGGTCAGCCTAGGCAACTTAGCAGCACTCTGTCAAAATAAAAAGTTCTGCCATGGATATAGCTCAGTGGCATAAATGCTTGCCTGGCAAGTGCGAGATCCGGAGTTCGATTCTGGGTACCAAAAAATAATGCCTTTAATAAAAAATAAAAATAGAAACAAGTAAATTTTATTTGTTGCTGGGTGTGGCATACACAGGTAATCCCCACACTTGGGAAGCAGGAAAATCGTCATGAGTTTTGAGTCCCCCACTTGGGCTACAAAAACAAGTTCCAAGTTCCTTGCTATATAGTGTAGCAGCCTATATAGCTAGAGCCTGTGTCTAAAAAAGCCCCCGCCCCCAAGTTTATCTATTTCAGTTCACAGGTTGAACCGTAACTGGGTTTTATTCTTTTTTTTTTTAAGAAATAAATGCCAATTTGAAAAAACCATTTTAATCTTTGTCAGTGTATGTGTGTAGTACATAATGATTACATTCATAGTAGGGAATTGGTGCTGATGTACCATGTTAATTCGTTTTGCTCCTGCTTCCCTCCATCCTGCCTCTTTCCCTGTCCCTCTATCTCTTGGTCCTTTTCCCATTTGCAAAAACCTATCTTCTTGTTTCCTATTATCTGTCTTTTATTTAGCTGTTTGTTTATACTTTGTGTTTCTTACATGAAAAGCCATGTAATATTTAAGCTGTGTGTCTCATTTCATGTAACGTTATGGTCAAGGTATGTAACTGTATCCTCTTTTATGACAGAGTAGTGCTCATGTGTACATGTTCTTTATCCATTCATCTGTTGGTGGAATACAGGCTGCTTCCAAGTTTTAACTCTTAGGACTTGTGCCATTGCTGTGAACAAGTGTGAATGTGGTGCTGTACTCTGATGTCTTTAACTCTTTCAAGAATATTCCTAGAAGGGAAATGGCTGAGTCAAATGGAATTTCTAGCTTAATTTTTTTGCAGTCTCCAGGCTGAGTCCATAGTGGTGTGCCAGCTTACACTCACACGAACAGTAAAGAAGGGTTCCTCTAACTTCACAGGCTCACCAGCATTTGTTATTAGTTGATGTCTTAATAACTACAATTCTTTCTGGAGTAAGATAAAATCTGAGGGGCTGGAGATTTAGCTTAGTGGCATAAGCACCTGCATTGAAAGCAGGCAGTCGTGAGTTCGATCCCTGGTACCGATAAAAACGAAAAAGACAAAAAAAAAAAAAAAAAAAGAAAGAAAGAAAGAAAAAGAAAAAAGATGAAATCTGAATGTTTAAGTTTGCATTTCTCTAATGGCTAGAGATGTTGAATATTTCTGTGTGTGTTGATAGGCCCTTTGTACTATTCTGAGAAGTGCTGACTTCAGTTCCTCATTTTTTAAATGGATTTTTTTTCTTTTTTTATTTCTTTATATTCCAGATATTAGTCCTCTGCCCAAGAAGTAGCGGGTAAACATTTTTTTTCCCATTCCATATGTTGTCTCTTCACTGTATTGGTTGATTCTTTTGCTGTGGTGAAGCTTTTTAATTTGGGTTATCCCTTTTGTTGACTTGGTGTTATTTCTTGTCCAGTTGGGATTTTGCTATTGAGAAATTTTTTTTCCCTATTACTGTGTCTGCAAGAGTGTTACCTATTTTCCAGAAGATTGTTTCAGTTTTTTTGTTTAGATCTTTAATTCTTTTTGCTTTTTGAAACTGGGTCCTGCTGTGTAGTTCAGACTGGCCTTGAACTTATTGTGTAACCTAGGATGGCCTCAAGCTTGCAGCAGTTCTCCTGCCTCAGCCTCCTAAGTGCTGGGACTACAGATATGGACCACCACACCCAGCTAGGATTTTGGTACATGGTGAAAAATGAGAGTCTATATGTAAACTTCTGCATGTTCCAAATAGAAAATGTAAAAAGAGCTGGAAGTAGGGGTGGGGGTATCTTGAGAGAGAGAAAAGGGGAAAGGGAAGTAAGAAGGACCAGGATAGGGTAAGATATGTATTTAAATCAGTTCTTCATAATGAATATCTTCATTATGTAGCAGAAATATGTAGTAACTTTTAAAAAATTAAGGGGCTGGAGATGTCCTTCACAAGGTAATTAGCACAGTCCCCAACACTGCAAAATAATAGTAATAATAATAATAATAATATCTTTGGAAGAATTAGTGTATCTCTACCAATTAAATTTTTTTACATGCATGGGCTGAGTGGTCTTCACAGGAGTTAAATAAAACTGGTCATGTCTTATTTGTGAACAGCTCACAAACAGGTGGCCTGGATGCTGGTTCTATAAAAATCCTGATCAGTACAGAATGGATGGTTTGGTGAGCTGTCAGAGTTTGCGCCTCAGTCGCCTGCAGAGCTACTGTTGCTTAGGAGCATGACATGCATGCCCATGAGCTGAGCTGCAGGCGACTCCCTCCTTCAGCAAACTCTTTCTCTTTAATCTTTATAGAACTGGATGTAGTTGTTGATATATTTTTAAAACACAGGTTTGTAAAAGTTATCAAGCTTAGAAAAACGTTTTAATCAGCTATCATTGTTTGTAAATGTATTCATTGTATCTGTTTTTAAGTTTGCCATTGTAATCATTTTCAGTGTGGCTTTTTTTTTTCATTTCTTACATTTTTCATTAACATTTTCATTGCTTATTTTTCATGCTAGTGTACTGTGTCACCTCACCCAAGAAGGATGGTAGGTATAGGGAGCCACCTCCTACTCCTCCAGGATATGTGGGAATTTCCTTAGCCGACCTAAAGGAAGGACCCCACCCGCACCTAAAACCTCCAGAGTATAGTGTGGCTGTGCAGCGGTCAAAGATGGTGCACAACAGCCTCGCTAGACTGCCAGCCGCCTGTCTCAGTGGCAGCCCCGTGGCCTGTGTCTCATCGAAGATTGTAACTCGGCCTCAGAGGCATAATTTGCAGGCATCCCATCCTAAACTAGCAGATGTGACTGATCCAGATAGCGAAGCAGATGGTATGTTGACAAAATACCTTACTGGCTCTTAAATGAATTGCTAAACACAGTAATGGGTCTTTATTCTGGCATTTTATGGTGACCAGGGGTGTGTGTGTGTGAGCGCGCATGTGTGTGTACGCCATGAAAATTGCTGTTCAAAAATTTAGCGAAGCTGGGCATAGTTATGGATGCCTTTAATCCCAGCACTGTGGGAGGCTGAGGCAAACTGCAGGTTCAAGCACAACTGAGCAGCATACTGGGCAGCATAACTGAGACCCTGTCTCAGATTTTAAAAGAGGGGTAAGGTGTGGGCTGGGAAGCTTAGTCCAAATACCCTAGATTCAATCCCCAATGCCAGAAAAAAAAATTTTTTTTTATACAGGCATGGTGGTGCATTCCAGCACCATGGTGTAATTCCAGCTACTCAGGCAGGCGAGGCAGGAGTTCTGTAAATTGTAGGCCAGCCTGGGCAACTAAAAAGATCCTATCTCAAAATAAAAAGGGCTGGGATGTGACTCAGTGTCTGGTGCCCCTGAGTTTGAGTCTTAATACTCCCAGAAGAAAAAGGAAATCTCCAAATACAGTGGAACATTGTCTAAAGGGGGAAGGGGAACAGCTCGTTTTTGTGTGCCCGTGAAACCCCTTCTCCTGGTTAAACATACGATTGTTAGGTTTGGTAGCCAGCAGCTCATTGTAGCAGGGTGATTTCTAGATGACATCCCTGGAGTTGTGTCGTACATTAATGCATGAAAATGTGAGTGCCATTGTCTGAGATGATATTGTGTTGCCAGCAAACTCCCAGCTGACTGTAGTTGTGGCAATAGTTTGAAAAAATGGTTTACTTTATTAAAAATAAGGGTAATTTTACCCTTTTACCCAATAAGGTAATAAAGTGATTAAAAACCTGTCATGAAATTTCAGTTTATTGTCACTCATCAATATGATCAGAAAGTATTGTCAGACTGAAATCTGTGCTCTGATGGGATGTGTGAGAGAATTTCTTCATTAAAAATGATAGGATTTCAAGTAAACGACTAGATTACCCAGTTGGTCTTCATTCACATGCTGAACTGCCATCTTATTGTGTTATTTTCAGAAAATGAACAGGTGTCAGCAGTCTAGCCTTTGGGTGACCCACTGGATGATCCCTGAACGCCAGGGGGAATGGACGGAACCTCGTGATTCCATTGGCCAATGCCAACCCACAGCTCACTGCCACCGCTGGCCCGAGGTTCATTGCCTGCACTCCAAGCAGTGAGACAGACTGAGTGAGTGCACTCCTTCCATTTCACCCTGCAGGTGCGTGCTTCCCTCTGCTCGGACACTGTGTCTGGAAATCACCGACATCTGCACGCCAGACCTGCCTTGGGACCCCATCACAGAGCAAACTCAGACCCAGCAGCGTGCACATCCCCATCTACGTCACTGTAGATTTTCCTTTCACAGGTTATTTTAAAGACAGTGTTATTACTATTTCCAAGCCATAGCTGGGCTAAAAGATGAATTTAGAATGGCTGCCAATATCAAGAATATTCTTGTGTTATTTGAGAAGTTAACTTATTATTTGTAGTGTTGTGGTTTTGTTTGTATTTGAGGGGTTTGTTTGATTGTTTTGTTTAGCTCTTGTTGGCCAGTGTTTGTTTGAGACCAAAAAACCATCTCTGGTCTGACCAAACAGAAGTCACCTGGACAGGTCGGACCTGCGTAGAGATGGAACTTCTCCGCAGTGCCAGTGGGATGGGGCCGGTCTCAGTGTGGTCGTCGTCGCCTAGGAAGTCCTCTGCAGTTGAAGTGTTAGGAACCTGCTGATTGTGCTGTGAAGTGGTGCTGCACGGGGTTTCTTGTCAGTCCTTTGGGAAAAGAGGAGGTAGATGGTGACAGAAATGTCCCAGGAAGGAGGGTTGATGTTAAGTGACATGATACAGGTTGTCTGTGAAGTGAACGTCACGCTGCATCAAACCGTAAAATAAGAGTAAAGAGCCAGGAGAAAGTGGGGTCGGGAGCATTCTCCTCGGCAGAAAGTGTACTCTAACATTTCTCACAACGCAAGGGTAGAGTTCTTGTTTCTTAGAGGTGTTTGTTGTCATGAGGGCGAGCTGGCCGCTGCAGGGCTCCCCGGCACCTCACAGTGCCAGGCATTCGATCTTGAGGCTGAATAAACTCACAGCTCTCGGCAAAGGTCAAAACCAGCAGGAAAAGAACTGCTCAAAAGTTCTGTGGGAGACGGAGGGGCGAGACTGACAGACACAGCTGTCTCTTGGTCATTTATCCCCAAGAGGACGTGCCTTTTTGGCCTCTTGGGCATGGCACTCTTAATTTAAATATTTAACTAAAATTTCAGTAACTGTTTACTGGCTTAAGTGAATTTTTCATGAGTTTTAATGTATTCTGTGTATGGTAAGTGTAAATGTTTTCTTTTTTTTTTTAGTGTAAAGGCAAGTGAGATTTCATGAGATTCTTAAATTATAAGAAAAAAAAGCCAAAGCCATTGAGGTGCACTACTTAGACCAACTTGGAGCCAAAACAGATTACTTCACAGTGGTCGTTCACACGTGGCCATATAAGATTTAACTTGTGATTTCTTCATTTTAAGCATTTATATTTTATTCCCTAGTGTTCTTTTTCTGTACCCTATCTCCTTCGTGTTAGTTTTTTTTTTTTTGTAAGACAAGGTCTTACTTTGTAGTTCAGGCTGGCCTTGGATTTACTGGGTAGCCCAGGTTGGCCTCAGACATTCAGCAATCCTCCTGCCTCAGCATCCTGAGTGCTGGTTATCCCCTTCATTTTAAAACCATGTCACTAGGGCCAGGGATACAGCTGAGTGGCACAGCACCTGCCTCGCAAGCACAAGGTCTTGAATTCAATTCCCAGTACCAAAAATACTTTAAAAATATACACTGTGTGACTTCCATGCAGTAAATGGTAGTAGTTCATTTTTCCTGTCAAAATTGTTAACCATATTTTAGGGAAAATAACATGTCTAGAAAATTCTCCCTTGGGGAAAAATAGTAACATGAAGCTTAGCCTTAGAAATTAACGCCAGTAATGTTAACAATCAAGCCACCTGGCGCCACAGTTTTCTTGGTCCTTCAAAGTGAAAAGTTGCCTGAATTCAAGCTCTGGCTTGAAAGTCACACTGTGATGATTTGACCTGTGAGCAGTATCCTCCGAATCCAGACTTTTTACTCACTGATTTACGTATTTTTGCTATCACCACCTTTTTTATCAGGTTTGGGTATTTATCTCACTGTTTTATATACATGACTTCAGAAAACAGTGTGCTATGTGCGCAGCGTCTCTATGTAGCATGTCGTCAAGCCAGACGGAAGCCTTACTTGTCCTTGTCGTTAACGGTGTAAATAATACCTTGCACAGAGAGCTGAGGCCTGTGGTTTTGGACTTGCACCATGTCGCTGCCTTTGTTGTATGTAGCTTTAACTATGATTGTTCAGATCAGCTGATCACATTGATCAGGAACTAAAACCAAATGCTTTGCAGTTTGATATCCTTAAAAAATAAACTTGATTTTTTTAATCTTAATTTAGTTTACATTTCTTCCATTTCTTAGTTTATCCTGTGACTAGAACAGCAAAGCCTTAACCTGTATGTGCTCCAGTCCCAAATCCCCATTGTTTTGCTCATTTTCACTCTTAAATTGCTAACTGCATTGGAGAGGTCGATGCCTTCTCTTTCCCTGCAGCTTGACGCCCGCCCGGACTGCTGAGGCAGCAAACCCTCAGTGCAGGCTCTCACCGGCCGCTGCGTTCCAACACGTTTCTCATAACACGAGTCTGGAGGACCGGGAGGTCCAGCACGGGCTTCTGTTCAAGTTTGCTTCTACTTGAGGCTTCGTTTCCTCCACGTTATCACTTGGGAAGAAAACTCCTTCCACAAGTTGTCATGACCTGACATCTGCATCACATCCCACGTCTCCCCGAGGGGAGCAGCAGTCATGGCCACGGAGTTTCTAAGAGTGGACTACAAAAGTGTTACCAAGGTTTCCTTACATAGTTAGAATAGAGATTATTTGGGTAGAAGTTTCTGCAAAACATTATTTACAGTGTTTGTATCCCTTTAACATTAAAGGCTGGAAAAAAAGAACATCTTCCAGAGAGGCAATCGCAGTACGTTTTCAGTTTCAAGCCTGAACCTCCACCCATCTTTAGCATTTGTTATGCTTTTTCCTAAAGCTTATTTTTAATACACAGAATGCAGCTGAACTTGATCTTTTAATATGGGAATGTGTAAGCTTATGAAGAAACAAAATTGCACAGTTGTAATCAAATCGCAATTGTACTGCACAGTTCAGTGATTGTAAGGTATTCTGTAACAAGCAATGTTTGTCTCCTATTTTTTGAAACCTCTTAAGACTTACGTCTTTTAGAAAGACAGTGCCTCTGTATGCTTTTTGTATTTTTACTGAGTGTAAATATTTGTTATATTTTTGGTTAAGAAATTGTAAAAGTACCATTTATTATCACCATATCAAATAATGCATTGGTGGAATCAATAAAGGATCTGCATTAACCTTCTCTGTACTTCATTATGAACGTGTGGGACAGGACAGTAATCACCCTGCTGACTGAGGGTGCCAGCCTGGGACTCAAGTTGGTGTGAAAGCTTTATTTATGTTGGGGTTTTCTGAGACAAGTCTTGCTTCATACGTCAAGTTGATCTTCAGTGGCTGTGTAGCTGAGGCAGGCCTCAAACTTGTGACAGTCCTACTGTCTCAGCCTCCCCAGTCCTGGGGCTACATGCCTGAGCCACCCATGCTTGGCAGAACCTTTACTTTCAGGTCTGCAGAGAAATTCACTGTCATTTACCATAATAGACTCTGTAGGACACCTGTCTATATCCCTGTAGTCAGAACTGTGTAGTTAGGGATGGTGGCGCATACCTGTAAATCTTAGCACTTAGGAGGCTGAGGCAGAAAGATCACTGCAGGTGCAAGGTAGCTTAGGCAAAGAGTTCAAGGCCAGCCTGGATTACCTAATGAGACCTTGTCTAAAAATACTTTTAAAAACCTGATGTGATGAATAGCTGCACAGAAATGTGGGAAGTTGTCTCTTTAAGCTGGGCAGTTGATAACCCAGACAAAGTCAGAATCCTTGGCAGTGACAGAAGAATGAGTATCGGACGTGCAGCTACCTGGTCATCCACAGCGTGCCTGCTGCCCACTGTCCTGGACAGGGATGGCAGTGAAGCCATTTCTTCAGTGGGATCAGACCCCAGGACCTGGCAAAGAAGAAAGGAATTCTACTTCGGCACCTTTGTAAAGTCTGCCCAGCTCGTGCTGTGCCCAGCCTCTCGGGTGCATCTCGCTGCGCTGGGCAGCTAGCAGCCTCCAGCCTTCGCCTGGGAACTTGGCAGCACTTGCTGTACCTGGGAAAAGGGTTTCACAGCTGTTCAATTAACCGCTCTGAGCCGGAGAGACTTGGTGCTGTCACCAGCATCCTCAGAAGCACGACACTGACTGAAGAAGGCCTGCAGAGGCCACAGGGAGAAGCCACCACTGTCGTGTGGCCAGGGAACTCAGAGCCTGGCTCTCTCAGACCTCCCGTACACCGGGCCTCCTGCACCTCCGGTGAGGTAGTACTGTCCGTGCCCGGCCATCTGGTGGCAGCCCTTGACCACACAGGGAGCCTGTCTGGCTAGTGCTGGGCCCCGCCAGGGCCATGCTGATGTGGAGGCCACAGTGGCAACAGCGGGCTCTGCAGCACCCTGTGATCCGGCCCTTCCCTGCATGTCAGGTGTGTCCCCCGCATCTCACTGTGGTTTCCGTTTTCATTTCTGTGATGACAGTGAGGCTGCCCAACTTTTCAAGTACAGGACTTACTGGCCATTTGGATCCTCTCTTCTGGAAAGTGTCAACTTTCTTTTGTATTCATTGATAAAATTAAAAAACAATTGCTTTCCTTACGGCTTTTCATCTGCCAGCTTACCCTAAGCCATCACAGGGTGTGCGGTGTCGTACTGTACTCGGCACGATCATGTCGCCTCGCAAGTTTTCCTGCCATTTTTCCCCCTGCCTGATTACATGGCCAAGCATCCAGCCCAGCATCGAGGAACAGTGATTGGCGTGGAATTTCTTCCTCTGTTCTGACCGCAGGGAGCGTTTTCCAATGTCATGGCTAAGCACACTGATTGCTATGGATCTTTGTGATAGTTATGAGTTCAGGGACATTCCTTTTTATGTGTAGTTTGCTGAGAGAATTCATGATGTTGAACTTTGTCAAGTGCTATTTTTTTTAAACTATTCGGGTGACAAAATTATTTTTCCTTACCTATTAATAAGCTGATATCCTTCAGTGTTGACTCTGCCCAGCCCTACTCCATGTCACCCTCTGTTAGAATAAACTGTACCCAGTCATCTTCTGTTTTTGTCTTTATATATATTTAAACTTACTGTGCAAACTTTTGTTTAGGATTTTTCCATCTGCATTCAAGAGATAGGGTCCCCTGAGTAGAAAGACAATTACAGTCTGTTTAAACTGTCTTTTCATGATGTCTTGAGTTTGTTTTGCTTCATAAGGGTAAGAACACCAGGAAGGGGACCTTAGTGAATTGAGGGAGTTCTTGAAAGAAAAAAACGAAAACCAGATTGAAAGAAAACATTTATTGAAATCAAAATCAATACTTTCTTTTTAATATCTACAAGCCAACACTGAATTCACTTTATTCAAGAATGAACACAATGTACAAAAAAAGTATGCTTATATTATAAAAATATGTCAACTTTATCCTCTGGGTGCTGAGCAGAAGTCATTTTAAACAGAATCAAGGCCAACCTGCTCTCCCTACAGAGACCGCCCTGTGCCCCAGCAGAAGGGGACACGGCTGTGACGCCGCCCCCGCGACCCAGGCCCTCTGCCTCACAGGTGTGGCATCTGTTTCAGCAGCGCAGTAACAGGAAAAAGAATTCTGAGACAAAACCCTATCTAATCAGCTTCAATCTAAAAGCGAGGGCCACTGCTGCGGCCAACCAACACCGCCCCAGTCCGGCCCCAGCTCTGGCCCTCCAGGGATTGGGGGACTGTGACCACGCCAGGGATCCCTGCACTCTGTCCCAGGACAGTGACAGCGCTCGCTCTAACACCGAAAAGCAGCACCAGTGTGGAGGCTGCGGCTGCCACCCCCCCACCACCACCACCACCTCCCCGCACCCGGAACTGGTGGTGGGAGCTGGAACCTGTGCTGGGCACTGACACCGCTAAGGACCGCATCTGCTGGTCCCCTGCTGGCACATCAAGTTTGAAAAGGCTGTTTCCTCACCTAAAAAGAGCATCGCCCTTTTCACTGCTTCGTAAGAGCCTGGGACTAAGGTTCTGCCCGGGAAGGACGACAGATGGAGGCAGAAGGAACTGCCACGGCTGCTCTGAGCAGCGCCCAGTCCCTCACGGCGCTCAGTCCCCGGGCAGCTGCTTCCCTGCAGGGCTGCGTGCAGACACAGCGTGGACGCTGGTCCCACAAACCCTGCCCGCGCTTAGTGTAACGCTGTGCTCTGACATGGGAGAGAAGCGTTCATGGAGATACCCGAAATGCACAAATCTATGAAAGAAACATTTTGGAACCTGAGCAAAGGCTTCTTACCACAACCCCAAAAGCCATCGATAGGTCACCCTCTGGGCGGGCAGCCACGTTCCCGCACTCTGCACTCTCGAGTCCGTGGCTCCCTGCTCTCAAAGCCACAAGCTGCCGTCCCCGCAGCAGGTGGCCGCTCCCCTGCAGTCCACTCCGACCAAAAAGCCAACGCATCCAAACAAAGCTGCCGAGTTCTGGGAGCAAAGACACTCAAGGTGCCAGGGTGAACCCTCAGGGCAGCAGAGGACACTCGTCTCCCGCACCCCACGGCCACCAAGTAACCACAGAGCATGCAGACGCCTACGGGGCTGAAGTTTCATTGTGCTTGTGGGTCCCACACCTTCCACAAGGCAGCACAGGTCACACCCGCAGGCCGAGGGTGGGAGGCAGGGGGACAGGGTTAAGGAGGGGACGCTGCGCGCAGCAGGTGTCATGCCAAGGCAGCCCACCGAGGACAGGAGCGCCGCAGGCCACCACGGCAACAGCATCATCTTTGGGGCAGGAGACGTCTCGCCAGCGTCATCACGAGGGGGTGGACACGGTGCCATCACACTTCTTTTGTAATTAGAAACCAAAGAATGCAATCACGAGATGAGAAACGACAGACTAGTGGACAGAGAAAATACCGGATTCACAATGACCTGTAAGTCAAAAGGGAAATTCAGGTGACTTTCAGGCTTTGCCCTTCTTGAAACCTTTTTTATGTTTGAGACAGAGTCTGGCTCTGTGGCCCAGGCTGGCCTGGACTCCCGGCCTCCCCCGCACCGTCCTCCCCGCTTCAGGGAGTGCGCCCAGCTCCTGCGGGCTGCTTGTCATCCAGACACCTGACCTGCAGGACGGACTCGGCCCAGAGCTTACTTCCGCTTTCCCGGTGCCCGGCCGGCCGGCCGGCGCTATCCCGCCTTGGTGTCCACCAGCTGCATCTGCACCTGCACCTGCACGCCGCCGCCCACGCCGCCGCCGTAGCCGCCCTTGGACTGCATCTGGCTCTGGATGGAGCTGACCTGCAGGGGAACAGAGTGAGGGCGACGCCTTTGCACACCGCTGTGCTGTGCACATGAGGGCAACCAGGAGCCTGGGAACGGGGGTTTGCAACGGCCTACTCCCCTCCACTTCTCAGGCACTTCCAAGTCAGGTGGGCTTTTTTTTTTTTTTTGCACCAAGGATCAAACCCATGACCTTGCACTGGCCAGGCAGGCGCTTAGGCTGCGGAGCTAAATCCCTGGCCCAAAGTGTTTTTTTAATGGAAAGAGTAAAACAAAATTTCATAACAAAGTAATAGAATAACAGTAGTTAATACATTGAGGGGTTGTTTTTTGGGGTTTTCTTTTGTTGTTTTTTTTACTACCAGGATTGATCTCACAACCTCACACTTGTCAGGCAGGTGCCGCCTGTACTGCTGAGCTAAATCCCCTGCCCCGATATCAGCATACAAAACATGGGCTTGAATTTTCCAAACAATCAACTAAGAGAAACTACTAGTATGACGATCTTGTATTGTTTTTCTTTCCCCTTCCTTCCTTTCCTCTCCCCTTTTTCCTTCTGAGTATTTTCTTCCCACAATGCCTATTGTACATTTTGGTTACTTTCTTCTTCAGATCCTCACACCAGGAGGACAAATCATGTTCACACATTCGAGTCTTATTTATTTCATTTATGAGTATGGTCTCAAGTTGCATCCATTTACCTATAAAAGCCAAGTTTATCCTTCTTTGTGACTGGGTAGTACTCCATGATATAAAAATACCGCCTCTCTTTTATCCATTCCTTAGCTGATGGGTTGTTTCCCCTTTAGTTTGGGTTGTTTCCAAGATTTAGTTATTACAAACTGTGCTGCTATAAACACAGGTGCACATAATTCATCTGAGAAGATATCCAGAAAGGGGATGGCTGGGCCGAATGGGACCTCTAACCCTACTTTGGGGAATCTCCACGCTGATTCCCACAGTGGCTGCACCAGTCTGCACCCCAGCAACAGTGGAGAGGGGCTCCTTTCTCCCCACAGCCCGCCAGCTCTGATGGCAGCCATTCTTTTTGGGATGAGATGGAATCTGTATTGTTTTAACTTGTATCTCTAGAACGGCCAATGATGCGGAATATTTTTTCATGTATTTATTTGCCATTTGTTCATCCTAGGTGCCCATTTTGGGACTGGGTCTTTGAATTTGGGAGAGCTAAGTGTTTTCAGCTCTTTACATGTCCTAGATAGAAGTCCTCTGTCTGTGCAACAACTGGTGAAAATCCCTCCCGTCCTGTGCCGTTCTCTTTCTTCCCATGTGCACAAGCTTTCCGATGAGGCGAGGCCCCAGCTGCTGAAGAACTTCCCGTCGCCAGTCTGGGTTTTGTTCACAAGCGCTCTGCCTGCGTCCATGTCACAGAGATGTCCGCCTGCCCTGTCTCGCGGTGGATTTAGTGTTTCCTTTTCATGTTTAGATCTCTGATGCATCTTGGCGTCAGTTTGGTGCAAGGTGGCTAAAATGGGCCTTTAGTCTTCGGCATGTGAAGGCCAGTTTTCCCAGCACATTTAACTAAAGGCTGTCGGCAGTCAGCTTCACGGTGTCCGTGGCACTTGGAAATGCTTCGGCACAGCCCCAAATCCCAAATACCCATAAACCACCCAGCTTTAGGTCCCGCAGTCCAGTGCCTTGATGTGCACCCTCGCTGGCGGCCACATCCCACACTCACAAGAGGCTCAGGCGGGAGCACAGGCGAGCAGCGCCGCGGAGTTCCCATCTCACCGGGAGCCCTGTGCGGAGGCAGCCGCGGTGACAGCTCCCGCAGAGGCAGACACTGGACGTTTCGTCTCTGCTGCCTTGTACTGCAACTGCAGGCCGTGGCGGGGAGGTGAAGGAGAAGGCCCTCAGGACAGCGGGGCCACAGCTCTCGGGAAGGCTGCCCAGCTCAGACCGAGCTGAGCCTGCCAGCACCTCAGGTACGGGGCTGTGCCCGCAGGCTGCAGGGGACACCTGGTACCTGGCCAGTGAAGTGACTCCCATGGGACCGTACAGCCTTGCCAAGCTTCGCGTGGTCAGGTGACAAGACACATCACAGCCCTGCCTGCAGGCCGCCAGCTGGGCACCCCTCGGCTGTGCACTCTGGGCCTGACTGCTCCCTCTCCCCGGTGTGGATGGGCGGACGGACAGACAGACAGAGGATGGCCCCAGACTCACCGAATTCATCCCACTGAAGAGGTCCCCAGAGCCCACGTGGGCCGTGTGCACAAAGTTGGTGGGCTCCCCAATCATGCTCCGGTCAATCCGCCGCCGCCTTTTCTAGACCGGGAAGAAGCAGGCGGGACACAGTTACTTGGAGAAAACCCTTGAGGGCCCTGGCACCTCGGCGGGCAGGTGACTCCAGGAATGCACCTGCCTGTGCCAAAACCCGGCAGTCCACCCAAAAGACCTCTTAGGAGCCCCGAGAGGGCGTACAGAAGAGGCCGCGCAGCGACCACCCCAGATCTCATGGGGCCTCCCAGTGCTTCCCACGCCATCGCTGCACCGAGACCTGAGAGAGGCACATCTCACGAGCTGGCGTGCAAACCCACTAACTCTCCGATTCCATCTTCTGAAACAAAGAGATGACGTCAAAAACCTAGAGGAACCGCCTGGAACTGTCCCGTGAAGGAACAGGAGCGGGACCCTGAGGTCCGCTGGCAGCCCGCCCGTCAGAGCTGCGCCCCCTGCCGCCGTTGTGGGCTCATCCTGAGAGCAGCCGGTGCTGGCTGCTGTCTCGCCCGTCGCCCCGTGCTGAAGTGGCGCGTTCCTAATAAGGCCGAGCGGCCCTGCCTCACTGCCTGCTAGGTTCTGGTGTGGACACCCTAGCAATTATTTTTCTATCTGTATTACTATTAAATGGCTCATTTTCCCAAGTAAGTCTAATAGAAACCCAAAAGCAGAGCACTGAAACGGGTGACCTTCAGGTCTGCTGGGTTTCCCTTCCAGTGATTCTGCTATCAACGGTGCCCCCGTCCGTCCCTGTCCGCACAGGACTTGGGTGTTTCTTATTACTCCTTTCATTTGGTTCCCGTGTCCCTGCTCCCGGAACCTCCTGCAGTGTGCACCTCTGAAGGCTGTGCCCATTTTCATCCATGGAGTGCTTTGTACCTCACTGCACTGGACAGGGACACTGTCTGATCCACCCTGTCCAGACTGCCTGCTACTCCTGAAAGACGGCAGGCACATCAGCCACTTCGGCCAGCAGGTCTTCCGTGACTCTGGCTGTCCTCGGCCGAAAGCGGCCGAGCCAGCAGATGATAACCAGCCGTGTGCGCTGTGTGCCAGGCCGTCTCTCTCAGGCTGGCTGCAGTTCTGCGCTTGGCGGTACTTATTACTGATTACCTATAGCCCCGCCCTGTGTACCCTGCAATTACTCAACACTGTTCTATAGCTAGGGTGGACATTATTGGTTCTGATCCCCCCAAAGCCTCATGAGCTCCTTGGTGGTGTTTTCTAAGGGGGTCTGGGGTATGTGATTATCAAAGGGAGTGACATCATTCTACAGGAAGCGCCCTGGCTGGGTGGCACAAATCCCCAGGCTTAAAGCCTAGACGGAAGATACAGGGAAAAGCAGGCAGGCAGGCCTGCTGCCTCCTGCCCGCTCTACTGCAAAGCCAGCCGACTGTGAACTAAAAAGCCCCTGCAAACTGTGAGCTGAAATGAACCTTTCCTCTTTTAACTGGTGACTGTTGGGTATTTTGTCTCAGCAATGAAAAAAGTATGTCAACATACTTTGACAGCCATTGCTGCTGCTGCCAAGGTGGTAAAGCTGTTAGGATTAACTGGCTTTCTGTCATTAACAACACTGCAGTCCAGTCCCAAAGAACAGAGGGCCGGGCCAATTGCACTGCGTCTGTCCCTCCAAACTGAACCACTTGGTGGTGGGAGCACAAGCATCCCACTGGGCAGCCTAAACCACTGGTGTCAGTTATTTAACATCACACGGTGGGGTTCAAATCGGAACTGCCCGGCAGCGAGGCACTCAAATTACAGCCTCTGAATGGGGTAGTCAGATGCTGGGACAGAGCAAGACCTGCAGTGAGCTAAGCAAACAGTGCATTACTGAAACCAGATGCTGACTAAACAGGTCTCCTCCATACAAACAGCAGCCTTTCCACTATAATTACCCAGAAATTTAAGTCCCCCCCCCCCTAAAAAATGAAACATGAGTAGACAAGGCCACAGAATGCCTCCAAAAACTCCACCTCCCCCAAAGCTGACATGGAGGAAATCAGGAGTCAAACACCTGAATTATCCAACATGACCGAAAAGACCAGAAACAAACCAGCAACAAAACTCCAGACCACTAAGGTGCACTGGACACCAGGTACACCCCCTTCATGGAACATGCTACTGGATATAAAACCCCAGGGGACCTCAGCACCCACTGTCACAAACAGATCCACTACATCAAAAACAATAAAGAAGTATCAGAGTTGAACGAAACCCTTGAACAAACCCTTGAACCTAACAGACATCCATGGTTTCCACCAGCATATGGAACTTTCTCCAAAGCAGAATGCATGCTAGCCCAAAATTCATGCTCAAGTAAATACAAAAGAACCAAAATTATCCCATGGATGCTATCAGATCACAGCACTTGAAATCAATGGCAAAAGAAATCACAAAAATTGTGCAAACATAAGGAAATTAAACATTCTCTCCAATAATCAATGGGTCAAAGAAGAGATCAACATCTACAATCAAATGATAACACAACACACCAGAACCTATAGGATACAACAGAAGTGGGCCGAAAGGGGAATTCATAGTGTGAGTGCCCACATCACAAAAACAGATCAATCCCACATAACCCGACGATGCAGCTCACATCCACCCAAAACAAGGAGCACCCTAAAACGAAAGTGAGGACAAGGAAGAAATTATAAAGATCAGAAGAAAGTAATGAAATTGAGACCAAAAAAACTCCAATGAGTCAAAGAATGTTTTTTTTCAAAGAATAAACAGAAGACATGCCCAATATGACCAAAAAAAAATCTGCAATTAGAAATGAAAAATCACGGGGACTGGGGATTTAGCTCAGCAGCATAAGTGCCTGCCTTGCAAGCAGGCAGTCGTGAGTTCGATCTCTGGTACCGATAAAAAGGAAAAAGCCAAAAAAAGAAATGAAAAATCACAATGAATACCACCAAAGTCCAGAAGATCATAACTACTTCAAAAATCGTCCAATTGTAGAATTCAGAAGAAACAGATTCCCATATACACATGAATTACCAAAACTGAAACATGACACAAAAGCCTAAAAAACCCATAATGGACAATGAAAACGAAGCAGTAATTTAAAAAAAAAAAAAAAAAAAACCTCCCAACCAAGAAAAGCCCAGGACCTGATGGAGCTGCCATCGCTCAGCTCTTTGAGAACACACACTCCTGAGAAACCCTGTCGTGAACCTGGAGAAGGAACACGTCCACAGTTCCTCCTGGAGTAGACATACCCGCATCCCAAGGGCAAGGCCAGCTGACCACAGGCCAATCTCCTTAACAGACATAAGACACAGGAATCTTCCACACATATGTGGCAAAAGAATGCAAAAAATCATACACCATGAGTGAGCAGGCTTTGCCCTGGATTAAGGATGGTTTCACATACACCAGTCAATAAACATAATATACCACACTAGCACATGCTAGCACGAAAGTCACATCAGCATGCCAAGTGGCTCAGAAAAAAAAAAAAATGCAACATCCATTCACATTTTTAAAAAACTAAGAAAATAATTATAGAAGGACCTTATCATAAAATTGTTGCCAACATGGTATTAACTGGGGGAAAACAAAGTTTCCTCCCTAAAATCAAGAACAAGAATGACCACTGTCACCAATGCTGTTCAATATGGTACTTGAAACATTAGCTGGAGCAATCCAACACCAAAACTAAATAAGAGAAATGAAAAGCAAAGAAGTCAAATCACCATTATTTACAAATGACATGACCCTTTACATAAAAAACCCAAAATATTTCCACCAGAAGCCTCTGAGAACTGATAGCCAAACTCAGTAGTGCAGAGCAAGATAAAAAGTCAACACACAAAAACCAATCAAGAGTGTCTGTGTACACTAACAATGGCCTTAGTGAAGAGGTTTCAAGAATAACACCGTTCACCAAAAAAATAAAAGAAAAAAAAAGGGACCTGGGGATTTAGCTCAGCAGCATAGGCACCTGCCTTGCAAGCAGGTGGTTGTGAGTTCGATCCCCAGTACCAATAAAAAAAAGAAAAATATATATATGCAGTTTAGTACTATATATATTAATTAACTCTAATTTATTGAAAGACAGAAAATGAAAAATACCTCCAAAACTAATGAGAGAAAATGATGAATAGCTGCATCCCCAACATATTAAATATTTTTACATAATAATAAAGACACAGCTGGGGATTTAGCTCAGTGGCTTAACCGCCTGCCTGGCAAGCGCAAGGTCATGAGTTCGACCTCCGGCACCAAAAATAAAAAATAAAAGAATAACACCGTTCACAATAGCAGCAAGAAAATTCAATACAGGGCCCTCAGCTGACGGACCTACTTGTTTCCCACTTCCGGGACGTGGCTCCCTCTGCTGGTGCTGGGAAGGCGGCTGTGCAAATTCATGACCTGAGGCATTACTGCACTTAGGAATGAACCTAACCAAGGGAGGGAAAGACCTCCAGAACAGAAACTACAGTGCTCTGCCAAAGAACAGTGAAGAGGACTCTATCGCCTGCCACAGTCCCAAAACTGACACACAGGTTGAACTCGGTCCCAAACTGACAACAGCGTTACTCATGGTACTTGAGAAAACAATTCTAAAATTTACACAGAACTGTAAGAGACCCAGAATAACAAAAGCAATCCTGGGCAATAAATGTAAAGCAGATGTCACAATCCTGGACCTCAAGTTATAATACAAAGCAACAGTGATAAGAACAGCATGGTACTGGCACAAAAGCACGTGAATCGGTGGAACCAGAAGTAAGCCCAGGCAATCAGCTCTCTCTAATGCCGCAGGAAAGAGCTTCTCTACAGATGCTGCCGGGACACTGGCTGTCCTCACAATGCACAAACTAAAATCAAAATGGATTCACGATGGGTCAGTATTCATACATCTGACTACCAGGGGGCTTAAATCTCCAGTGGCACTGGCCAGACTGTACCACTTCTACCACCAGAGGCGTGAGCCTCAGCTGGGGCAGCCAGGCTTGTACACGTGGTTCAAGCCGGTGGGAAAGTGTCAGAAGTGTCAATGTTAAAACAGGACATTATTTTTGCTAAAAGATAAA